ATTTGCTGGGACCTCGTTGGACATGAGTTTACAATAGTTTGCATGAGCTCACATGGACAAGAGTCATATGTATGACTTTGAGTCGGGGGCCAAAGCTGGCTATTGCAAGTAAACCAAGGGTACTCAACCACACAAAACCCTGATAAATTCAGGTAGCTTAGCAGGGCTCCTTAAAAGACACATTTTGCCCATTTGAAACATATTCTTTTCGCCAAAATAAAGGGACACCAAGGGACACCACCATTTACAAGTTGCAATGTTCAGGTGTATACTGTAAGGATCCCTGCTTAGATGGTTACCTTGTTCCCTTTCCATTAATCCGAGTGCCGCTGTTCGGGGGTGTAGGCGCTTCCCCGAGCATGCCCAAGAGGCAGAAGCCAAAGACCCGAATAGATCCCTAACAGCTTTGCAGGGGACTATGGCCATGAAATTAAATAAGGAGCCCCCTGGAAAGTGGTTGGTGGACATGAATCAGCACCTAAATGATGTCCACCAGAGGGTCCCTAATTAAAATTCATGGCCATATGATATTGGATGACATCTTACATGCGAGATTGCGAAATTCCTCATGGTTTCGCATGGAAAGCGACTCAAAGAAAAAGGTTCCCCAAAACAAGACACAGATGAAGCCAACACAGCCGCAATTCCAACCAGTGGCCGTTCGCGATATATGTCTTGTAATTGTCCACTCGAGCTCCCTCTTGTCTTTTTAGGAGTTGGGGGTGCCTCCGAGGAGTTACAATATGGCTGGTTTCTGGTGTCACCCCCAAAACCAACTGCGTGGCTGGTTTCTGACGACATTTGAACCCCAGGGCTGGAGGCAACGCAGAAAATTCAAGCAACACAAGGTGTCTATTGGGGCTTGTCCTTTTGCGAGGGTGCCCTGCTACCGCATTTTCGTGGGTCCCAAAAAATAATCAATTTGTCTCAAGTAGCCCAGTTTCTAAAGGGGTCTTGGCTTTCCACAAATCACAAGCGGAGGCTAATTACTGTAGGTTGTAAGGGTCAATGGCTAAATGTAGCAAGCAACGTAGATGAACCCCTGGTATAAACCCCTAGTTTCTGAGTTCTTTAATTCATCGTTCTTCATGTTGCTTGATTCGAGCCCCTCCTTGCCTCTGCGACACACAGGTTTTGGGAGTCCCTGTTGCGTGGCCCTTGCATCCCTTCGTGTCGACCCACGCACAAAAACTTCTGCGTTGAAGGGCCTTGGCCCTACTTCCCTCTTTGCAACGTGAGAACTTGTGGCTTCCCTCCTGAAAACGCGGCTTTCCTCGTCCCAAAGCCCTTCTTCCACTTCTACATCTTGTTGTATCCCCCGCCTCTTAGTCTCAGCGCCCCTCTTGTGTTCCCAGCTCCCCTTTGACTCCTTGCCGCTGTTCATGCACGCTGTTTTTGGGAGCTGCCCCCTCCCTCCCAAGAACACCTTTTTTTTGTGGACCCCCGGTTTTCGGAGCCTCCCTTTCCAATATGGGTCTGTATTGTTTTGCCGTGCCCATTCTTTAGTCTACGCGGGAAGTGGGACCTGGGCGAGCCATACCCCCGAACTATACCCCCGAACCATACCCCGATTCATACCCCCGGAAAAAAGGAGTCTTCAAGAACTGCTGACCTTGTAAGCCTATTTGAAAGCCTTAGCTGGGAGTATGCAAGTAGGGCCTGTCCTGCGGGTAACGCAATAAACTGTCTGTCCCCAAGCGGTGTTCTGCTCTATCTGCCGGTTAGGGTCAGAGCTACGGGTTAGCTCACAGTTCGTCACGCCAGCTGACAGTTTGCGTGGGCCGGCTTGGGCGTAGTTGCATTTCACAAGCGCGCAGGCTCGCACGAGCTGCTTGGCTAGTTTGGCTGTTTATCCCAAGTGCGCTGTCGCTGCTGTGTCAATGGGTGGACTTGCGCGCTCGGCTTTAGTATGTGTACTGCCCCTCCGGGAGTTCGAAAAATCCACCAAGAAGGCTTGAAAACTCTTTGGCGGACACCTCGCCCTTCCTGCTACGCGGCAACTTTTGACCACTGACCAAACCTTTGCCGACTTTGCGGGTCAACACGCTCTGCTTCATAGCTCCACATGGCGCGAAGGGCCTGCTCCAAGTGCAAGGGCGCTGCCGCTTGCAGCTGCCCTGCATGATTGCAAGCTTTCTCACCCATCCTCGCTGTGTGTCTTTCCGTTAGCAAAAAATCTTCCCCGCGATTCATACCCGCGATTCATACCCGATTCATGCCCCAAGTCATACCCTTTCGCAGCCATTTGCAACCAAGAGCCTCTTGCGCTCTGGGCAGCAATAGTGAAGCTACAGGGAGCAAATCTTCAGACGCTAGGCAAACAAAGGGGAGGACTGCACAACGACGCAGCCTTTTTTTGGAGAGAGGATCGCCGGAAGCTCGTCCGGAAGCTTTGCCGCAACACCTTGAAGGAAGAGTTCGAACCCTGGTAAGCTGCGTCCTGCGAGAGTAAATTGTCAAGCAAGTTCCTGTCAGCGCCTGGAAGGAAGCTCTGGGATCCGCGAGGAGGAACTGCTAAGCGAATCCTGCGCGCAAAAGCAAAGCGCGCACGCGCAATCTTTTAGGCGGCGCGTGTCTACTTGCAGTCTGACAGCTCGGGCCCAAGCGAGTGAAGTACAAGTGTCGTGGCTGCTTTGCCTGCTGCTGCTTGAGGTGTTGCGCGCTGAGCCTTCCTGCGTAGAAATCCGATGACGGTCCCAATGGCTTGCCTGCGGAGCGTGGTCTGTCGCAGCTGCCTGGCGGGCGCGTTGCAGCTATCAGGGTTTGGCTGTTGTCTGAGCTGCCAGGTGTTTGCGGGTCCGCAGAGCATGCCCTGGCGACTGGTGCGGCGTCAGGCTTAGTAGGTGGCCACGGCTGTTTAGCGTGTCGCAACTGTCCAGTTCAACGTTCTTGGCAGCGTCATCCTCAATCTCCCTCTGTCTCCCTCTCTCTGTCTCACTGCCCCTTCATGACCCTGAGCTGTCTGCTTACTACTGGCTTTCCCCTTGATTTCGCCATCATGTCCTTTTCACGTTTCCCATGATGTCCTAGCCATGTCCCTTCCATTCCTTTCAACTGCCCCTTCATGCCCCTGTCATTTTCTCGGTATGTCCGCTTCATTTTCCATGTATGTCCCGTTCTTTCGTTGCGAATCATTTCCCTTCATCTCCCGTCGAGCCGACTGGTTTCCTTGTCCTTTGTTTCCCTTTCATTCTTCCTGCGCTCCCCTTGTTTTCATTTCTGTCCCTTTCAGCCTTTCATGTCCCTTTCAGTTCCCCTGTGTTTCCCTTTCATTTCCCCTTCCTTTCCTGTCATGTCGACTTCCTATGTCCTCCCCTCATTTCCTTGCACGTCCTTGCATTTCCCCTTTGCTTCCCGCAAAAAAACACTGTTTGTTCCAGCGTTTTCGCAAAGATGACGTCAAACAAAGACAGAGTTTTCCAGATTTTCTGCAAAAGGAGCCAGGAAACCCAAACCAGCAAAGAGCCGGCAGGGGGATTCGAGCCTGGGACCCCTGTTGACAGCGTCTCCCCGAAGACTACGTTTAGTGGAGCGTCATCAAGTTACCCCGCGGTACGTGGGGGATCCCCCCCCTTAACCCTACGTATCCTCTATCCTCTCTTGTCGGCGGACTTCCCGGCGCGGGCACGCCACAAAAAACCTACCCCTCTACCTTTCTCTCCCTGGAACGCGGTTTCACTCTTGTGGGAAGGTCCAGAATATGAAGCTGGCTCAAGTTTGGTTCTCTCATTCTTGGGGGTTGTCCTTGCTTGAGCCTGCGTGAAGGGATGTCACAACTTGGTAGAGCTGTCACGCTTGCAATTTTCAGCGGCATTGAGCGCAGCAGCCGAATGGGGCTGGCTGAAAGATAGTCAATGGACGCCGGCATTTTTACTGGCTGCTTCCTTTTCGGTGTTTTACTTGAAGTTAATGAGTTTCCAATGGTCCTGTGTTAGAAGCCATTCCTCGACCTAGCTATCTTCAGAAATTACATCTGTTTGCGAACGACTGCACATGTGGGGTTGGTGTTTTTCGGTGAATACTTCGCCTGATCGGCGCATGTGCGCACGACTTGTTCCCTCTCGTGCCTTGGGATGCTGTCACCCTGCCCCCGCCACCAGCCCCCACGTGGCGCGCGCCCGCGTTTTTCGCGCGCGCGCGCGTTTCGCGCCTGAGCTGGGCCGCGGCTTCGCGTGAAAGAGCGGCGCAAAGCTCTGTGGCTTGGCGCTTGGTTGCTGGCTGCGCGGCGGCTTTGGTTCGTTTTGGTTCGCGTTGCAGGAAAGAACCAATCGGCGCGACCTGCCCCTGCCAACCAGCTCACTTTCACAACAGCAAGTCAGCTGACCAGGTAATGGGCTTCTTTCAGGGCCAGGTGAGCTGAGATGCGGCGTGGCAACGCTGCGGTCTCGGTAGCATAGACGCGCGGCGGACGGTCCGATTGCAATGGTTGCCATTGAAAAGATCAACTGTGATCGTAGTTAGCTAAGCACAGTCCCACAGTGACTGCGCTTGTTGGATGGGAGCTAGTGCTGGCCGGTCCGTGAAATTGTCCAAGGTGTTTCACATTCTTTGCACGAAGAAGGCTTCCGTGAGCCAGAGACCAGAGATCGCGCGAAATAATGACCGTCAGAGCCGGCGCTTGCGATGGACGGGCTCTGGCAACTTCGTCCAGCTTCTCAACGGCGTGTTTGTCGAGGGGCGTTGTCTTACGTCTGCCAATGAGCTTTGCATGCAGCGCACGCCCGCAGATTTGCACGCAACAACCATTTTCGCGGCTGCAGCTTTTTGAAGACTATGATGGGCTCCCTTGCACGGGATATGAGCTAAGTTTGGCCCGCGGCCAAAATGACACTTTTGCGCAGGGGTCTTCTCAGTTTGGCAGCTGCAGCGATGAAAGTGCTGAAGTTCATGCCAATCAGTGTGTTCTCAACTGACAATTGACAATGCTCATGGCGCAGCGATCGCGGTTGCGGTTTTGAGCTGAGACTGGGCGGCAATAGTAGGCAACAACTGGGAACTTCATGCTTGCAAGGACGGACGCAATATGTTACTGCATGGCAGGGCGTACAAAATCCATCACCCGATTCGTGCACGGGCATAAACGCTCCACGATCTGTGACGGATTTTGTTCTGGATAAATCACAGTTGCTGGAAACAACATGGTTCAAAGTACAAAGTGCTGGCAGCAATGTTGTAACCCTTTCGTATGGGCCAATTGGAACCGCAACAAAGAACTGGTCTTGTCCATTACACGTGGGATTGGTGCATAGAATGTCAAGTAAAATCTGTTCCGCGCGGCCGCAATAAGGGGCATCAACCTTGCGAGGAAGGCACGCTTTCACGGGGCGGTTTTACCCCCACATGTTTAGCTTCCGCAAAAGGTTCAATCCTGCATGTTGAAATCTGTTCCTTCTGCACTTCAGGTTTGGGAGGGTCATCCTTGAACCTTGCCAGGATGACAACCATTCCCACGCCAACGGTTTGGTGGGTTCAAACCGCTGAGACCCAATTTCCTGTTTGGCAGGACATGGATCTGTTGCCTGCACGTTGCTGTTTGGGAGGCAGTGAAGGTGTGAAGGTCAGAGGACAATGAGGTATTTAGCAACTCAACTCGCATTGGGGCAACAGGAAGATGAACCTTCTCGTCGTCTCGTTGCTCTCTAGACACTGTTTCAGTACGGCCCTTGGACATTTGGATGCTGCCGTGTCAGCCTCCATCAAGGGTCCAGCGTGGAAAACAAAGCGGTTGGGGAGTTGACTGGTTTGGACTGGATTGGTTGACCGCCTCACCCATGTTGGAGATGAGCATCTCCAATTCTCAGGATAACTTGTTCTGAGGGCTTGGTTTGGAGTAGCCCAAGTCACAAGCAAGTGGCCACGAGTCGGCTTTCTTGAGCGTGGCTATGCATGAGCCAGTCAAAGCGTGGAGGTAGCAGTGAGGCTGATGGCCGCGGATGGAAACCTTAGATAAACCATGGGGGTCATATGAATCCAACCATTGTTTGAATGGCAACTTAACCCCAGAGATACCTTTCCCATCAGGCGACTTTCCTGATTTGTCACCTTTGGTTTTGAGCATTCATTCAGTGAACAAAAGACACGATCAGGCACAGCAGGTAAGTGGGCAATTGGTACAACCGAGAAAAAGCAAACCAACCACTTCCCTGATGTACCGAATCGATCGCCTCTTGAAGTCAGGAACCCGATCCAAGTCTGTAGAGTCTGCTTTGTGTCTTGCAATTGAGCGGCCGGTGCCGTCCATGTCTCCGTCACGAAGCTTCTCACAAGTTTTTTGTTTTTTCCCCCGAGCCTTGGGGCCTTTGGTTTCTCAGGTTCGTTGGTAGTTTGGATGGGTTGGATTCAGATTTGAACCCTTCAAGGACTTGCCATGGGACATCACCCCGTCCGCTTCCTGAACCACCGGCGAGCGAAGTGCAGGACCTCGTTCCTCCTCGCCCTCGCCCTCTTCGCCTTCCCGCAGCTCTTTCTCCACGCCAATGTTCCGTCCCGGCACCCGCGTCTCGCACGGCGCTGCGCGCTGCGAAGGGTGGGCTTTGCCAAAACCCAGGCTCGAGGGAACTGGGCTTGGCCAAACAATCCACACATCGTGGGATTTGGAGCCCAAACATGGCAGAGATCCTTTTGGTGGCGAAAACCCGCCCCCAAAAAGGTAAGAAGAACCTCAAAAGACAAACACCCTGCTTGTCTTGATGTTCTCGCAGGCGCCAATCAAGAGGTGATCTTTGTTGGTAGTGTGATTGCCCAGCCAGTGGCGAGTGGCGCAACAAGAGAAATTCAACAGCACAGAACATGTGTGTGTGTGTGTGTGTGCTTCGCAATGGGATGATCCGCTGTTCGCTCGGACATGTTATTGCCTAAACACAGATCATGCTATATCATACATGCATGCATGCATGCATGCATGCATGCATGCATGCATACATACACACACATACACATATACATACATACATACATACATACATACATACATACATACATACATACATACATACATACATACATACATACATACATACATACATACATACATACATACATACATACATACATACATACATACATACATACATACATACATACATACATACATACATACATACATACATACATACATACATACATACATACATACATACATACATACATACATACATACATACATACATACATACATACATACATACATACATACATACATACATACATACATACATACATACATACATACATACATACATACATACATACATACATACATACATACATACATACATACATACATACATACATACATACATACATACATACATACATACATACATACATACATACATACATACATACATACATACATACATACATACATACATACATACATACATACATACATACATACATACATACATACATACATACATACATACATACATACATACATACATACATACATACATACATACATGCACACATGCACACATACATACATGCACACATGCACACATACATACATGCACACATACATGCATGCAGACATACCTACATACATGCATGCATGCGTATATAGAATAGAACAGTTCTCTAAGTTTATGTCTATATCACCACAACGGCTGGGGATCGATCCATGGAGATCCTCATGTCTTTCGCCCAGGTGTCGCCGGAAGAGGTGGAGCCCTTGAGGGACTTGGGGCTTCAGCTGCTGGAGGCGAGGCTGTGAGCCTGAAGGCTTCCCCGTGCAAAAAAAAAAAGAAGCGCCTGGCATCTCCCATCTGGGGTTGATCAATCTTGCCGGCCAAACGCCCGGATTTTTCGCGGGACATCTCCTCTTTTCGTGGTTTTCATGCAAGCCTTGTGATCCTCTTCATGGGCTCCCCAAAAAATCGGCTCCCATGGGCCGCCAAAAAAATCGGCTGCCTCTTCAACTGCTGGTTCTTCCCAGCTAAGGACATTTTGGGGTCCCATAGGCCCGGATCATAAGGGGTGGGGCAGCTTTGAGGGAGGGGTCCGGAGGGTTCCAGGGCTACTTGAAAACACCACCTGGGCCACTTTTTTTGGAGAGGTGTTCCTCCAAACTAAGTGGGTTTTACGGAGAGAGAGGTGTTTTTTCTTTCCTTCCTCCAAGTCCCTTTCTTTTTTGGAGGTGTCCTTTGAAAAAGCAAGAGCGCGGACATCACTGCAGGCCTTGAGTGCTGCCATCTTTGTTGTCCTTTCTGTTGAGTCGGTGTTCCTTTTAAACATCACCTTCGAACAAGACGAGTGCCCCTTTGTCCCATGGCCGCTGGGGGTCTCGGATACAGTTGAGTGAGATGATACAAGGAGCCTCGCCATCTGGCCCTGGTACCTCATGGTTGCTAACGGTACCCGTACTTGGGCAAACTGACTGATTGTTACTCACCATACAGTTGGGTCTCAGTACGTACCACAATTTCGCTTGCCAAGTTGTCAAGTTGTACAAACAACAAGGAAAGTGTGTGTTTGCTGCATTTTTCGAGCTCACCTACAGGAAACAAGCTCATCATGTAGGGAGATCCAGTTCTTATTTTAGGTTTGGAGTTGTTGCAAAGACTGCAGCTGAATCTGTGATTCAAACCTCCCTAGAATAGATGATGTTCTTATCAAAAGGGGAACTTCCCGGATTTGTCATGGTGTTTCAAGAGTAATCCAAAAGTACCTTAATCAACGGGTTACCTCCCCCAATTTCTGTTGGGTGTTTTTGAAAAGGGTCGAAGCATCCAGTGGATTGTAGAGAACTCCCAAGTCCAAGAAGTCGGTGGTGGTCACAGCTGGGGTGAGGGTCGATGAATTGACCTTGATAGCCATGTTGATAGAACCGCAACTGAGTTATGTCAAGTTGGGATTGTCAAAGAGACACATCGAAATAACACAAGATTGCACTCTTAGTGTTTTTGCCCACCCCTTTTTAGCCACCCCTTCGAGCTACACTCCAATGAGGGACGGCGCGTGTATGGGTGTGTCTTTTGTTTGGGACCCAAAAATGTGGGGTTTTCCTCTTGGTTTCTTTGAAACCACAACAGGGTGTACCTCAAAGTCACTCCAGGAACGAAGGTCGGCCGTGAGGGGTACTGGGGCCCTCTGCTCAGTTATGGGTATGTGCGGTGTTGAGAGGTACTGGAAGCTCAAACTACCCATAACAATTGGTTATTGCCCCAAAACAATGGGGTGAGTTCCGTTGCTGAAAGGTAGTGTGAGGGTCCAGGTACCTTATTATTGTTGGTTGGTTTCAAGGGAGATGAGAAGCACAACCACTATTGCTGGCCCTCATGTTTTGGCGCGTGCCCGTATGTTCCGTCACTAGCTGTTGCCCTCATGTGTTTTGCCCAGCAGCAGCTCCTTGGCTGGATGAACATCATGAAAGATGCGGTACATCATCAGGACACCGGGACATATATATATATATATATATATACACATGGTTTTTGATTTATAGGGTCGGTTCCGAACCCAAGTGAACAGTCACCCCGCAGATGTCATTGCCAGACTTGAACCTTTTTGAACGTGTTTTGACTTGTTGGTTTTCCTTTGTTTCCCCTTTCAGCTTTACACGAAGTTAACTTTTGCAGGGGGTCTCGGTCTGGCCCTGATACCATGTCAGTGGTTCCACTGCTGCTAGTTCTCCCCCTGTTCTCCAAAAGTCATTTATAGCCCAATTGATCAACCATTTATGAGATTCACCCCGTTCGTTCCTCAACAAGGGTCATTCATCCAGTCCAGTCCCCGCCCCGCCCCCCCTTCCGAGGCCTTCACCCCGTGAATCAACCCAACTTTGGCGGTCAGGCCGAGGAGTTGGGCGAGAACGGCTTTCGGAGCCTAGGACAGCGCCTCGACGTGAGTGGGTCCAGCCGTCGGCTTTTTTGGAGCCTCAAGTGGCTGCTGTCAAAACCGTTTTGGGATCCCATTTTGGTTGGGATTGGTGAAGTCACCACCCAGTTTAGAACCGATTTTTAGCGGGGATTGGGATGTTCACTGGGGGTACGATTTGGATTTTGACCCATGGCCAAGGGGCGATCGTTTCAATGGAAACCGCCAGCCAGTCGGTTGCAGCCAAACGGAAGTTGCAACAGTAACTTTTGGGTTGAATAACCCATGTAAGCGTCACCAGGAAATGCGGGGTTTAACCTTCCAGGTTGTAATTTGGGACTCATACGTTGCGAATTTGCGAAATGATGATGATGATGATGATGATGATGATGATGATGATGCGAAATGAATTCGCACGCACCGTTCAGAAACATGGTTGAAACCATAAAGTTGTTTGGTAGGTGTAGGGGGATCGAATCAGAAACCAGGTGACCTCTGTAGCATAGATTGATTGGAAATATCTGGGTTCCACAAATAAACCATTTATCAGAGAAACCCATCGTTTTCCCAGAAGGTCACCCATGCTTCCGCTCCCTTTGCTTACCTAAATCACGCTTCATGTTTGCTGCCCGGTTTCTTGCTTATTTGTGTGTCTTCTTCATATTTGTTATGATATGTTTGAGTCATCAATTTGCTCACGAGACGGACACGACAAGTTGACGAAAACAGCTTGGCCGCTTTTCAAACGGCGCAAAGACACCCGAAAATGTGGATCTTGCAGCTAAAAAATGGCTTCGGGCGGGTTTGAAGCGATGTCCTCTGCTTAAGTCTGGTGGCTTAGGGACAGTTGGAAGAGTCTCCGACCACTGGGGTCAGACCAGGGTCACCGGATTGATTTTTTTGGTGGTGTCCATTGGAACTGCCACTTTGGGAGGTCCGAAAAAGGGAATGAATTTATTGAGAGTATGCTACATCAGGGAGATTCCTGTCAGAAAATTGCTTCTTTCTGGGTGGTGGGACTACACCTTCCGAGCCAGTCGAGTTGCTTGGGGCTGACAGGAGGGGACAAGGCGGGACAGAGGGAACAGGGGGATGGGAACTGAGCCAACACCAGTCGCGCGCACTTTTTTGCTGGTCTTAAGATTTCGGTCCCCATTTAGCCGTATGGTAGGTAACCAATAGGAACATAGCGAAGGGTTACCTAGAGGTACCTTTCAGGGCTGGGATTTACAGACGGCTGGCTCCCAAAAAATTGGCAATCAAAAAAGAACGACACCTTGCTAGAGGTACTATACGGGCTTGCCTGGGATTTACAGACGGCTGGCTCCAACAATTTGGCCATACAAAAACGACCCCCCCCCCTGGGATTTATAGACGGCTGGCTCCAAAAAAGTTGGCCTTCTTTGTTTTAAACGACCACGACCTGGGATTTACTGGGGCTGGCTCCAAACATTTGGCCATAAAAATTCGACGACCCCCTGGTCTGGGACCGCTCTGACCGCTCTGAGCGTTCTTTTTTCGAGGCACCGCTTCGCTGGGGTCTGTGGGCTGAACAGCGCCTTCCCGCGCTCCATGGCCTGGCACTGGGCCGCGGAGGCGAGTCGGCTCGGCTCGGCTCGGCTCGGGGTCTTGGCTTGGTTACGGGCGTAGAAAGCGGCAGGGGTGGATCCATGGTCTTGGCGGGGTCTTGGGTTGGATCCATGGTCCAATGGTCCCTTTTTGCTGGTTTTGCAAGAGGAAAAAAAAGATGGGTGTCCCTGGTTTACCTGGTATCATCCAGGGCCATCTATTTTTCCCCTACAAGGACACCTCTGCCCACGGGTCACTTGTGTTCGGGCAAAATTCGGACAGGTCTTCCATCTCCCCAGGCCCCATCTGTTCAAAAAAAAAGTAGGCAAAAGGGGCATCACCAATTTTGGGGGCAAGGGCCCATGGTAGTTTGAGTGCTGGCACTTGTTTGAGGGCTCAGTCTTGAGCATTCTGCTACTTCCTCCTTTCTTGCCAAGCCAATCATGGTCGATGGTCCCAAGAAGAAAAATCCAAAAGGGGTATGGATGCTTGCTGATGTGTCCTTTCCAGACGCCCTTGGAGGCCAGCTCCGTCTTCCAGGATTTTCTAGCACCGGTTACCTGGAATCCTTTTGGCCTGGTTCAAAGCGGTAGTGCGGGTTGCAGGCTTAGGCACAACGGAATTCGTTTCTGGCAGAAGGGCATCAAGAAAATGGCACTGGGGATTCGTCGAACCCCGGAACACCGCCAAATTGGTGGTCTTTCCTTTTGCCTTCCTTTAAAAAAAAAGAAACAGAGAGGGTTTGAAGAAGCTAACCGAGCTCCAGTCAAAGTGGACAGACAGGAAGGCGAGTTTAGCGAGTGTCATAGGCCTCTCCTCCCTTATATTTGGAAAGAGAGTAAACCTATTTGATGGCCAACAAAGAAATATTTATCCATTTGAGCGGTTTGTTTAGGGAAGCCGAGAGAAGGGTTGTGGCTGTCGTTTCAGGGCTTTGGGGCAACCGAGGAACCCGTGGCGATTGGTCAGACCAATCCCGTCGCTGGATGATGTCCACCCCCAAACTCCAAACCACCCGCAATGGGATATTCCGCTATACACCCCGCAGTGGATCCCAGTTACCCTGATAGTAGGTAACCAGCTTTTTCCTACTGTTTTTTACAGGCTCGTTTGGTCCCACCTCACAGCCAGGAGCGGAGCCTGGCTCTCTTCGCCAACTTGGCGCAAGAGCTGCGGCCGGCCATCGGCGCCGGAGGCCCGGAGCCCCAGGTGGCTGCTGTCAAAACCGTTTTGGATCGGATCCCATTGTGGTTGGGATTGGTGAATTCACCACCCATTTTTAGGTTGCCGATTTTCGTGGTTGGAGTGGTTGATGTTCACGGGTACGATGTGGATTTTGACCCATGGCCATGCGTCAGTCTCTTGCAACCAAAGCGAATCCAAGGGCTGGAACTGACCCAACATGACGCTTTCAAGGTTTTTGTTGGTTTCCCATATCTGTAGTTGCCTCGGTGTTCAACCATTCTGGGCTCCCATTTCAGCATGTGTGGCGGCCTTGGCTTTCAACCATTCTGGGTTCCCATTTGATTTTTTGTATCAACCCAAAGCTGATCACCGGAACTATTTTTTTTCTGGAGATGTAGATGATGTTGAAAAGGGTCAAGCCATCCAAGCTTCATAGACTTCAGGGCATTCCAAAGCGCTTTGGATTGGATTTGGATTTGGATTTGGGTTTGAAGCCCTGGCTCTTGAGGGCAAAGGGAAGCCTAGTCTAGCGAAGCCAAGTCTAAGCTTGAACCTACACATCCAAACCGCCAAATAGCTGAAAAGGAGACACTTAGAAATAGTTTGTCTGCTCTTGGGCGTTCCTTGAACCACTCACTATCCGCTGGCTTCGTCTTGTCATTGGGTGAAAGTAGATGGCCATGATTCCCTCATGTCGCTTTCTTTTCTTACGGGAAGTGTGCCATCTGCTTCTCACTCCCTGAGTTCCTGGACTTCAAGCTTTTTGGGAAGCCAATTCAGTGGTTGGTGCACAAACAGCTCAGACTTGGCCAATCCTCTCAGGAAGTCAGACTTTCACCCTGGTGTACAGCGGTGTTCCCTCTACCCCTCCCCACCGGCCTCCCCGGCCCCGCGCGTGGGTCCAGGCCATCCGGCGTCAACAAATAGGTTCCCCAAGGCATCGCAGCGAGGCCGCTGAAGCCAAAGCCTTGGTAAGGTCGCCGGTCGCACCTTCCATTTGCTTAAGAATATGTTGTTTTTTTCATTGTCCCCTGTTGGTGTTAAAGGGATTTTCTATCACTGCTGGACATATTTCTCATTTTTCCCAGGGTTTTTGATTAACCAAATGGAAGGCACTGATTCCTCCGACGTCCCAGCTGAAAGCTCACCGCCGGTAGGCGGCAACTTCCAGCTCATTGCCGCTGGCTTCATCTCGGCCACCGGCTGCGGGCCCACGGAGAGCCGATTCCACCGGGACTTTGGCGTCCCGAGCCGCCCGGCTCGAAGGAAGTCGTTGATGCGAGTTTGGTTCGACGGATTCAAGGACCAACTCAAGGACATGTTTGTTGGAACGTGCGAGCCACATTGCCAGAACCCTCAAACTACCCATAAACACGGGTTATTGCCCGGTGATCTCCCGTTTTTAAGGACAGTTTGAGGGTCCAGGTGTACATGTTCAAGCTTTCTGGCTTTTGGCAATATGCCCCCCAACTCCCCCGAATCTTGCATGTGTCTTATGTCGATGTGATTTTGGTTGCTTCAATCTGCCGCAAACATATGCTTGACATGTGAGAGGGAGAGTGTTTCTGCGGTGAGCCCCTTTCTTTGTTGTGTCCAGCACCCCCCCACCACTGCGGGCTGGGTCGTGGAAGGGTCCCAGGTCGGTCGGTCGGTCGGTTGGTCGGTCGGTTGGTCGGTCGGTCGGTCGGTCGGTCGGGCGGTTGTCGGTGGGCGAGTGCTTCTTTGGCTTTCGTGGCTTTCTGCGTACTTTCGTGGCGTTTGGTTTGCCTTCCCACATCCTCAGCCAGCATCACTTTCAGGATAGTGTTTGCAACCCACCAGCACCCAGCGCTCTAAACTATCCCTAAACCACCCTAATCCAACTCTAAACTTCCACTACACACAGCGTAAACCGCAAATAGATACCCACCCTAAACCCATGCTAAATCCGCACTGAAGAACCCCTGCAGAAACCAAAACCCTACCTAAACCAACCCGAAACCAACCCTAGCCAACCCCAAACGAACCCTAAGCAGACCCTGAACCAAACCTAAGCCCACCCCTGTCCAACCCCCAATTCTGACAAACCCTGAGCCAAATCCAAACCCACTATACCAATCCGCAACCCAGCCAAAACCAACCCTACACCCACCCAGAACCAGCTTGGAGCCACCTCAAGATCAACCCTGAGCTTTAGACCAGCACTAAAGCATCCTAAACCAGGCTAAAGCTACCCAAAACCCACCCTAAACCAGGCTAAACCTAACTGAACCTCCCCTCAACCAGCCCCAACGACCCTAAACCCACTCTAACCCCCCACTAAACCCAGCCAAAATCACAACTAATTCCACCCTAAACCCACGCCTATGCCAACCCTAAAGAAACTACCCCCTAAACCCACCCCAAGCCACCAATAAACCATCCCAAAACCAAACCTAAACCAGCCCAAACCTACAGCAGCCCTAAACCAACCCTACACCAGCCCTAAGCCCACCCGAAACCAGCCCTAAATCCACCCTAAACCAGCCCTAAGCCCAACGTAAACCAGCGCTAAACAATCCCTACAAACGTTAAGCCTCACTCGAAACCAACCCTAAACCAACCCTAAACCAATCCTAAACCACCACTAAATTAACTCAACCATCCGTAAACCTTAAACCCATCCTAAAGCCCTAAACCAGCCTTAAGCCAGACCAAAACCAACGCTGAACCCACCGTAAACCAGGGCTAAAACCACCAAACATCAACCCCAGCAAACCCTAAGCAAATCCAAAACCACCCAAACCCAACCCTGAACCAACCCCAGCCCACCCTAAGCCCACCCTAAACCAGCACTAAACCAACCCTATGCCCGTGCTGCCCAAGGGGGAAGTCCAAACACCCTAAAGAAACCCAAGCCCGGCCCAAACCCATCCCAAACAATGGCTTCTTCGAAAAAACATGTACCCTCTGCAGCTTTTGTGGATCGGGACCACCCCGCCGAACCTAGGAAAAAAAGGCTGCGCCGAACCTAGGAAAAAAATAAACCCTTCCGCCGTCAGGGGTGACCTTGAGGCTCCATGTTGATATGAATTGACAATTCTGCTGCTGGCGAGGCTTCTGGATTGGCCCCCCCCCCCCCGGTACGCTTGGACCGGTGCCATGGTCACGCTTTGCTTTAGATGGGTTGATTTGTGGGGATCTTGTTGGCGGATGCGCTCTCTCTTGAACTGTTCATTGATTATTGAATGGTTGGAATCCCCAGACGAAAAATCCATGGTGGGTATCAATGCCCAAATAAGATGTCGGTTGCCATTTTCTGCGAGCCAAGAGAATCGCCTTTTAAATTGATAAAGTAGCCAGCCCCCCCCCCCCCCCGGATGGGAAGAAGGTATCACTCACTCCCAGTTTGCCCTGTGAATGGAATGGGGGGGGATCTAGAAAAAAGAAAGGATCTCTCTTTCCCACTTCATGGGAAACAACAAGTTTAGACTTGTTTGGAGAAAATTTACAGGAGCTTGAGTGATTCTGGGAGCCTAAATTAGTTTGAAAGGGGGGTCACCATTTTGTCGACCCTCCATGACTCACGCTGCAGTTCTGCGGCTGAAGTCTTCAGAAGTGGTTTGTTGATTGATTCCACGCGCGAAGCGGCTTCATCAAGTTAAGCCAGTTCCACATAGTTGCTCCGCCATTGCAGCTGCATACTTGGCATTTGAAGTCCCGGATCGATACTCCCTCTTTGTGGGGTCCCTCAATATCCCTCAGTGTTCCCGGTTGCAGTTTAGTGGGGTGGTACTGTGGATGGACGAAATCCTGCACCACACACACACACACACACACTTTGACCCATGGTTGAAACCGTTGCTTGTTCATTCCAGGGTTTGTTAGGTGGTCCGAAATGGATTTCGCAACCATCCACAGTATGAGACCAGTCCTTTCTGATTTCCAGAAACGCCCCTTTGTTTATTCCAGCGCGAGCCAAAAAGAACGACCAGTTGTCTGAGGCATCCCGGAGGGGAGCACAGTGACAGCGCTGCTACCCATGTTCCCGCAGCACTTTCCTGAGGAGGGGCATTTGGAGTACATGCCTTGGGACACAGGCAGCCGGCCATCTAGAGATCTCCCAAGCTCCCAACCCCTAACTAAATAACAGGAGGTGTGTGCCATGGAAAAACCGTTTTTTTCCAAGAACACCCCAAAAAAGCGGGTATTTGGAGGGTGTCAAATGGCATTTTCAAGGAATTTCATAAATAGCTTCCATTGAGAAGTCGCTTCGAGAATTTGAGTGCTCAGGGCCTGGTAGCTGTTGCATTCAACAACAGACGGAGTGCTATTTGTTGGATCAACCAAAGGGCCTGAGAGACTGTTCCACAAGCTTGCCAGCGGGAGCCACGCATGGCCCACGCAAAGCCTGGTTTTGCCTTATGACAAGTGATGTCTGGCGCATGTATTAGGGGTTTCGTTGTCCTGGTGCACCAAGGGGAGCCCACAGGCTTTCTGATGTCATTCTTGCTTGCCGATTTCCCTGAAACGCTCAAGCATGGGGTTCCGTAATGCGGGTTATCATGTTGCGGGGGGGGGGGTGTTGGCAGGGGATTTCACTATTGTTTAAGTGGCGGGACAACCCCAAGGCCATATTCATCTCAGCTCGACAAGGTCCGAACTGCTGTCATGATCCGATATATACCAACCTGCATCTTCGCATTTGGAGCAACGCAAGAGGCTAAGGAATTCAAAGGTGCCTTGAAGTCAAATTCAGTCACGACCACAGCAAACACAACAGCAAATGTTTAATTCGCATTGGCTTCCTGATTATTACATCTTCTTCTTTTTTTTGGGGGGGGGAATCGGGGTGGGTCTGGGAAATCTGAGGTGAAGTCACCATCCACCACTACCAGGCCTATGAGTTCGCCCTGTTGGACGGGCGATTAGATCACCGCACCCAGCCCTTCAGACCCGATGCCTTCCAGCGAGGTGGGGAGCTTCGGGCGATTCTGCCGATTTTCGGGAGGGCGATTCGAACGAGCCAAAGCCATGAGAAAGCTCCTGTAATGTTACCCCCGGATTTCTAAACCCGTCCCATTATTAGGGGGGTGTTCCCCCCGAAGTGATGAATCCCCACTAAAAGGGGACACCCCCCTATTAATCAACCAGGGGGTTATTAATGCGGGGTTAACATTACTTGGGGATTCCTTATATCAGACTTTGGACAGACAAGATTATGATCTTCCCTTGACGCGACGCGTTGAACATGTTCTTGTTTGTTGTCACTTTCCGATGTTACGGTTTTAACCGGGAGTCGAGTGCACTGACATATAGATTTTACATGTTTGTCCAGGGATCCTCCGAGTTTTTTTTTTCTCCCCCGCTTTTGCAAAGAGACATATGTTATAGGCGGTATAGTTGGGTTATAAACCCAGACGACCCAATGTTTGGAGGTTCAGGATCCCAGAAAGATTGCCAAGGCATTCGGCCAAGCGGTGGGCCTCTTGTTGTTTATTTTTTGGAGGCTCCAAGCTGCTTTAGACACAAGCAAGAAGAAGTCTGGGAAGGGCAAGCGATTCTTCCCTGGATGTTTGAGCTTGAACATGTCAATTGCCAAACAAGCAGTGCCCTTTTCCCCCCATGGCCATGTTGCCATCTCCATGTTGGAACTGATGGTTCCGGTTTCAGCTATTTGAGCCGACAAGGAGTCCCTCAAGTTTAGTGGGCAATTCCCGCAAGTTTGCCTCGACCCATGTTCGCAGTTCAGTGAAGGGGACGACGCTTCAACAAACCATGAGGACTTTTTTTTTTTTTGCTTGCGGTGTTCGCACATCAAAGATGACAGCTTTGAAGGTGTTGTAGTTTGCAGCCGTGCAGCTTGTGAAGTGAAGCTGAGTCTGTCGCTACTGTGGATAGGTTCTGATGAACCTCAATCAGTTTGTGTTGACTGGTGGCTTCCGCAATATCTGGTGATAGCCTAGGTTGACTCACTGCCCCCAAATCAGGGGGACGCCCATCAAGCATGGCCACGCTTTGTTTTTGGGCTTAGTTGAAGAACATGTGATCGCCGCTTCACCAACATACTATTTGGAAAGCAGTGAGCTCACCTACGTACTCCTTATGTCACTTGTATGCACAATGAATGTTGACCATGGCTCCTATCATTTTCTTGGATCCACATCCACACTCAAGGCAAGATCAGGCAGAATACGCCCTGGGGCTAATAGAGGCTCCCAATGAGGGTTCGACTTTCATGGATGCGTGCTTGACCCTTTCATTGAGCAATACGACTAGTTTGGTTGGATCAGACATTGCAGCAAAGCAATGCCTGCATTCACCCGTGGAAGTATGAGAATTGGGATGGGGGGATACTTCCCAAAGCCAATCCTTTCTTCTTGCAGTTGGTGGATGCATTGGTCCACCCTAAATTGTTTCACGGTCGTGCCGCTTCATGCCTAGAACGGGCTAGGGCCCAGACGCGTTCAATCCTCTCACATAGTCTAGCCGCCAGAAACTTCGAGGATCCTGTTGGGTTCCTGGGGGATGCCCTGTGCATTGTTTGGACTCCATGTCAACATGCACGGGAGTAATCAGAGTACAACCGTTACTACCGGGAAGATGACGTAGATATATTGCCATGAATTTTAGCAGGGAATCACCTCAAAAGTGATTGGTGGACCTGAATTCCCACCTAAATGTCCACCAAAGATTCCCCAATTAAAATTCAGGCCCATATGTCTGCGTGTCAAAATGCGTGACGTGTCAAAAAAATGGGGGGACCCCTCAAAATGGTGGGTTTCCTTTTGGCTTCTCTTTTTTGTTGCAGGGGCCTCGTGCACTGAGCCTGAGTTTCTGAGCTGCTTTCCAGTCTCATAGTTTTAAGCATTGCTCCTGTTGAAGAGGCGTGTTTCCCTTGGTGTGATGTGTTGAGGGTAGGTGTGGTCTCCCAAAACGATATTTAGACAGGGGCAGGCTACGGAACAGATCTGATGTTCTGCTTAGATTCGGGAGCCCGAGAGGCCTACGGCTTCTTCTCACGATGTACTTTGCAGACCTCGGCACCTGGGACACCATGTCTCTTCAACAAGTCCTGCTGAGCCGCTCGGAATTTTTGCATCGTCGGGGCTTGTTTTGTCGGCTCGGAAACGCCTTGATTTTCGTAAAACCCTTGTTTTCAGGATGTCCCATGTTCACCATGCAGTGCTTTTTTTTTTGCGCAAGATGATAAGCGCCCATGTTCGAGTGACTCCAGGCAAACGGTAAACAAGCGCCCGTGTTCCTTTGATTCCGCGGCAGGGTCCGCGGCCGCTTCGCACTTCACACACGTCTGCCAAATGGAATCACACCTCAGGTGCACCCCGCTCAACACTGTAGGGTAGTGGATGACAATAGCTGCCAAACACCAACATGGCAGGGGGAGAACCTCCTATTTTGCGAGACAAAACAATATGACCTCCAGGGCCCTCGAGCTACCCGACAAAAAAACAAGGAGTTTACCAACCATCATTTTGGGTCGCAGTTCAATTCGGGGCCAGGCTGTTTGGTGCTCGCTTCGGAGTCTCATGGGAAGTTGATCTGCATGTAGCAAGCGCCAAAGGCGCACCAAGAGTCGAATCTTGAGGCCCTGGGGTTCAGTTTGCACCACTAGAACAATGCTTGGGTTAATTCAACCATTATTTACTGCTTGCAATATTTGTGTGCAAGTTGTCTGCGAGAGTGTGTCTTTGCAAGTTTCTCTGAATAGTTGTTCGTTCTATGTGCTAGTTGCTGTGTGACGTCGTGCAAGTTTTATTAGCGCAAGTTCTCTGCGTAAGCACGTCGCTCACCCACCTTTTGAACATTTCACGCATGAAGCCCTTTTAGTGGATCAAAAGAGATCACTGAGGGTTATGAGCCCAACGCAATGAGCGAGGGCGAGATGCACACGCCCTCGGAGAAGGACCTCCAGCTGGCCTTGATCGAGGAGCTCAAGCCGCCGGAGGGGCCTCCGCAGGCTCTGGGGCCGCCACAGGTCAACCCATTTTTGGTCGGAGAAGGCAAAGGATGAAGCCCTGCTGAAGGCCATAAGGCCGTGAAGGCCAAGACCATGGAGGTCAAGGAGACGCACCCGACACGGAGAAGGGCAAGGGCAATGGCAAAGGGAGCTGCAGCTTGCAGGCACTTCCTCTCGGAGATGGGATGCAAGAAGGGGCAGGCGTGTAGCTTGGCTGAGGAAGGCAAAATGGGAAGGTGCTGGCGCTGTGGAAGCAGTCAGCTCATGAAGCCGGACTGCCCGGTGAGGGAGGTCCCGAACCCTCAAGGTGAAGAAGGAGAACTCTCCGGGGATGGAGATGGGCAAGTCCGCGCAGGAGGAGGTGGCCGCGCTTGGAAACGGAAGGAGTGGAGATGGAGAGGCGCTAGGAGAGGTCAACTCGGAGTTGTGAAAGTCCTGGCCGCTGCTCACCTCCCGATCCACACACAGCATGACCCGGGATGACGTCTCCATCATCCTCTTCCACCGGCTCTGATCCGGCCCAGAGAACAGGTGGACGATGACGGAAGGGCTCGTCAACAATCAGGGCCGCGCCCTCCCATTGACCGGAGGCGCGATCCTCGCAATAAGGCAGTTGGAGACACTTATGGGTGGTGAGCAGGGCATGGTTGTGAGCATGCGCCCCGCAGCCATTTAAGTTTGGGCAACGCGTTCGAGGTTCTTGGTCTTGACTGTCTTTGACTGTCTTGATTAGGCGTTGGTGTGTGGGCAGTGGCCTTGTTGTCGTGCTAATCATGGAGAATCATTGTGCCATGGCCATTACACTATCCACTTGCACTGTGTTGCGTGTGGAGCTGACCGCTTGATGGAAACGAGAGTCTGAGCAGAACAGAGTACAACTTCATGCCGTTTCGCTCCTCTCGAAGGCAAGACCACGATGGCCTCCAAGGTGAGCCACCCTTTGGACCCGGTCTCCACGCCAGAGAGTTGCTTATTAATCATTGGCAGAGCTCAAGGTTTATTGCCCACAGGGGCACGGACAGAGTCAGAGTGTTCGAAAAGGACAGTGCCAATGCCAGACAATGTTTTTCAGGCGCCAGGTGTGCCAGGTCACTCAGTTCTCGAAACCCAGCCCAGCTTGCAAATGCGCGCGCGGTGCTTCCAACAAACAAAGTCAATGTCCTGGAGCTTGGGGTCACATCACATCCTTGCCAGGACTGCAAGTCAAAAGTCTGGTTGCTCGTACATCGTGTGCGCTGCAGCAGTCGCCGGCGCGTGGCCGCCCGCATCTCTGCGATTCTTTGCAGGCGCAGCTCTGTGGATCTGCAACAGGTCTCAACACCCATCATGTTCCAATGAAAGCGTGTGATCCCTTTTGTGTGAAGCTCTAGGTGTAAGGATTGACGGGTGCTGTTCGAGCTGAAGCGAAAGAATTGGCAGTTGGAGGTCTGAGGCCTCCTTGTCAAACAATCCGGGACCGTGATTGCCAGCCTTTTGCCCTCCGATGGTTCCAGGCTCTCCTGCGGCGGCTAGTGCGACTTCCCACCCAGAGCTGACGCAAGTTCGCAGAGTTGCTCCACGCAGGGGCAAGAGGCCGTCCGGCCAGATGTTTGCCAGAAGACCTTGACCAAGATCAGCTTTGCAGCCGACATTGCGATTAAGGTGCTGAAGCCGGCCTTGTAGCGCCGGAGAAGACGCAGGAGTGGCGCCACGCTAGGCTTTGTGGAGGTGGTGCACATCCTGCACTCAGATTCTAGCGGCGTCACGGCGGCGACAGCGAGCGAGGCAGCCTGGGCTTTAGCCTTCGGCCCAGCAACAGCTAATGCCCTGGCGTTCACCAGGTGCTGTAAAAGAGCTGCCAGCAAAGAACTTTCTAAAAAGTGAGATACAGGCACTGTTTGCTGCGCCACGTGCGTGCGCGGCCGCAGTGGATTCCATCATTTCGAACTTAGAGGGCCCGCAGTCCGTCCGTGCCAGGTGACGGTTTGCTGGTCAGACAGTTGTCAGGTGCCACATGCGCCCAAACTCAGACAGCAAACAAATCGGCTGCCAGCGTCCCACCCGCTTTGTGGAAGCAAGGTTTCCATCAACCGGCGAAGGCTGCGCGGACAAATGACTGTCATTGTCGGCTGTCGCTGCTGTCACTGTTCAGAACAGGCTGCCAAGTGTGGTGTGGTTTCTTCATCACGTTTGGCCCTTCATGAAAGTACCGGGGAGTGTATTCTTTTAGGGGCTCCACAAATTTGGTTTCCCAAGCAGCAACTTTCGCGGCGATCGGAAACAAAACCAACAACCCTTTGGAAGTAGGGAAGGGGGGAACAACCCCCCCTTCCCCGGCACACAAATACAAATAAACAGCTGTCTCTCAGGTCAGGGCGCCCCCGTGTTGCCACCCCTGGTTCGCTCCTCTGCGGACGCGTCCGTCGACGTCTTCGAGGTTGGCCAAGAGGTCTTCGGCCTGACCCACGACGGGTGGTACCCGGCAACGGTGCAAGAGGTGCTACCAGGAGGCAGTCGTTTAGTGGGTCCGGAGTCAGAGTCTGAAAGCCTGACAAAATGTGATTTCTAATGATTTCTACTGAGCCCAGAGTCACTTGCATTTGCTGAAATGAATTTGTTGTTGTTTAATTTCATTGTTGGTTTTGGAGGCAATCGATGTCTGTTGCTTTTCTCCAGGGCGACAACACGAATGGAAGTGACACGGTTGCATGTGGGAACCAGGGTTTGGAACAGGCGCCCGCAGCAAGCAGCAGTAGGTTCAGCCCATGATAAGGGAGGCTGTGCGTGAGCTCCTTTGCTTGGCTTGAGTGAAGCACCAGTTCCTCAAACATGTCCTATTCTTGGTATTCGCGATTCGTGATTCAGGATTTCGTTAGGGGTCCGAACAAAAGTGGCGCTTCGCACAAAGAAGACAACCATTTACTCGCCAACGTAACCAAAGAGCCCACCTAAGCTCTGGTTGGGTCCTTACGTTTTAACCAGGGGCCATGGAAAGGACATCGGCGACATCGGTTCTTTCGTGGAATGCGGGAAGAGGTTCGAGCCATCCAATAGCACGTTTGTTGGAGCGGCTGGGACTGGTGGAAAGCAGCATGTGCTCGAAAATAGGAGGCCTTCTCCTGGCTTTAGCAGGCGCATCTCTTTGGAAGGAATTGGTGTTTACTATTTCCAGCAGCCCCCTATCAAGTAGCCCAAAATTGTTGCAGCCGTTTTTCGGAGTTGTCGAGGCCCGAAAATCACTATGGTTTTCCGTTTGCTGTCCCATTAAAACCAACCGAACGGGGGGACCAACTCCAAAAATCGATGCGCACATCAGCGGTTTGCAGCATACGTCACGGATCTTGTGGGCCTAGCCCAGTGGATAGGCTCACTGGCCATGGAGGGGTTCACTAGACCACGGGTGGCCCTGGTGGATTGTTTGGTAGGCCGCTTGGAAACCAATACATGTATATAAAAATAAACCCACACCCCATTGGGAGGTTTTGGGTATAACCCTTATCCCACCAAACCTCATCCAGGAGTCAGGAGTATGACTCGACACCCAGCCTCTCGGCGAAGGCCGATACCTACTGGAGTGGTTCTACCTCGACGGCACAGAGGACTCCTTTGAATACATCCGCACGGCCGACCAGCTGCGAGCGGCCGAGGATGACTTCGAATGAGACGGGAGCTCGTTAGGGCGTATGTGTTTGCGCTTTTTGTCCCCCCTCCCCCGTCCCGTTGTCTTTTTTTGTGTTTTCGTGCCATTTGTTGGCTTTAAAGGGCAACCAAGAAGTAAACCCTCAAATTGCGTGGGTCCCCTGCAAAAAGACACCTGCAGTTGACAGTTTCTCAAAACTGTCGTTTGCTTAACTGATGTCCCCTGTTGGTTTCAAAGGGAATCTATCACTGTGGCCTTTCAAGGCAGGCGAGGACCATAGGGGAAGGATTCCACTTTTGAGAAAGCGCCCGTTTAGTTGCTTTGAGCTACGTTTTTTTTTGTATTTCCGGGAGGGGTATCAGTTGGAAGACGCGATCCACTTCGCATGTAGGGGCCTTCCAACAGACCCGCGGTTTGTGGAGCCTTGAAGTGGGATGCCGATGTGACTCACGGGAGCCGTGGATTTCCTTCAAATGTCAAGGCATGTGCACAGATGGAATAGGTACTCGCACGCGTGTGCGAACCGCAAAAATCACCAAGGCTCGAATAATATGGGACAGTTCAATAAACCTAGACCCTCAGACTACCCGTAGAAAAAACCGAGAGCACGCTATAAGTTTGGCATTGTTTAGTCAGGTAGTTCGAGCGCGCAGGAAATCCCAATCGGACGATTGCAACCACGAGCAACATAGGGAAATCCACCCTCGCTGCGAGCTTTGATCCACCGATCGCCTGGTCCACCGAACCAGTCGCCATCTTTTCGGTGGAAAACAATCGCGGCACTGGCTTGAGGCTGAGTGTGTGAAGTGCTGGGTGCCTGAACCCTCAAACTACCCGACTAAAAATGGGTGATTGTATCCCAAAGCTATGGTTGGGGATTTCCCTTTTGAGGGGTAGTTTGAGGCTCCAGGTAGATGCGCGAGTTGATCTTACACCGACCTGGGTCTTGAGCCGCGCCGTCCCAATGGATTGGCTCGTAGCTACTGGCCCATGGCACTGAAGCTGGCGAAGCCTGGAGAGCTTCTAGCGAATTCAGAGACAGAAGTTGAGGGCTACCTTCCTTTTCCATTCTTGCCAAAGGGATCCCACCAATTTTCAGGAAACCATCCAAAAACCCGGGGAAACGGATCCGGTGTTTGAAAAGAACGATGGTGGAAAAGAATGGAATTGGAATCAACCCCTAGAAGAAGTGGCTTTTTTGGGTGCAGCCTTTGCAACTGACCACTTTCAACAGTTCCGACGATCGGTCCAACTGACCGACTTTCGGGACACCGTTCTACATGATACATGTATTCCTTATCGTTGGTGACTTAGACATACGAACCAAAATTGCAGCGCCAACCAAGAGCCAACCAACCAGCCGACCAACCAAACTAGTGCCAACCAACCGCACCAACCGCACCAACCGCACCAACCGCACCAACCAACCAACCAACCAACCAACCAACCAACCAACCAACCAACCAACCAACCAACCAACCAACCAACCAACCAACCAACCAACCAACCAACCAAACATCAAGCCCCAGACAAAACCACCCAGCCAAGCCCACCCTGGGACGCTTCCCCGCTTCGGTTCCGACTTCCGCCTCTCGCGCGCTTGCGCGCGCCGATGAGGGGTTTGTCGCCATGCTGGCGGCTCGCGGCGCCGCGGCGCGCAGGCACAGCTTCAGCAGCGCCTCAGACCGAAGCGGAGCGAGGGAATCGGCCGAAGACGCGAGCGATCGATCAGGGCGCCCTTCGGGGGATGTGGCAGCGGGTCAAAACCAATGGTAGTTGTTTTTAGTGGTTGGATTGGGATCTTCACTGGGGTACGATCGATTTGGATCTTGACCCGTGGCCATACATGAGGGAGCTACGGAGCCGGGAGTTCTGCAATAACATGGTTGCAGGGTTACATCCCAAAACCCGTTCAGGAGGTGCATAGCCTCATTTGGCTGTGCCTCAAAAACATGTACTAAAATGGCACCTTGGTAAATGGAACCAAAGACAAAAACCTGCGTAACCCTAGCTCTTAAATTTTGAGCCACACCCGTTTGTGAGAGGCCAAGGAGAAAAGGGGAAGGATAATTCATGACCAGCACCTGGTTGATTGATTCATATCCATGATCGGAAACCTGCGAATTTGGTTTCAATTGTCTATTGTGCAGATGTGTACATGTGGTCTTTGAGGGAGGGGATGGATCAGTTTTAGGTTTGACAGGTGTGCGAAGCAAACTGTTCCTTTGAAAAGAGAGCAAAGCTAGCGCTTGATAGTGGCGTTCTCGAAGTGGGGGCCAGGTAACTTTGACAAGGGAAGAATGGGCAATGTTGTTGGAAGATGTTTGAAGATAGTCGAGTCTTCCCCTTTTGGGCTTCATAAACTAAACCAGACGTCCGGTTTTCTTATAGCACCCGGCACCTTTGCACAAAGTGCCTGTCCAAAAACGCAGCGGTTCAGGGTGGTAGTTGTAAGGGTATTTGAAGTTGCTTGGATCCTCGTTGTTGTTTCCTCCATGTTTTCCAGTTTTGTTTTCCACCTGCTTTCCCCATTTTTGTTGCTGCAACTTCCCCATTTTTTCCCTACCTGCCTTTCCCCCCCCATCCCTCCCCCTGCCTTTGCCTCCCCCCCCCCCCCCGAAACCCCATCCCAAACCTCCCAGCCTGGAAATGGAAAAGGAAGCTGACCCCAGATGCCTGCCTTTCCCCCACTAACTCCCCCCCCCCCACCCCCTTCCCAACCCCCCCAGCCAAGGCCAGGTGCAACGCCTGCACTCCCAGACCTCCCAGCAGTCGCAGCTCACCGACCCCACCACAGGCGCGAAGCCGAAACGCTCGGGGCACGGAACGAGGCGCCGGGGGGTGCTCTGGTTTTCTCTTTGGAGCAAAACGCCCAGGTGGGGGAGAAATGTTTGGGGGATGTCTGATTGTTTGCTGTTTTTTTTTGGAAAAGAGGGGAATACACAAAAGTGTCTCTCAAAACAGCGGATCCCGTTTAAAATCACCCCTGGTCGTAAGGGGAAGTGTCTCTCAAGATGCTGGAAAAGCCAACCACTGTTGGTAGAAGCCAAAAGGAAACCCAAGGAGCGACGAATTCCTACTTTGTGAGAAACCCGCAGGGGAAACCCCGCTTGGTTCGCTCGCTGTGAAGTTTTAGGCGCCAACCGCCTCTCCACCTGGGTTTCTGAACTGGGCGTGCTGGAGTTTCCAGAGGAGATATCCGGCAGCACAGAGGAAAGGAGGAAGGGAGGCCTTGTGCTTGTTTTGGTTTTTATTGTAGGCTTGTGTCGTGTTTTGTTTTTGTGTGGTTGGTTTGTTTGCCTGTCTGGCTGCCGCCTGTCCGTACTTCAGCTACTTCAATGAGTTTACTCATTTGTTTGATTGTTTGTTTGTTTGTTTGTGTGTTTGTTCATTTGTTATGTCACTAGTTCATGCATGTGTTTGGTTGTTCAGTTGTTTGTTTGTTCATTCAGTCATTCATTTGTTTGTTCATGTATTCAGTCAGTCATTCAGTCATTCATTAATGAATCTGTTTGTTTGTTTGTTTTGTTTGTTTGTTTGTTTGTTTGTGTGTTTATTTGTCTGTTTGTTTGTTTGTCTGTTTGTTTGTTTGTTTGTTTGTTCATGTATTCATTTATTCATTCATTCATTCATTCATTCATTCATTCATTCATTCATTCATTCGTTCATTCGTTCATTCATTCATCCATCCATTCATCCATGCATCAATGCATCCATGCATCCATGCATCCATGCATCCATGCATCCATGCATCCGTGCATCCGTGCATCCGTGCATCCGTGCATCCGTGCATCCGTGCATGCGTGCATGCATCCATCCTGAAATCCATGCATCCATGCATCCGTTCATGCATGCATCCATGTATCCATGCATCCATGCATCCATGCATCCGTTCATGCATGCATCCATGCATCCATGCATCCATGCATCCATGCATGCATCCATCCATCCATCCATCCATGCATCCATGCATCCATGCATCCATGCATCCATTAATCCATCAATTCATTAATTCATTCATTTATTGATTCATTCATTCATTCATTCATTCATTCATTCATTCATTCATTCATTCATTCCTTCATTCCTTCATTCATGCATTCATGCATTCATGCATTCATGCATTCATACATTCATGCATTCATGCATTCATGCATGCATGCATTCATGCATTCATGCATTCATGCATTCATTCATTCATTCATTCATTCATCCATCCATCCATCATTCATTCATTCATTCATTCATTCATTCATTCATTCATTTATTCATTCATTCATTCATTCATTCATTCATTCATTCATTCATTCATTCATTCATTCATTCATTCATTCATTCATTCATTCATTCATTCATTCACATTCATTTCATGTCATTTCATTCATTCATTCATTCATTCATTCATGCATTCATGCATTCATGCATTCATGCATTCATGCATTCATGCATTCATGCATTCATTCATTCATTCATTCATTCAGTCATTCATTCATTCATTCATTTATTCATTCATTCATTCATTCATTTATTCATTCACTCACTCACTCACTCACTCACTCACTCATTCATTAGTTCTTTGATTCCATTGCGTTTCATTCATTCATTTGTTCGTGCGTTCGTCCGTTTGTTTGTTGGTTCATTAGTTCATGATGTTCTGTGTTTATTGTTTTTCTGTCTTTGTTTATTTGTTTCTGTCTTTCTGTCTTTCTGTGTTTCTTTGCTTCTTTCTTTCTTTTGTTATTTCTTTCTTTCTTCATTTTATTAGTGATGGCATGTTGCCATTAAATCACTATGTCATGTTGTCATAGTTTCCTTGTTTCATTTATCATAGCTGTTCTTTCAAAAAGTCATCATGTTATCATTTCATTGTTTCATTAGTTCATTGTTTAAGTCTGCCAGTAGGTGTTTCATCATTTTATCATTTCATGTTTTAATTATTTGTTTTACAATTTCATTCTTCTGTGAGTATGTCATGCGTTCATGATTTCACGCGGTCATTTACTTCATGATTTCATTATCTTATGGTTTTGATTGATTTGTCGGCTTGACTGACTTCAGTGGTTGATATAGATTGAAAGAGTTATTGATTTGATTAAGTCACTTACTGATTGGCTGATTGGTTGGCTGACTGCCTGATTCGGTTGATTAATGAATCGGTTGATTGACTGTCTGATTTGTTTTGATTGGGTTTGTATTGATTTGATAGTTTGGTCGGTTCATTAATTGATTGGTTGATTGATTTATTGATTGTTTGCTTGGTTGATTCACTGGTTTGCTTGACTTTAAGGTTGATTGCTTTGCTTGGCCGAGTGCTTGCGTGTTTGCTTGTGTGTTTGCTTGCGTGGTTCCTGTTGCTCGTTTTTGCATGTGTGTGTGTGTCCTGTTGCGTGTGTGTGTGTGTGTGTTTGTGTGTCTTTGTTTATTGGATTGGTTTGTTTGGTTGGCTTTGCTTGCTTGCTTTGTTTGTGTTGTTGGGCTCTGCTTGTGTGTTTGTGTCTGTGTGTTTGATTTTGTTTGCTTGCTTGCTTGCTTGCTTGCTTGCTTGCTTGCTTGCTTGCTTGCTTGCTTGCTTGCTTGCTTGCTTGCTTGCTTGCTTGCTTGCTTGCTTGCTTGCTTGCTTGCTTGCTTGCTTGCTTGCTTCCTTGTTTGCCGGAATTACGATTGCGGCTTGTGCAAGCATCTAGAAGGTTTACAAATGTTAAGAGTTCCTGTACCTGCAAGGCTTTTCTCTTTCAAAGTTTCTGAACGTTGCAGAATGTGCATGGGGGCTGAACCTGACATCTCTCAGGGTTCCTTGCTAGGTATCTCTCGTACTGGGTATCTCACGTACAAGATTGACCTCAGATTTATCCGGTTTACTGCCCAACCAGAAGGTTTTCCATCCAAGACAATCGCCTTGCCGTGGAGGTTGCGAGATCCAACTCAGGATCGAAACGTTTCTGGAAACATTGGGGGTAAGTGAAGGTTTGTCGGTTGGGCACAGTCTCAGCCAGAATTCGGTGCAGCGCCTTGGAGTTGTGTTGTGTTCGCGCTCTTCTACTTTAGAGCACGGCAGCAACTTTCACCTGGGCCGTTATTTGACCTTTTTTTTTTCTGAGGGGTCGCCGTGAAGCAACAATCCGTCATGTTGTCATCACTATACTTCTCAAAGTGCCAAGCCCAGGATATCCCTGCCAGACAAAGCGCTGCAAGTGGCGGTTGAGACCTTGAAGCAACTCGGCACATGGGCGCCATGCGTCGTGCGCCGCGCGCCGCGTTTGTCACATCCTTAGAGATGGGTGTGGGTGCGTCCAAACATAGGCGACCCTCAAGAGGGGTTGGTCTCCTTCGATCGGACCCGCGCGAGCCGCCCCAAGGGCTCAAAGGGTTGTCAGAGGAGTTGACATGAGACAGAGAATAGGTGGGGGGTGAGGCCGTGAGGCAGTCGGCGACTTGCATGTGGCTCGTCTTTTTGTCGAGGCTCGGCAGGCTCGGTACCTTTTTTTTGTTTTTGCGGTCTTTGATTGGGAAACAAAATGGAAAGCCGAAGCCATTGTGGGCGTCCAAGTCCCAAAAAGGTCTTGCACCCCCATGTTGGTCGATCCCAAAAACAACACCTGCCAGGTTGGTCGAACCCAAAGTCAACGGGCTTTGGACACAACCATCAACAGGGTGCATGACGTCACGCCCTTGGCACGTATTGGCGTTTGAAAGGCGACACAAGACCATCACCTACGAAGACATCGTGGAGAGCGAGGGTGTGAAGCAAAGCGCCGCCTGTCACCTACAAAGCGGGATGTCTAGGTGGAGCCCAGGGACTGCCAGACAGGTTTTTGGTTTTGGATGCCCATAGGGGTTGTTCGAAAAGGGAACAAACGGAAAACCACTGATTTTGAGGGTCCCCTATTTTCAAGGTAAACCAAGGCAGCAAGCTGCGACCTTATGGTTTCAAAGCTTTGCACAAGAGCCCCTTGGCCATGGTGAAACCTTGAAGGATATGAACCCTCAGCATGATGCAGGAGTTGAGAACATGGGCTTCGACCTAGACCTACATTCTAGTTTCACTTGAGCTGTCAGCTTTGCGGAGTTCTCTTGTGTTGGAGAGTGTATTCTTGAGGCACTGCACTATTGCTATTCCAGGCATCCCTCGATTTTCCCTTTTTGGACCTTCAAAAGTGGCAACTTCCATGAACACCACCAGTGAATTGATCGATTGTGAATGGGAAATCCAGCGGCCCCTGTATTCAGGCGCTCACTAATTTTGCCGCGCTTGATTGCAGACACTTGCAGCAATAAGGATGACACAATCATACAGTTGAGTTGATGAGTGAAGCGACTTTATTCCATGCACAGCAGGACAGTCACGGACAAAGTATCAAACAATAAGGTTGGGGCCCCTACAGACAGCAGCCTTTGCTGGGCATATGTAAGATGCTCTGGGGGACCAGATGTTTTTTCACTTATAGCGATTAAGAATCACTTAGTGCATGAAATCAGAATTGTGGTTGTCCTATTGCCTGGGCCATCTCCAAATGTGTGCTACTTGTACCTATTGGTTGGGTATGCTAACTGATTGTTACTCGCTATGGGGAATTCAACTACCTTCACCCAACTCATACCCCAACATAGCATTCATGTGGCCCGGCAACAGGATTGGGTTCTTGTGCGAAGAGGAATACCAGGGCTCCAAGCAAGATCTTCTTGCTTGAAGAGAAGGAGGACTTGTTCCTTTCTGGGCACAGTGTGACAGAGTGTGTGAGTAAAAGCCAGAGCTCTGTCCGGTTCCATGCTCAAAGGAGACAACCAGTACCCTGCCTGAACAAACCACGCCCACGCCTTTCTGACATTTGGCGCCTGCCAAAACGGTCGGGAAGAGGCAGCATGGTAAGGTCCCTACCTCCCAATTCGAATGGGGCCAAAGGAGCAAAAGCTTAGGCTCGCTTGGAGTAGTTGCACGGGCAAGTCAAGGTCACTCGGGTGTGATCCAGCGATTTTGATCCCTGGGCCCAGGGGCCGTAGAAATTGTTACGAAGGCCTGGTTCGAAGTAGCAAGCCCCGGAGGTTATGCTGAAAGGAGTATCGGAAGCCCCTTTTGTGATCCCGGGCTCACGTATTTCATTTGCCTACTGGTAGACTTTAACCCAGGATTTCGTTCTTCTGGGGCAATGCACCCGAGTCAAAACCTGGGACCCTCTTTGTAAACTGGGTTTTTTCAGCCTCCCAAATCCAGGAAAATCAACTTCCGTATGACCCATCCGCGGGTTTAAGGTCTACTTGGATTACCTCAAGTCGGAGATCGACACGGAGAACGCCTTCCTGGAGCTTCCGCTGACCATTCTGGTGCTGGCCGCTCGGCTTCCGGAAGCCAGAACCGTTCTCCGCAGACCTTCCGCCTGGCGGTTTCATTCCAGCCGAATGTGAACCCCAGATAGAACCCCCCTGTTTATTCATATGTTGGTGGGGATTCATCACTTTAGAAGAGGATTATTCATCCTGGGTCAACATTATGAGCCCCGAGGGGGCTTGGGAAAATTCGGGCTGTTTCCTTGGCTGAAATGTCATGAGCTTCCCAGGCGTTTCTTCTAAACGAACCATCGGGTGATGTTTACCAAGCACATCTTGCAGGGAAACGCAGACATTTGAAAATTGTAAATTTTCAGTCAGTCTTCCAGCCCAAATGGCTTGTTTGGCTTGGTCTGTTGGCTCTGGTTCCAGGTGGTTGCAAAGGGGCGAACCTCGCCACCAAGTCAGCAAAGTCAGGAAAGAGGACCCAGGCCCAAGCTTCGGACAGAGGGGCCCTAATGGAAAGAAATAGGAAGACTTGGTTACGCTGGGTGACTGAAATACGTCAAAACACCCTCTTGGGGGTGGCAACGATGGTCATCAACTCCGTAAGGGGTGCAGACAAAGGAATTTGACCATGGCCATGTTTACCTGTGCGAGTGTCCAACCAGCATGTTTCTTGTTCCTCACCTCCGAAATGGACAACTTGTTGCAGTTGGACCAACCCAGAAGAGGCCACTAGAGAAAACCAATACATCATGAAGACAACGGCGATATGGGCTGTTGCATCGCCAAGCAAGGACATTTACACGGGAGATGCCTTGCAGAGCCCAGCGAGTCTTATCCTTGTTGCTTCCATCGGATTCTACTTGGAAAGGAAAGGACATGAAAGGACCCCTTGCATGATTCCATGTTGCTTCGTGACATCAAAAGGAAAGCCATGGGTCATGGGTCCATTCCCTTTGACGCAGACCCATACGATTCGTGGATTCGATGAACACAATCCTGCTCCAGTTCGCCTGTTCTCCCGATCAAGTTGCATCCATACGCGTGGATTTGAAGACCCCTACACCCCCAAAGCCACAAACAGGCAGATGGGTGCGGCTCAGTGTTTTTTCTGCTTGACTGGGGACCGCGGGTTGTCTTTTTGTTTCCCAAAAGGGCCCATTTTGGGGATTCGACTTGTTGAGCCACCAGATGCTTCTCGACCTGAAAACACCCTTCTCCATCCGCGCGCTCTTTTTTTGTGTGCAACCTTCTCCGCGCGTTTTGTTGTTGTTGTTTGTTTATATATATATATATATGTCTCCGCTGGAAAGCTGCTGGGTTCGATCCCTTGGATCCGAGGTGTCCTTCGCCATTCTGGCCATGAACGTCATGCACCAGGCACGCGTGCACCCGGGTTCGAACGGAAGTGAATTTCCACCCCATCCCCTTATTGGTTGTTTCTTTCTACTTCTGTTTTAGGGAGGCGTGTTTTTTTTGTTAATGGGAGGGTCGGACAAGGCAAAAAACAAACAAAAAGCAAAAAACAACACAACGATACCTATTTGTTTTTTGTTAAAAAAAAGGCGGGGCGGGGGGGGGGGGGGGGGGGGGGGGGGGGGGGGGGGGGGGGGGGGGCGGGGAGGCGGGGAGGTGGGGAGGCGGGGAGGCGGGGCGGCGGAAAAATCTTCGGCTGGGCAGGAGCAGCTGTTCGCCCTCGAGGAGGCCGGACTGGAGGAAAAAGAAGCCGAGGCCTTGTCGAGTCAGGGAACCCCCCCAAAAAAGAAGCGCCCCACCCCTCCCCCTCCAAAAAAAAGATGATAAAAAAAAGGAAAGAAGGAAGGAGAATTGAAATGAAGATAAGTTATGTCGCTACTAAAAGGGGAACTGTTGCTGATCAGGGCCCTCCAGAGGAATCCCAGGTCACATTCTGTGTTTCCTCTTAATTCGGGTGCCATGCATCCCATTGGTGGCAGGTGGACGGACCTGCTTGCTTGCGCAGGAATCCTTTGGAACTGAGGTCAGCTCCTCACGAGTTTGGACCATTCTCACTTTTGGGTCGTCAAAAATCGGGCCGAGACAACGACTAGCTGCTGCTTTTCGTCCAGACACTTTGCCCCAGTCACAGTTGGTGGGGGTTTGCAGCAGCTTGGCTATCCAGGTACGTGTCAAAGGATGTCCGCGTGCTTTGCCTTTGAGCTGACCTGAAACGGGTAAACACGCACCCAGATTAATCAGAAACTTGATCTTTCCACAGTGCTTGAAAAGTAGCCCACAACCGAGCCCCGCTGCGAGTTGTTTAGGCATTCGCCTGTTCAGAAGGGCTGCACGGCTATCGGGTCTGACTTCCTAAGTTTGTGTCCCTCCATGAAAGTCTATTTAGTGAGGTTCATTATTTAGGCCCCTCCGTGTCTTAAAATGAGGGGAACCCCAAAATGGCTGTTCTATCTACAGCCTATAGTATATTTACCCCAAGGCAGCTCTCAAATGGCTGCTTCACCTTTTCGCATCCAAACCCCAGCCCCAAAATTCAGGGGTCCGTAGCTATATTTCCCTTTTTGGTGGTTTTAAACATCGCCTTTCCGGCCATGAAAGGTGAGCTTCCCGTGGTCGGGGTGATGCTCGAAGGGGAACTATGGCTGTGGGTCAAAACCAGTGGGATCCCATTTTGGGGTAGGTGCACCACCCATTTGAGTCTCTTTTAGTGGGGATTGGGATGTTCACTGGGGGTAGGGGCTTTTGACCCATGGCCATATAGGGAGCCCTGCAAAACGGCACCCTCAGTTCACCCCTGCGCAAGTGGGAGCTTCGGACTGGGAGCCATCGAGGCCATCGAGCGGGACCTGATCGAGAACGCCAACTTCGCCTGGAGCGGGAACTTTGGGCACAAGGGCCTTGAGCAGGCGGGGGGGTGGCTGACTCGGACTTCACAAATATGCCACAAGCAAAAAAATCGTGTGGATGAAGGTTTGTAAATGATAGAAAGGGAAGGTCCCGACCATAAAACGGGTGGCTTCATATCACCTTTTCAGGTCTTTAATTGTGATTCACGAGCGAGCTGGCAAGGAAAGCAACATGAAACAAGCGAAACAAAACTCGGAAGTGGTATGCTACATTTGACAAGTGGCCCAAGGTTCTCCACACCGAAAAAGACTACAGCACATTGCTCATTTTAGAGACCCGCCCCCGATTTGATTGAACAACATATGTTTGTTTGGGTCTGAGGGGCCCCATCCCCTCCCCCCCCCCCCAGTTAACCCGGGGCTATGGATGAGGTTCTTCCTTTGTCAATCCTTGAGGTCAGCTCCATTGAGGATTTCTGGTCCTTCATGCGGCTGGGGCTGCTAGGCGCAGAGACGGGAGGGCCTAGACGGGATCTCCGATCCCACAAGTTTATGTTTTGGACGAAGCTTCCTCGTGCTGAACGTGTTTTATGTTTCCCCTGTTGGTGTTTGACTGAATCTATCACAGGATTCGTTGATTTTCGGGACGAAGCTTCGATATGTTGGTTTTTGGAGGGGATCTATCACTGGAACAAGAGTTGTTCCAGGGGACGAACAAGCAAGTTTCAGGCACGCCTTATAGGTGGTTTGGGTTGCACTCCTAGTTCTTGTGGAGGGTAAATGAGAAATCACCCCCACCAATCAGCGTGAAGCTGAAAATAAACAACATCTGCAAATCTGAAACCTGAAGCTATGACTTTCTGTGCACCACCAGATGGCCAAGCCGAGACTGAGGAGCCGTGGGGACCTGTCGTGTTATTTCGAATCGCGTTCTTGTCATGCTTTAGGGTACCCTTACCACGTTCCTCGGCTTTGAGAAGGCGTTGAACATGAGAGCACAAAATATTTAGTTTAAAGAAGAAAAAACAACAGCTGGACGTGTTGGTCTTTTGGAAGCAAATCCACGCCCCGAAACACCAGTTCAGCGAATCCCCCCCCATACTCACCCTATAAACTAAATCTGTTTGCTTGGGTACTTTGAGGGTCTAGGATCCAATTTGTTTACCTTTCGAGTTTCCTCTTTCATTTTTTTATAGCTGGGAATGCAAGTATTTGGGGGTGTTATTCTGTTTAAGGAGCCATTTTGGAGGTTTCTCACAATCACTTTCAGGGGCTGTCTCCCCAAGCCAGCATTGAAAGGGTCATTTTTCCGGACTTTCTAAACTGGGCCGAGTTCCAATGGTTTTAGGACTTTTTGGCTCACTTGCTACATGCCCCCACCCCACCCAACCACCCCCTCCTTGCTGGCCCAGCCACACCTACTCACGGCACACCCATCCATCGCCAATTCCAGCCCCATCCCCATCCCCCAACTCCACCATCCCCCAACTCCACCATCCCCCAAGTCCACAATCCCCCAACCCCACCATCTGCTTCTTTTTTTTCTCCCCCCGCACTCCCCCCACATCCCCCAACTCCCCCCACCAACCGTTATTTTTTGTTTTGCTTTTCGTGCAGGCTTGGTGGTGAAGCCCGTTTGGCTCTACTCTGAGTCTCCGCTGAACACCACCACTGCTTGGGCTTCCAGCTGGCGCCTCGCCGTTCGCGAGAGTGGCAAGGGCCATGGATGAAATCGGGCGCGCGAAATGACGAGGGTTCCAGTTGGGTGTGTGTGTGTGTGTGTGTGTGTTTTTGTTTTGTTTTGTAGTTTTAAAGAGAGACCAAAAGGAAAACCACAATTCCGGGAAGGATTGTTGATCTTGTTTGAGCCTCTGGTTGAAGCTAAATGGTAAGCTAACAACCAAACCGAACCAAACAGCCAGGGGGGAAGCGGAATTTCCTGTGAAGGGCACCCTAAAGCAAAAAGTTGAGGCAGGGGTTACCACGCAAAATGGGATCTGGGACATGAATTGGGTGTGTGTTTGTTTAAAGGGCGTCGTTTTGGTTCCTTTAAACCACACTTTAACAGGGCACCCTCGAAAAAGGACTCCAAAAGCGGCAGTTTCAATGGAAACCACCAGGAGACTATTGAGTGGGAAACCCAGTGATATACCTGTTTGGAAGGACATGGGGGGACAAGCTCTAAAATTTCCCCACAAAATACAGCCTGGGGCAAGCAAGGTTCTCGATATTATCCCTGGGGTTTGCTTTATTTTGGAGTTGGTACTGTTTAAAGGGAATCCAATGGGAAAGCCAACATGTCCACCATTTTGGCCCCTGACCCCCTATTTTGACGCAGACCCATACTTCCACCCTAAACATCACCCCTAAAGCATGACCAAAAGGGGAACTATCCTAAATCCTCTCAGTGGGAAGTCAGCGAAGCCGGCGTACCGCTTCACTTGCAACCAAAGCGAGTCGACCGGATCTGATATTTTTTATTGTCCCATGTTGTTTCAGTGGCCCTAAAAGGTGATCACCTTTTCCTTCGGGGCCCAAGCTGGGCAACTGAGAACATGGGGACCTTCGTTTGGAGCTCTGATGAAGAGAACCCAACAGCATCCCTTTCAAGAAAGGCTGGTGCAAGTCATTTGGGCAAATTATACACTCCCTCAGATTAGCATGGAAGCTCCCAGTAGGCAACTGTACATGGAAGCAAATCTTCCAACGGGGTTCTGGGAACTTCAATGTTAACCTGGGGGAGTAGCGGCTAGCGACGTTCCCTGTTCTTTTTTTGGCGACGGTCATGTTCAGTTAGGTGTGTCTTTTCTTAGGGGACCAATGGTGGCTTTCCATTTCCTTTTGGTTTCCCCTCAAACGCCACAACAAAGGGTACCTTAAACAAAAGCAAAGCTTCCTCAGTCGGTGAATTGAAATAATTGCCCAGAGGCCTCACTGTTGCTTGGCTTTGGATGTCAGAAGCTTCTGCTCATCTAGCTCTGGGTCTCGAATGCTTGGAGTGAGGAGGTCAAAGTCGGAGTCACCTGTTGGCGTCCCTTCTGACACGATTGGCCTCAATGCTAAAGTGTCCAGCTTAGGAGGGGCGTACTCTCCTGAAGTTCCACTACTACCTTTGGGTTGGAAGTCCGGGTGGGTCCCATGCTTGGGTTTTCCGGAGGATTAAAGGTCTGTCTCGACCATCGTGAGTTGTCCTATGCAACCATAGGAAGGGACGGCAAATCGTGGGCGCAACCATGAGCCTTCACACGCTGTCAGGGGGCAGTGGGTCGCTTAGGCGTCGCGCGAATGGTTCGCTTAGGGATCGCGCAAATGGATCGCTCCGGGATCGCTTTTTGCAGAAGGCTTGTCGCGCATGCATGCGTGTTGATATGTTTGCTCGCGATGTATGTTTATATACGCGCATGCGCGAGCATGTATGCGCTTGTTTGTGCTTGTCGGCGTGTATATCGCATGACATGTGACGTGTATGTTTCATGACATATGTTACTATGTATGCTGGCGAGTCCATGTATGTGGTTGTGTGCATGCGTGTTGACATGTATGCCCTGCGGCGTATGCCCCAGAACCCGATGAATTTGCACATTAGGTTACAGAGCAGGCTGGGCTGGTTCAGTTGAGCGGGTGTGCTTATCATCCCCCCACCCCACCCTCCACCCCCAGAAAGAGATGCATTTGCTGGGATGAAGCAGTTCAGCGGTTGTGCTTATCATGCGCCCATTTCGTTACAGTGCAGGCTGGGCTGGTTCAGTTGAGCGGGTGTGCTTATCATCCCCCCCCCCCCACCCCACCCCCCACCCCCAATGAATTTGCTGGGATGAAGCAGTTCATTATCATGCCCCCCCCAAACCCACCCACCCCGCAGAACCATGCTATTTTGTAATCCGGTAAAAGAGCAGGCTGGCCTGCAGCAGTTGAGCGGGTGTGCTTACCATGCCCCCCCCACCCCCACCCCCCAGAACCATGTTATTTTGTATTCCGGAAAACGAGCAGGCTGGTTTGCAGCAGCTGAGCGCATGTGCTTATCATGCCCCCCCCCCAAACCCCCACCCCCCCCCCCCACCCAGAACCATGTTGTTTTGTAATCCGGTAAAAGAGCAGGCTGGTCTGCAGCAGTTGAGCGGGTGTGCTTACCATGCCCCCCCCCCCCCCCCCACCCCCCTCCCCAGAGCCATGTTACTTTATCCGGTAAACAGCAGGCTGGCCAGCAGTTGGCGGGTGGTCACCCCAACCCCCCTGAGAGCCATGTTTTTGTAATCCGGTGTAAAGAGGCTGGTCTGTGAGCTGTTGGAGCGGGTGTGCTTATCACCCCCCCCCCACCCCCTCCCCAGAGCCATGTTACTTTGTAATCCGGTAAAGCGCGGCTGAGCAGAGCGGGTGTGCTTACCATGCACCCCCCAACCCCCCCCCCAGAGCCATGTTACTTTGTAATCCGGTAGCAGCGGCTGGTCTGCAGCAGTTGAGCGGGTGTGCTTACCATGCCCCCCCCAATTCCCCCCCCCAGAGCCATGTTACTTTGTAATCCGGTAACAGAGCAGGCTGGTTTGCAGCAGTTGAGCGGGTGTGCTTACCATGCACCCCCCAAACCCCCCCCCCCCAGAGCCATGTTACTTTGTAATCCGGTATCAGAGCAGGCTGGTCTGCAGCAGTTGAGCGGGTGTGCTTACCATGCCCCCCCAATTCCCCCCCCCAAACCATGTTACTTTGTAATCCGGTAACAGAGCAGGCTGGTCTGCAGCAGTTGAGCGGGTGTGCTTACCATGCACCCCCCAACCCCCCCTCCCCCAGAGCCATGTTACTTTGTAATCCGGTAAAGGAGCAGGCTGGTCTGCAGCTGTTGAGCGGGTGTGCTTATCACCCCCCCCCCCCACCCCCTCCCCAGAGCCATGTTACTTTGTAATCCGGTAGAGGAGGCTGGTCTGCAGCTGTTGAGCGGGTGTGCTTATCATCCCCCCCCCTCCCCACCCCCGTCATCAATGAATGTGATCCCTAAGTGATCCGTGAATGTGATCCTCAAGTGAGCGTGTATCCCTAAGTGACCGTGATCCCTAAGTGAACCGTTTGAACGATCCCTAAGTGACCTGTTTGCCCTGTCAGGGGTCGGATCTGGGAACAGTGGCAAAACTGCAATGCTGGCCGGAGTTTGCCCAATCGGGTACTTCGGGGGCGTTTTTCTTTTTACAGGAAACCACAGGCCTTGACTGCATCATGTTCGAAGAGAACCATGATGTTGGGCTTAAATGGGAACCTGCTCGAACCAAGGCAGCCTCAAGTTTGTGCAAGGGCCTCAAGCACTGAAAAGCCTAGGCTCTTCCCTGGCTATGACAAGCCGGCGCCTGTGAAAAACGAAGCTTGGCAACAACCTAGGGGGCTACTTTGCGGATGAAGATTAATAAATTTCAAGAAACCATACCTAGAGGAAACCACCCCTTTTGCGGGAGGCATGGGCCTTTTGGGGGCCTTTGGGGGCTGTCTTTGGGGCGGTCTTTGGGGATCCGGAGGGCTGAGAGTTGGCCCTTGCGAAGATCTGGTGTGGTTTTCCGCCTTATATGTTTGGCCTGTTGCGCTGTTCCCCTTCCAGCTAGCTCGGGTTCCCCCTTTGAGCCATCAACTCGATTGCTACGTTCCATCGCCGAGTCGTTCAGCAGTGACCCGTCTGCTGTTTGGTGATTGGACTTGCTTTGCCTCTTTGTTCGCTTGAAAGGATCGAGCAACACGCATATGTCTGCCGGGTCTTTGGGATTGTTTTCTCGCATGGGAGGGGTTGAACTCCAGCGGATTGCTCGGGATCGCTGAGCCTGGACTCCAGGACCTGCAGTGCATCCAACGGGCTGAAGTGCTAAGTAGGGCCCAAAATGAAGGATTGGTTTCATGTACCAAGGTGCCTTTTTGGGTGCCATGCTTTGAGCCGCGACCAAATCATTGAATCTCAGTTTCCTCTGAAAGTGGACCGTTTTGGCACACTGAATCCAGAAATCCTTCCTATGTTCCCATTGTTTGCACCAATGTAGGCCCCGCGGCCAAGGAATATCTTCACTATGCCAAGCTGGTGAGCGGGGTGCGGATGCGCCAGCAAATCGCGGCGGAGGGGAGCTGCATCGTGCCGAACGTCCTGGACCCCGGGTCTGTGCAGAGGTGGCTGCCCGGACCAACTGGCGACCGCTCCAGGTAGGTGGTTTCCAGGTGGTTCTTTGAAAAGGCCTGTGCTTAGTGTCTAGGTCCTCCTGTAGTACCCTTTTACCCTTTTTTTGGGGAGGGTTCCCCTACTAAAATAGTCTACAGAAAAAAGGGCACCCTTATTCTAACCTCTCTACTGGAGGACCTAGTTGTGTTTGCTCTTTCTGTAAAAACTATTTGTTTGCACCCTCAAACCACCCATGAAAGTTGATTGTTGCCCCAAGAAACTCATGGGAATTCTCTTTTTTCAGGGGAGTTTTGAGGGTCCAGGTATATATATATATATATATTGCAGGGCACAGTAGCAAAGTGGTCACAGTCACAAGGATAGTCGAATTGGTGGGAGGATATTTCCCAGCACCATCGACCAACTCTTCCGCGGCGTCCAGCTCACTGGGAATTTTGGTAGAGGGTTTTGCCAGGTTTCAGAGCCCCTTCCACCCAGAGGCGTGAGTGCACAGGCCAACAGCGTCCCCAATGAAAATAAGCTGACAGAAGGCTTTGGAAGACGAAAGCTTTCCTTTTGGGAAGCCCTTCGTTTACTTCCATGGGAAGGATGGTGACTTGTCTTTTCGCAAAGGGGCCTGCGGAGTTCCATCGGCTCTTGGGCTCGGGTGGCACAGAGAAAGCCCGCTGTCCTAGTTGAACGAAGCTGGTAACAGTTTCCTTGTTTTTTAGTGTTGCAACTGGTGTTTTTATGGCGCAGTTGGTGCCTTTGCTCTGTCCTTTGACACCCCCATGTGTTTTGCAGGTTCTTCTTGTCTAGATCGAGAACTCAGCATTGACCAACCAAAAGGAGCTCACTTGCCCACCTTTTGACCTTTGGTTTTCCCATGTTGGTGCATTTTCAGTGACCCAAACAATATGGGTCTGGGTCAAATTTAAACCACCAGGGGACCGCAGGTTGTAGTCCACGTTGCCATTTACCAGGGCAAGCCATTACCCTATTTTTGACCCCCAGCCATATGGCGATCACGTGACAGGCCTGAACTGAACAGTTCTGCCGAAGTGGTGCAACTGAGTAATGATAACGCCTGGCGCCTGGGCCAAGGCTCGCAAAGCCTTGCTTCCCCTCGGATTTGGGACTCTTGACCCCTGAGGTGAACGAGGCCGTGAGTGGGAGGGGAACGCGGCGAGTCTCCTCCAATAGTTTTTGTTGTTGGTTAATATATTTGGGATTTTGGGGTAGGCTACACATCATCCGAAGTTATGATGTTCTGTTCCGATGGATGTACAAAGCAGGAGGCGTGTGAGTATGACTCTTAGTGGACCCCCCTGGTTTGTAGGGTTTGGTTCACGCATCCCTGTCAATGTGCAGTCACCCTTTTGTCACTTTGTGCTCGGGATTGATCTCGGGTTCTCTTTGCCAGATGCAAAGAGGACTTTCTCGTCAGGCGCCTGTGTGGGGTGCACGGTTTTCGAGAATGGAAGCTGATAACAGGGAGTTGTCAAGAATGGAAGCTTTCTCTTTTTGGGGAAGCCCGAAAAGGAACCCACTTCTATGATTGCAAGGGTAAAAACCCGTCCATGTCCTCGTCAGCACAGCTTCATCCGGCGATGGCTTCTGAACTTCTGATTTTTGAAGCCATCCTCCACCCACCCCCCCCCCGCTGGGACGGAGCGAGATAGCCTGGCAAAGTGGCAGGATGCCGGCCAGCACCCGGCTAATTCATGTGCACACCCCCAGCCCTCTTAAAGTCTTGTGGTAGTTTGGAGGCTTGGAGGTTTGGAGGCTTGGAGGCTTGGAGGCTTGGAGGCTTGGAGGTTTGGAGGTTTGGAGTTTGGAGGCTGTAGTTGCTTTTTCTGTGTGATCGAGGAAGGAAAACACAAAGGCCGTCAAAAAGATATGACACGGACAGTCCCGACTCCCAACCAAAGTATGGTCCGCTCGGTTGATTCCTTTCGTGGTTTGGGGTAAACCCCATTACCAGGTTTTGATCAAGTTGTGACTCCTAGGGCGCAAGGCGCCTGACAGGGGGTCCCTTGAGGAAATTGATCTTCCAGGTGCCCTCCCACAGGTGCTATGTGGAGGAAGGTTGCCCAAAAATGGTAGGTAACCAAAGGTTCCCCACTCCAAACCAAAGCACATAGAACATGGCTACGCCTGGCTGCTTTTTCCTGCCTGGGATGGGATGCTCATTTGCAAGTTGCAGCTTCCCGTGGACCAAACCAAGCGATGTTTTTCCCAGCGTGCCTTTGCCTCTTGAGGCATCTGCAAATGGCTTCTGAGCCCGCCTTTGAAGGTATCTGTGTGGCCATACTGTGGATGGACGAAACCCGTTCGCACCACCGAAGGAGCCATGGGCAAGCATTGTTGGTTGGGTATTTACACAGGAATCAGGGATCGAGGGTTTCTTAAGCAGTAGGATTTCGTCCATCCACAGTATTTCAGGCACACAGTCAATTATTTTGCTTCACCCAGATTCTTTTGGGTCAGACTAAGTGGACCCCCAAACAAGGTTGGTTTCTGTGTGATGTTCCTTTAACCACGCAAAAATCAATGGCTTGCTCGAAGATAACACGCGTTTCTCGCGAAAGGCTGAGAACTTTGAGAACCTTCAGAGGGAAGAGTTCTTATTCCCAGATCTCATGGACAAGCAGGCGCAAATGGGTGCCGATACAAAGCCAGGCTTGCATTACTTGGTGGCTCCCAGCCATCCGGTTCCTTAGTTGTTTAGGCTTTTAGTGTTTAGTGGTAGTTTCCATTTAACCCACTAAAAGTTATGCTTTTAGCGGGGGATCCGAGGGCAGCCCAGATTAGTTGTTTCTCGTTGATGGAGTTCACAACACCTTTATGACTTTGTGTGTACATATCCACTCCTTGTGTCATGCAGTGTTCAGTGTTCCTTGAATTGGCTGGAACAGGAAGACCCGTAGAAGTATTTTTTTCTCTCGGGCGTTGCCTTTTGTCATGTTGGTTTGCCATCTACTTTCACTCTGTAGTGTCCCCATGTGGCTATGGAGGACATGCATCCCCACAGAATTCTGATGTCCGCCATCTTGCTGGTGCTCAGCAGGGAATGAGGGAGTGCACCCAGGAGGTCCGCTTAAAGTAAACCACCCGTTGGACAGTTTATCTTGGGCGCATTCCATTTCTCATTTCCTGCCTATCCCACCAGCAAGCCACTGCGGGCCAAAAATTCTGAGGACCTGATGAGGAAGATTCTGGAGATGGAGGACGGGTGCAACTACGCTCAGTCCATTGGCAGTCTGGACACCTGCCGCTGTTCATGGTGCAAGGACGGCTTGGGTGGTCTTCACGGTTCTTGCCGTATGGGCTGTGTGTTTTTGTTGTGGCCTAAACAGGAAAGGCCAAAAGGAGAACCACAATGCTGCGGGTCCCCTCAAGAAGATGTTTCTGGGGGTGCCTTAAATTTTGGGACCGCCAAAACTCCTGGTTATTTGGGGGTTCCCAAAAGTATTAGCCCAAAAAGGGTACTCACATATATCTTGCTTGTTCTTGGTTGTGTCCTCGGTCCTAGGTGGCCTGAAAAGCACATGTTCTGCACTAGCACTCCTAAGGTTAGACACTGGTAGTCCGACCTGAAAGGACCAACCGAAGCCGCGCCCCTGGGTGGATGAGGAGACAGCCCGGGTGGAGATTTCCATGGTGCTCTTCAATCCCCAGCATCTCGGTTGCGCTGTCAGCTTCTGATTCCGCCGAAAACCCCCAGAGAACAGGCGATCTGCAGGAGTTGGGTGTTTGAAGGGGAACCTGTTTGGTGGTGCTTAAAGGAGAGCCAAGAACGGAAACAAGCGTCTTGGGGGACCAAAACGAAACCATCCATTCTTGGAGACCACAAGGAAGCCAACCACTTTATTTATCCAAAAGTAGTAAACAGACCCTTTCAGGGGAGCGACTCCATTCAGAAACCTCCAGTCGCATTTCGCCCGCGAGGTGTTTTTGCTGGTTCCGGGTTCCGGGAGCAGCTTGCAAGGTACGGATCGTACACTTATGTCTCCATCAACTTCGTCTTCAACCGCGGCGGCCACGTCTATGCCTTCATCCATTGCGTCTTACATCAAAAGGGGCAAGGGGGGAGGGGCACAAGTCAAAGCGTTCGAAAGTGCTTTGCCACTTTCTTGAGCTCCGTCGGGCTTGCATCGATTGATTTCTGAGGATTTTTCTGGGATGCACGACAACCCCAAGGAGTGGTTGACCTTTCCCATGCCCTCGCTACAGCAATCGGATATATCACCTTTAGCAAAGCTTTATCGTGTCAAGATGTATGAAGATATGTGTTGCTGGCAAAGGAGCTCACAACAGGGTGATATTACCTGTGGAAAACTGCATACAAGTGTCCCTTGCCATATCGTTGATGTTCATCCCCTGAAAAATGAGGTTCACCTTTATTCGTTATCCTCCTCTATATTTTCCGTGTTTGCTCTTTCTATAAATTCTATCTGCCTGAACCCTCAAACTGCCCATACAAATGGGTTATTACCCCAACAAGTCCTTTTGTAAGGGTAGCTTGAGGGTCCAGGCGGGCTTTTGATCCCCCCCTGCTTTGGGGCACAGTTCCTCGCTCCATCCTCGCACGGGCGCGCGTCAATCGAGGCCTCTCGGCCTTTGTGGACTTTTTCATGCGCCCGGTCTCCGACCCTCGGCAAGAGCTCGTTACGCGCATCCGCGGTTCAGTGGCACCGCTGACTTCTGGCCCTTGTTTGGCTTCACCCAACATGGTGAAGCCTGAGAAGAACCTCCTTCTTCCATCACGGAACCCAATTTTCATGGTGACGGATCTTTGGACTTTAGCTAGGATGCTTTGGCGACCAAAGAATGACAGACATTGTTCTCATGACGATCATGACTTAACTTGGCTTTAAGGTACCCCAGAACCCCATTGCTAACTATTCAGGCCCCTAGACGGGCTTCCCTGGTCATAGAATTGGGGAACCCTGGAGGTTGACTTCCAAAGCCCTCCAATTTTCTCCACTTCGAGGCAGACCCGTTCAAGCATAGGTGTTCCCTCACAAGGTGGATCCCACTGTGTTCAGATTGGATTGAATCACCTGAGTCACAATCAAAGCCCGGGTAAGTGAAGGTAATCCCAACCATAAATAGCTGCGGCCGCCTTCTTAATTCTTTACATGGTTCTGGGTCGACCATTTTAATACCGGGTTTTGATTATGACTCATGCGGAATCTGTCGAGTTGCTTAAAATCACACCTCCTACCTGGATCGAGTTCCGAAGTTAGCGTCGCGCGCGCGTCAAACCGGCGATCAAAGTATCGCATGGGCGTGTGTCGAATTGCCCCCCCCCCCGGGCCAAACGGTTGTTCTCCTTTTGGCTTCTCTTTAAAACCACCCCAAAAAGGGGTTCCAAAAACTAGCGACGCACTTGCATAAACTCACCACTTGCCATGCTGCTGATTTCGATAAGCTCTATTGCTTTTCCAGTGGGCCACCAGCACCGTCCAGGAGGCCCTTGACGTGCCCAAGGGGGCAATTTGGCAATTTCTGCCAAGTGCTTTGCGCGGGGAACAGCCCCCCGAATAGCAAAGTTACCCCCCCCCCCCCCATTCACGGGGGACAAGTGGGAAAGGCCCTACCAACAACTTTCTAACTTGATGGACCTTACACTTGAGAATGCCATGTTTGTGATCCACTAATTCGAATCGAATATCCAATTAGGAGGGTGCCTTGGCAACCTGGCGACTTGAAGTGGGTAACCTACCCATAACTTCCACCTCTCCTTAGGTTTTTTTACAGGACCCTTTAGGGTCCTGTCAGTTTTTAGGAAACCCGCGGGACCCGGTCCTGTCAGTTTGTTGGTTTTTGCTCGCAGGAGTTGGTGATCACGCCTTTACCCCTCTCTCCCCTTTACGTATCCTTGCACTTCCCAAACAGGGTATGTGGGGCCTTCCCTACTGTGGATGGACGCAATCCTGCACCACCTCAAAAACTCGGGAATGATGATTCCCATGGTAAATACCAACGAACCATGGTTTCAACCATGGTTTCTAAGTGGTGCAAAATGGGATTGATTTTTCCATCCACGGCCATTATTTTACATGGGAACGTCGGGCGTTTCTTGGGAGTCGGCTCCAAATTAAACGATCGGGGCTGGCAAACCGCAGGTTTCGGGAACCATGTTTCCACTTACCGATTTTGCAACCCATTTGGGAATTCCGGGTTTTCTTGAGCCACAGCCTCTTAGAACTTTGGTGCATTTTGCTTGGCTGTTAGGACTTTAACTTTTTGCCAACTAATGGGTTTTCCACTAAACCACTAAAAGTTATTCACTTTTAGCAGGGGAGCAGAGTTCACAACCGAGAGGAGTTGGCGATCACCTTCGTCGCGGCCTTGATTTGGTTCGGGGCCTTGGCCTACGCCACGCTGGGCGAGACTCAGGAGATCATCTCCACGGTGCGGAACTCCAACCGAGGATCGACGGAAGGTTTCGATTTGGGGCTGTCAGGATTCCTGGACCGATTCTCAAACTAGACGATGAAAAAGAAGAAAAAGAAGAAGACGAAAACAAAAACGGTGAACCCCAGAAAAGGAAAAAGGAAGTTTTAGCAACAACAGTTTCCAAAGCCATCATGCCCCTGGTTGCCTATGGAATTGGCCTAGCCAAGACGAGGCTAGCGAAGCCGGTCTTTGCTCCATTGGTTGTGAGAAAGTAAGCCAACCCTGAAATGGGTTGCCCTGGTATATGGAAAGGGCTGAAACCTGCGGTCTGGTGAAACTTTGAAAGAGATCTGCGAAGCTTGCGACGCGGCAGCTTTCGTGGATGCTTGGGACACCCCAAACCCTCAACAGTGACAACTCCAGACCCGCAAAATCACGGGGCGCGCCACCCGGTTTTCCTGCTTCGTGTTGGGGTGGCTCGACTTGGTTGAGTTGGTCCCCCCTTTTTCTGGGGTGTTCACGGGAAACCAAACGATTCCTAAAAAAAACATGGGGCACCTGTTTGTTGTGTGTTCCTGGAGGAGAGGTCCTTTTGAAATCAATCAGGTAATCCTTTCTGGGTGGTTTCCTCCACGTCCCTTTTGTGGGATTTTAAAGTTAGTGACAGTTTCAATGGACACCACTGCGTTGCAACTTTTGAAATGTGAATCCAGTTAGGGAAACGTGTAGATGAATAGATCCCGAGTTTGATTTTTCTGGTTACATCACTCGTGAACCTGCGCCGAGTGGCCCCTCACAACATTCGGAAAGGCTTTTGGAGGGCCATCCGCGACGATTATGTGGACTTCTACAACGTGGTGGATTGGTTGTCCATCATCATAGGCCCGGGAATTATCAGCAGGGCACGGGGCAGCGCCGGGTTTCCTCCCGTTTCAATAGGCACGAGCAAGTTTTGAAGAGGAAATCCAAGACGATGGTGCTACTCGGACAGTATAAGACTTAGCCGGACCCACAAAAGTTGGGATGGATGAATTCCCCGGTTGCAACCGGGACTGCTCAAGGCGTCCCGTGCAAACCTCAAAATCATTTAGTGAAGAGGAAATTCAGCGACCCTTGTAAGGAAGAAGTAGAGTTGCCAAACAAATGGTGAGCAGGCTTAAAATACCAAATTGGGGGCAATGAAGCTCGTGAACCTTGCCCCATGTTGGAAGCCCCAAAAAGGCCACCCACTCCTTCAAGCCAAGTTGCCTGACAATTGTTGCTTGATTTTGAGATGTCCATGAAGAGGGTTTTCGCGGAAAAATTATGAGTCCCTTCAGAAGGACCGGTTGTACCTGGTTTGCGGCCTTCGGTTGGTTTTAAAGGGAATCTATCTGGGTGGTGCATCGGTTGTGCACGCGAGAATCTGGCTCGGTTGTGCACGCGAGGCCCGGCTCAGTTGTGCACGCAGACTTGTTTACCTTGGGAATAGCCACGTGAAATGCAGCTATCTAGACAGACGTCATGGAGTCTCGGACAAAGTGTAGCTTGCGGCCCCTTCGTTTTGGGTTTCTTTCAGAGCGCGCCCCATCCCCCAGCAGAGCGCAGTTCAACACTGCGATGGCGGGGGATGGGGTGACGTTGTGGCAACAGGAGGAAAGGATCAAAGTGTAGCTTGCGGCCCCTTTGTTTTGGGTTTCTTTCAGATCAGCCATGCCCAAACCAAGGCTGGGAAATTCGGCGCCCCTGGAAAGTGCTTACCCAAATTAAGGGCCAGACTAAAGCTTTGTCAAACTATACGGTCGGCGCCTTGTGTGAGCCTGAGGCAAATGATCTTACACTAGGGAGATAAAGCAAGTTGACAGGGGAGTTGGGAGTTGGGCAATTCGCAAGCTAGGATGGTATAACACTATTTCACCCAGTGTTTTGTGTGTATGACCCTCATGTAAGCCATTGCTACAAACCCATTCTTGCCCTTCTGATGCCGCCACTTCCATCCACCTACCCCATCTCTTGTATGCGTTCCTTTCTGGACCCCACCCACCCCACCCACCCACCCACCCACCCACCCACCCGCCCGCCCGCCCGCCCGCCCGCCCACCCACCCACCCACCCACCCCCACCCACCCCTTCTGATGCCACCACTTCCATCCACCTACCCCATCTCTTGTGTGCGCTCCTTTCTGGACGTGATTGTGCCCCCACCCACCCACCCACCCCACCCACCCCTTCTGATGCCGCCACTTCCATCCACCTACCCCATCTCTTGTGTGCGTTCCTTTCTGGACCCCACCCACCCCACCCACCCCACCCACCCCTTCTGATGCCACCACTTCCATCCACCTACCCCATCTCTTGTGATGCCACCACTTCCATCCACCTACCCCATCTCTTGTGTGCGTTCCTTTCTGGACCCGCCCACCCCACCCACCCCACCCACCCACCCACCCACCCACCCACCCACCCACCCCCTCTGATGCCACCAATTCCATGCATCTAGAGCTCTGTGTGCGCAACTGAGCCAAATTTGTGTGCGTAACTGAGCCAGAACTCAGGGGGGTTTTGTGTGCGCAACTGATCCAAATCTGTGTGCGCAACTGATCCCCCGCCCATCTATCGGGTGGTGCATCGGTTGTGCACGCGAGAATCTGGCTCGGTTGTGCACGCGAGGCCCGGCTCAGTTGTGCACGCAGACTTGTTTACCTTGGGAATAGCCACGTGAAATGCAGCTATTTAGACAGACGTCATGGAGTCTCGGACAAAGTCTAGCTTGCGGCCCCTTCGTTTTTGGGGTTTCTTTCAGAGCGCGCCCCCATCCCCCAGCAGAGCTCAGTTCAACACTGCGATGGCGGGGGATGGGGTGACGTTGTGGCAACAGGAGGAAAGGATCAAAGTGTAGCTTGCGGCCCCTTTGTTTTGGGTTTCTTTCAGATCAGCCATGCCCAAACCAAGGCTGGGAAATTCGGCGCCCCTGGAAAGTGCTTACCCAAATTAAGGGCCAGACTAAAGCTTTGTCAAACTATACGGTCGGCGCCTTGTGTGAGCCTGAGGCAAATGATCTTACACTAGGGAGATAAAGCAAGTTGACAGGGGAGTTGGGAGTTGGGCAATTCGCAAGCTAGGATGGTATAACACTATTTCACCCAGTGTTTTGTGTGTATGACCCTCATGTAAGCCATTGCTACAAACCCATTCTTGCCCTTCTGATGCCGCCACTTCCATCCACCTACCCCATCTCTTGTATGCGTTCCTTTCTGGACCCCACCCACCCCACCCACCCACCCACCCACCCACCCACCCGCCCGCCCGCCCGCCCGCCCGCCCACCCACCCACCCACCCACCCCCACCCACCCCTTCTGATGCCACCACTTCCATCCACCTACCCCATCTCTTGTGTGCGCTCCTTTCTGGACGTGATTGTGCCCCCACCCACCCACCCACCCCACCCACCCCTTCTGATGCCGCCACTTCCATCCACCTACCCCATCTCTTGTGTGCGTTCCTTTCTGGACCCCACGTTCCTTTCACCCCACCCCACCCACCCCACCCACCCCTTCTGATGCCACCACTTCCATCCACCTACCCCATCTCTTGTGATGCCACCACTTCCATCCACCTACCCCATCTCTTGTGTGCGTTCCTTTCTGGACCCGCCCACCCCACCCACCCCACCCACCCACCCACCCACCCACCCACCCACCCACCCACCCCCTCTGATGCCACCAATTCCATGCATCTAGAGCTCTGTGTGCGCAACTGAGCCAAATTTGTGTGCGTAACTGAGCCAGCAACTCAGTGGCAGGTTTTGTGTGCAGCTTGCAGACATGATCTAGACAAAAGCAGAGCTCAGTTCAACACTGCGATGGCGGGGGATGGGGTGACGTTGTGGCAACAGGAGGAAAGGATCAAAGTGTAGCTTGCGGCCCCTTTGTTTTGGGTTTCTTTCAGATCAGCCATGCCCAAACCAAGGCTGGGAAATTCGGCGCCCCTGGAAAGTGCTTACCCAAATTAAGGGCCAGACTAAAGCTTTGTCAAACTATACGGTCGGCGCCTCTATTATATTCAGGGGGGCTGAAGCAAATTTTGAATGAAGGTCTGGGTTGTGACGTCTTCACAAAGACGCCAATCTTGCATTTTTATTCATACGCTCTGCTTGCGCAGGATTCAAAGAGTTTGATGTGGTTTGAACATGTGGAACAGCGGCAAGCAAGAAGTCAACATGTGAGTGAGTTTGCAGGCCCATTCCTGGTGTCTAAGTTGGACAAGTCAGTATTGCTGGGTTTGTCTTCTGGCTTTTGAGCAGCGAGGGAATACTTCCTGTTCTCGTCGGGCATGATTTTGATAAGAATGGCCGGGTTGTTTCCATCAGTAGGTCGAGCAATCCACTATCTACTGCCAGGTCATTTTCAATATGTCCTTTTTGACTGAAACCCTTTTTGGAGTTGTTCGCCGCATGGCTTTTCTCGTCTTTCGTCTTTCACTCTCAGGATTCTCCCAAAAAATCCTGCCACTCAGAGAGTTGCTTGAGGTTCGCTGCGGAACTGGCCTGAACAGTGGAGCAGTCCGGCATTGACTCACACTGACCATGTCTCAATCATTATCAGCAGCTGGGAGTTTCTGAACCGAGCCCTTTGGGTTAGGGGATATGAAAGGAAACCAAGCCATGTCAAAATCAGGATCTCAAAGATGAGATGTTTCTGCTTGCGGGGCATGACGCTCGAAGACCCGATACCTTGAAACACATGCTTGACAGATCTACCAGTTGTTCGGTCTTGACCTCGCAGAGCGTTTTTTTTTGGCATGAACTCTTCAGTTTGGCAGATCAGTTCACCAACCTTACCCAGTGCTTCTGGCTGCCACCTCTGGCAGCTAGAAAGAAGCCTTGAGAAAAAAGAAAAAAGAACAACAACTCTGGCAGCTAGAAGCCTGGAGGAAAAAACAAAACGTGCGTTCATTCCAACGGCCGGCGGCCTTTTTGCCCTGAGGCACCACAGCCATCGCTTACTACATCCGCTCCCGCCTGGCTGTGGCGGAGGTGAACAACACGCTGCCTCTCATGAGCCTCGGCCTTTCGCGAGCCCTTGGATTCCCCAAGCCAAGCGTCGGAGTTTGGGGTGTGGATGGTGTGGATGGTGTGGATAGGAAGCTTTTGCTTGATTTAGAGCAGGGTTGTGGGATCCAGGGGTTTTTCCCCACTTCGGTGATACAAGGGAATCTCCCCCTGTATATAGGGGGTTGGTCTTTGGGAGGCCCTTTCTGTTGTATCACAGAAGTAGTCATTCCCCACAGCCTGGATTTAGAGTGATACTGTGGACGAAAAGCTGCCCCACAAAATGAGAAACCATGGATGAAACCATGGTGGTTGTTGGTATTTGTAGCGGAATCGAATGAGCAACAAGGGTTTCTGAGGTGGTCCGACATGGATTTCGTCCATCCACAGATTGGTTCACTTCCCCAGACCATTGCCCTAGGGTGCATCCATTCTCCTAAAGGACTTGCACTTTCAAGGCCACAACGCGGTGTTCATGGTTCCCCCCCCCCCCCCCGAGGCTAAAAAAAAAAGGAGAAAAAAAGGGAAACAAAAGAGGCAATGGTGCAATTCCCGAAATCGCACGGGCAACCCTGGGGTTTGTGAGAGGCCCGTGCAGCCAGAGGCTTGAACTTGCCAACAACATGATGTGTTCACAAGGCTGCCCTGAACTTCTCATACCCTTAGCATGATGCCATAGGCGGGGAATGAGAAATGGAACAACCCCAAGTTAACGCATCCATCCTATGGTTTCCCAGGGAATCCCCGTTGCGGTTCATTCCAGTTCTCACTCCCTGCTTATCGCACCGATGGCAAGCTAGATGGTTTGGATGTGAAGCCCTCGAAAAATGGCCCTGCAAAGGTCGCCGACTCGGCCGAAACCCAAAAAGATGAGGGGAGCTGACTCGGTTTGTGTTTTGTATCCCGGGCATCGAGGCTATGGGTGTGTCCTGTTTTGAGGCCCTCTTTGTTTTTGAAGGGAACCCAAAGGGAAAGCTGAACAAACCGCCACGTTGGGTTCCTGTTCCAAATCCTAAGACAAGCCACCCAGGTTGGGACAAAATCCTGCACCACCTGAGAAACCTTTGAATCATGATTCCCGCGTAAGTACCCCTCTGTTGCTCAGTGGCGTTGTTTTTGTCCTTTTTGGGGAGTTCCCCTTTAAAGTCGACCAACCAAGAAAGGATGCCCTTTTTTGCCCATGGCCACTGGGCATCTGAGACCCACAAAAACATGGAAGGTTCCAGTACAATGGAATTGGAAGTTCTAACCAGGTTCCAGTAGAATATTGCTATGGGCCATGGGTGCATCCAAGCTCATCCAACAGGGAAAGCAGTCTAGGTCCCCGAGTAGTGCCCTTTTACCGTTTCTTTTTTAGTTGGGAGGTCCCATACTAAAATAGGCTACCTAGAGTCTCCATTACCCTTAAAAAATGGGGTCATCACCCTAAATAATGGGGTCATGGACCCTATTTTTAAAGGGTCATGGAGACTCTAGGTACTCGTACAGAGAAAAAATCGGGTGCCGTTATATTCTAACCTCTCTACTGGAGGACCTGGTGGTACCGTGTTTCTCACACTGCCGGAGCTCCGGTTCGGACAATACAGCCACATTTGGGGGGTTGGGCCGCTTTTTGTGGTAAATGGGTGTGGCTGAAAATTACAGAGCCAGGGTGAACCGCAGGTTTTAGTCTTTGGTTCCATTTACCAAGGTGCCATTTTGGTACATGTTCTTGAGCCATAGCCAAGTAACAAGTCTGGAGGAAATAGAAAGTGAACCGAGGATCGGCGCCAGCCTGGAGCCTGGCGCTGACTACCAAGCCACGGCCAAGACCTTCTTCCTGGCCGCGGAGAGCATGAGCAAGGCCCCAATTCGAACCCGGAGCCGAGCCCGGGGTCAGTTGTAGGTGGGTGGTTCAACCAGCCATCCGGTTCAACTTAGTGTTTTAGCTTCTTAGCTTCTTAGGTTTTTAGGTTCTTAGGCTTTTATATTTTTAGTTGGTGTGGCGCTTGTGTTTTTTCTACACCACTAAAAGGTATTCAGTTTCTGAAGGGGATCAGGGCCTTTGTGACTTTGGTGCGATAGGTAGGGAATGACAACGACCCTCCGGGTTTTGGGAATGAACCGGAAAAGGGGATCTTCTAGGCATTATAGGATGGATGGTTTATCTCGGGTTCATTCCATTTCTCATTCCCTGCTGAGAAACAGCAAGGTGATGTGGGCTCGGCTCCTGTTTTATGAGGCTCCAAACACACTGTTTTGAGAAGCGAGTTGTAAGATAAAGCACCAGGGGTATAGTCTAGCTTTTCTGTTCGTTTCACATGGGTTTCATGGATTTTGTTTGGTTGCCTCTGGATTTATTTGATGGTCTCCTTTGTTGTCACTTGGTTTCATTTGGTTTCCTTCGGTTCCCCTTTGGATTCTTCGCAGGGCGAAGCGACATCAATGCACCTTTTGGCTTTTCACTTGTTTAGGACCTTTCTTATGCTACAAAAGGGCCATACGCAAATCCTATTTTCAATTTCCGTTTAAAACAGATGGGAGTGAAGATTCAAGATTCCCAACATTATCTTGTTCAGATTCTTGAGTCTTGAACCCTGAATCCCATATTGTTTCAATATTTCCAGTGTTGTCCCAATACTCCTTTGATGCATGCAGACTCTGTCAGATGGCAGATATTGATATCATTGGCGACAGTACCTATGTATGCATCATTATATATACACATATATAGGCATATGTGTATATATATATATATATATATCAGCATCCTTGTCGCCAAAGTCACACCTTTTGGGAAGCAACCAACACTTTTGGCATTAGAACCTCAAGGCCTATGCAAATCGCGGCCGGTGGCTGTTGAAGGAGCCTTCAACTTTCTTCAGAAGGCCTTAGCGAGGAACTATCCGCGCATTCACATCTGGGACTAGTCCGCATCGCCTTGCCAGTTGTAACGATTCCAGTTGCCCTGCCCCATGCGTGGGTACGATAAAATATGATGCCTGGGCTGATGCACAACGTATTGCAGCAACCAAATTGATTTGACCCTGGCCGAAGACCGGTTTTTTGCCATGCCGTGGATGGTTTCGAAGTTAATTTTGCGCCACCTAAGACAAAGCCCTGGTTTCTGATTCGATTCTCGGGTGAATACCACCAAAGACAATGGTTTCAGCCATGGTTTGAAAGTGGCGCGAAATGGATTTCGCAACCATCCACAGTGTCTCTCGGCCATTCCTGGGCCATTACGCCAGACCCCGATCAGTCAGCCTTACGCGCAGGCCAAGAAGGACACGGAGACGCTGATGATGTTTCTCTGCCGCAGAAGGGGACCGTCCAGTTGCCACCATAGTAGGTAACCCTTGGTTCTTCACCTGTAGAATTTACATGATGGTTTCCTGGTTACCCACTCGACTATTAGTTGGAAGCAGTTCGGGGAATGACTGCCCCTCGTAGTAGTTTCCCGATACAGATTCCAAAAAAGGATGCCCTGTTTTCCCATGGCCACTGGGCATCTGAGAGCAATTTGAATAGCAGATCAATTTATGGAGTCTCAACAAGACTGAACCCCCACTAGTGGCACTTCCGCTTTTCCCCCTTTCTGTCTCGACAAGCCCGTTTCAGAGTCGCTTCAGTAGTTCTATGTTCCTTTTTGGTGGGTTCCACATGGTGTCCACATGTCCGGGCCTTTTGAAATTCACCCCCCTAGCGAAGGGGTGACTGGACTGCGTGTGCCTTGAAATACCTGGGCCCTCAAACTGCCCTTACAAAAAGGACATCCCCCATAATTTTGGGGCAATAGCCCATTTTTCTGGATATATCGCCTTCTTTTTTTCTCGGACCAACCCAAAAGAAGTAAGCCTCAAGAAACGGACAGACCAACGACGTACCATTTGTGTGTTTAGACCTTTCCATGTTCCGATCGGGCAACCCATTTGTGGGATACCGTATATTTGACAACATTTTTGGTGTGCTGTTCCCCTTTTGGTTTTCACTTGAGTTTTCCCTTTGGTTCCCTCTTCGCACCCCTCGCCCTGCAACCAAGAATCCCAACGGTTCTCCCTTTGGTTTCCTTTTTTTGGTTCGACCCACCCTTTTCGGTCCCTACATCCTGCCAAACACCTTGTCGAAAGCACAACGCCATCACACACCAACGCCGTTGACGCTGACGGTTCTACCCGCAATTCTGAAGCAATCGGCCCGTTTTTTGGGATAGCCGTGTTTTTTTGTTTTTTTTTTTTTCTCAGACCAACCCAAAAGGAGTAAGCCTCGAGAGACGGACAGACCAACGACGTTTGGGTATATACCCCTTTTGGGCGGGGTATGAACATCAGCATTGGGTTCATTTGCCCAAGTATGTACAAGGGGTATGTACCTTGACACCCCATCCGCGGGTTCTACCCGCAATTTTGGGGGCAATGGCCCATTGTTCTGGACATATCGCTTTTCAACTGAGCCGCAATGAGTATATTTTTTCGTTTTCTGACGTGAGCCGCAGGTTCTACCCGCTGATCATCATGATGCGCCTCTTCCGCTCCTTCGAGGCCCAGCCGCGGCTCGCCATCGTGTCCAGCACCCTCCGCACCGCCGCCGCGGACCTGGCCCACTTCTTCATGATCTTCGCGCGCCGCGGAAAAAAAAAGGGAAGCGGACGGAAAGTAACGCGAGGCCCGACAAAAGAAAAACGCGCCCAAGAAACGCGGGGGTAATTTGTTTAAGGTGTCTCGCTGAACCGGGTTCCAGGCAAGCCACAAAAGAAACTTTGATTTGCTGATTTTTTTCGTGATTTCCCCCTGTTGGTGTTAAAAGGAACTCATCACTACATGGCCATATTTTTCGTTTTTTCCATTTGGCCTTCACCAACTGGAAGCTCCGGAGCGAAGTTGTTTAAGTCGACTTTCGGAGCGCCCCCCGAAGAAACGGAGCTGGTTTTTAGGTCCCCCAGCCATCGGCGCCCCTTCCGCACCGATTGTTTTTTGGCTGGGAGGGTTTTCGCCTGCTGAAACAGACCACGGCAAAATATCGGGAACCCGTATTTTCCAACCTCTCTACCGGAGGAAAAGCGGTATGGTATTTCTCACGCTTCCGGAGTTCCGGTTCGGACAAACAAGCCACTTTTTGGGGGTTGGGCCGTTTGAGAGGTAAGTAACGAGTTCCGGGACGGTTTTGCTGGGCCTATCCACTTAAGTGAGTGCCTTCGGAAATAGGATACCTTCGGAAGCCCAATGTGTGTCTTTTGATCCGTTGGTTTGGTTAAGATTAGATTGGTTCCACTAGTGTCGGTAGGTTTCATTCCATTTACCAAGGCCATCTATTTGTTGCAAAAGGTTGACATACAAATAGTTGGCCTGGGAAATAGCAGTGGGGGGGTGCCTTTCTTTTTCCCCCTCCCGACAGGAAGGGGTTCTTAGATTTTATGTTACAATTCGCGTTTGCGATGAATCTACACCACGCCCCCACCCAGCATCCCGCCAGAGCAGCTCGCCAGTAAATCCGCCGAGTATCCCGCTGGAGCAGCTCGCTAGTGGATCCCGCCGAGTATCCCGCCAGAGCAGCTCGCCAGTGGATCCCGCCCAGTATCCGGAGCTGCTCGCCAGTGGATCCCGCCGAGTATCCCGCCAGAGCAGCTGGCCAGTGGATCCCGCCCAGTATCCCGCCAGAGCTGCTCGCCAGTGGATCCCGCCGAGTGTTCCGCCAATCCCGCCGAGTATCCCGCCAGAGCGGCTCGCCAGTGGATCCTGCCGAGTATCCCACCACAGCAGCCCGCCAGTGGATCCCGCCGAGTATCCCGCTAAGTATCCCGGAGTAGCTCGCTAGTAGATCCCGTCAAGTATCCCGCCAGAGTAGCTTGCCAGTGGATCCCACCAGGGCAGCCCGCATCCCGCCGAGTATCCCGCCGGGTATCCTAGAGTAGCTCCCCGCCGAGTATCCCGCTGAGTATCCCTTGCCAGTGGATCCTGCCGTGATCCTGCCGAGCATCCGGCCAGGATCAAGCCGGAGCGGCTCGCCAGTATTCGCCAGTGGATCCCGCCAGTATCCCGCCAGAGCAGCTCGCCAGTCTGGTTTTGCTTAATGTCCCGCCCGGCGCACAGTTGGGTTCACATTTCATGTTGGCGCCTTCGTGTTTTGAGTGTACCCTGAGGCTCGGAAAGGGTGATGATTTGTGTTGCTTTGGGCTGTAAATAAGCAACTTTGTTTAATCCCCCTGACGACGGAACCGATGTTTGAGTTCTCGAGATCGGCTCGCAGACAAGTGGAAGTGGCTGATGGGAAGGGAAGGGGCCGATGGGAATTTGGAGTCGGAGCCTCTAGGATGCGGAGGAATTTGTTGTAACGGTCGAAAGCTCGTGAGTGTGGAGGGTGGGGATGCTCGAAGCGAAGTATTTTTTTGCGGGAAGTGTAACCGAAAGTTGGTTTGGATTGGTTTGGATTTGGACTTGCACCCCCCGGTTCTTCAAATCTTCAACTTCTACCTTTATGATCTTTGCGCGCCTTCGGTCTTCATTTGGCTGGTTGAGGGACGAGCAAACGAGCAGACCATTTGCCCACTTAGCATGGGCTGGCCCTACGTTGCGGAATCCCCTGGTGTGTGTGTTTGCGCGCTTTCTTGAAGGTACCCCCTTCTTTGGTGGTTTTACAGGGAAACCGAAAGAGAACCCCACCAGTTTTGGGGGGGTCTCCTCAAGATAGACACATATTGGTAAGATCGTTGCCAAAAAGTGATGAACGGGACCCACCAACCGTTCCCAGTCCCCCCTCCCCGGAAGAAGCCTTGCCACATGGCGTTCAGTGGGTTTACTCAGCTTGAAGTTGTCAACATGAACTTCCTGCTTCGGAATCAAATGGGAAGCCAACCCCTGGAAGTACATGTGTTAGACATTTTATTGCAGCTATCCAATGTGTTTGTTTCTGTATGTGAACTGGAAAAAGAGATATGATACATGCGCCAACAATTTTATGTGGCTTCAATACTGATCGAAGTACTTTTTTGCTGGAGACCTCCAAGGCCCCGCCGTGTGCTTGGCGTGGTTGCGGCCCATGTTTTTTTTTGGTTCGTGTGTCTTCATCCTTTTGCCGAGTTTACCCCAAGCATTTTTGGCAGTGATTCTTCCTGAGCATGAACCAGGCACAAAACCGGCTTTGGGTTTTTTTTGGGGTTGGCTGGCAATATGTGACTTTGGCGCATGGAAAAGGACACTTGCGGTACGTCAAGTTAAAAGGACAAAGTAAAACGGAGCCCTGTCTATCCTTAAGATGCCGACAACTGGATGGGTTTGAAGGCAACACAGACGACTCTTATGCTACTTATGAGCATTAACTTGTTGGGCGAAGCCTTGGGGTTTGCGTGTTCGTGTGTTGCTGTGCGTGCAAGATTAGTTTGCCTAGTCTGCAAGAGGAGATTTGTGATGTGCTAGTTGGGCGAAGGTGGGATGGACTTGATACTCATGTCTGCTTTTTCGTGGAAACGCAGAATGTCAAGCAGCCATGAGAACAGGTCCAGATGGTTCTTATGGTCCCCTCCAAGTGGTTTAAAGGGCATTTATTTTGAACAGCATCCCAGGGGTGGTTAGGCGCGCACACGTGCTGCGTTCTCAGCAAAGCTCTTAAATGCATGCGGATGCATGGTGTTTTCTGTAGGGGTGCCCCAAAATGCGAGATTTCCCTTTGGTGTCCCACGACCCCAAATGGGCTCCAAACACCAATTCGCTCTGACAGAACAGAATGCGACACAGCTGGGTCGGAATTCGGCTCGTCCTAGGATACCTAAAGGGTTTGCCTGGTTTTTGAGAATCGCAGTACAGCACAGAATCCTGCCAAGATACATGCTGGTATTGAAATGCATGCCCACTGTTAGGGAACCTGGACAGCAGTGAGAAGACACGACTCGACTGTTCAAGCCAAGTGACCTTCACGCTGCACATGTCTTCAGATGCCCTGTTCATTGTGGCAATTGCCACCGCCTTTACAAGTCTTTGCTTGTTTGAAATAGGGCCAACAGGATTTAAGCCTGCACCCTCCCCGATTGGAAGTCGAGGCGCGCTGCCATTGCGCCATGTCCCCTTCTGCTTTTTGTTTTTTAACGCAAATTTCCGGCCAAGAAAGACTGGGCAAATTATGGCGACGCAAGGGTTCGCCTCCGATACAACTGGCTGGGCGTATGTGAACACAGGCTATGATATGAACGCGCATAAATTGAGAATACATCATACGCCTGCTTTAGCCTCTGGCCATGTGTTTAGGTGCGCTTTTCGAAGGATACAGGAGTGTTTGGATGAGCTAAGGGTTCCCTTTGTTGAGAAGTTGGTTTGAGAGGAAAACCAACAGATAACCAAATCATTTGGGTACGAATAAAACTACCAGGGGACCACAGGTTTTGGTCTTTGGTTCCATTTAGCAGGGCAAGTCATTTTGGGTACGCATTTTTGACCCATAGCCATTTGTAAAAAAAAAGCCATCCCAGCCGAGGTGTGTCTACCTTTGCTTCGTGGTTAGCAGCCTCCTCTTCTTCGGCAACTCGTTTTCACTTCGCGGCCGGGCGGGTTCAGTGTGCTTGGTTCGCCATGCTTCGCCCCGAGCAGTTCTCGGGTTCCTCGTGTTTTTTGGCAACGGATCGCGTTCTCCGTTGTTCAGTGGCACCCTTTTTCCCTTTTTTTGGTGGGGCGGCCCCACTAAAAATGGTCTTTCCCAAAAAGGGTTCCCTTTTTTCCAGGGTGACTGAACAACTGAGCATTTGTTGGGTGAAATCCGCAAGGATGAGATGCCGGGCTTGTCTTTGAGAGAACCCCAAGCGGCTGTTCTAGGGTTTGCCTTGAGCACAGCCACGAAAATGATACCCTTTCAAAGACAACCCATCGGTTTCCTTAACTTGGGAGTCTCCAACCGCCCGAAAGGACCCTCTTGATTACTAGGCACTCCTGGCCTGGATCGCGTTTGCTGCTTTTGCCCTCAAATGGGGAATGAAAAGGAAGTCAACCATTTGCCAATTGTGTGTGTGTGTGTGTGTCAAATTCTACCACAGAGTCTCTCTAATGTCCGGTTTTTTGGCCAAGTGGCGTTGGTTTCAATGGACAGAGAGAACGGCAACCCGACAGATTGGTGATTTGGATCGGTGGGATTTGGAGCCCTGGTTCTTGATATGGTAAATGCGAAGCAAGCCACCCCGTTTCACCACCAAACCGATTGGCTCCAAGCCACCAATTACAGGGAGACTGATCAACCTGGTTAATTGCGGGAAAAAAACAATTGGCTAGCCACTTACTATCTTGGCGAGTCAAACATCCCAGTAAAGTGATACCCGCCGACCAATAAAAATGGAACCTGACGTGCGGGTCCTGGTTTGAACCATGTTCCTTTTAAACGGACCTCCTGCGCAATAATATGTTTTTATTTTCCCTTGTTGGTGTTAGAGGGAATCTATCACTACTGGACATATGTTGTTTTTCCCCCAGGAAACAAGAAGGCAAAGTGGAAGTCAAGTGATTTCTTTCGACTTTGGGGGAGACTAGATGGATGGATGGAATTCTAGGACTCCCCCACCCCCGCCCCCTTCAGGTAGGTCGTCAGCTAGGGGATATAGGACTTCAGGTGGGAGGGCACCTCCCCCTTCAGCTCTGCCGGTCAGCTAGGGATATCGGACTCCGACTTCATATAGATCAATGGAATTCCAGGCCCCCCCCCCCCTCCCCCTTCAGGTTTTCAGGTAGGGGATATATGAGTCAAGACCAATGGTATCCCATTTTGGGGTAGGTGAATTCACCACCCATTTTAGTCTAGTGGGTATTGGTTGATGTTCACGGGCGAACCGATTTGGCTTTTGACCCGCCATATCAGACTTCAGGTCTTCGTGTCCACTTTTTTGACGAATTTTGAGGCCAAGACTTGGAGAGTTTCAGTACCTTGGACCGGGCGCTGCACAGCTGCTTCCTCGCCATGTTCGGGGACTGGGACTGGCACGCCCTCTCCGACGTGGGCGCCTTTGGTCAGTCGGTTGAGTCGAGTGTGGACGGTGCAACCGGGGGACCGGAAAAAGGGGGGGGGGAACGGGGAACTTTCGGCTGTTTTCAGGTCTCCAGTATATATCCCTGAATCCTAGATTGGTGTGACGCCACGAATCTGGTTTGTTGTTGTTTGTGTTTTCCGGATGATCTTCCTTTGCCTAGAATCACGCTTTCATTGCACGCGTGTCGCTTAAAACTGCGCAGGATACATGGTCGAGAGAAGTCCCTGTTTGGTCAGGGGAGTCGTTGGTTCGCATTCATGGATCTGCCCCGAGTGAAACAGTGAAACGACAACAAAGAGTGTCGTGACAAATGCACAGCTTAGCCTCGTCAGGTTTCAAGGGAAATTTAAAAGGCACTTCCATACTGCGGATGAACAAAATCCAGCACCAAGTTAAATCCACGGGAAACCATTGTTTGTTGGTATTTACAAGGGAATCATCATCCCATGTTTTTTTTTTTTTTTTTTTTTTAAATGTGGTGCAGGAGTTCTTTCGTCCATCCACAGTATCACTACTGGAGCCAGCTACCTGTGCGTGATCTGTAAACTGAATGCACCGCGCGTGAGAAAGCTGGAAGACGCAAGAGCTCGGGACTCGCCCTGGGCATGAATTCAGCTCTGCTGCCCCCCCGGCCCCCGCGGCTCCGCTGGCTTTACGTTGTGTATGTCCGATTTGTTTGTTGTATTTCCGTTTTATGTGTCCTCTATGCTTCCCATTTGAGCCACAATCAAAACCAGGTTAGTAAGGGAAAGTCCCACCCAGAATTAGTTGCGGCCGCCTTCTTCATTTTTTATATGGTTCTGGGTAGACCATTTCAACACCGGGTTTTGCTTATGGCTCATTTGTCCCTTAGGTTCTTCATGGGTTTTCCCATATTTCCCCTTAAAGGAAGGTTGCGCCCTGAGAAATGTCTTGGGACATCTCCACAGGCCCAGCAATTGAACCAGGACCAACCCCATGGAGTTTTGAGCATAGAATTCGGGAGAGGAGGTCCCACCACTCGTTCAAAATCAATCCACCCTCCAACTGCCCGACTGAAGCAGGGCTATTGCCACACAATGACGCTTGGTGAACTCCCTCCAAAAAAAGAAAGAAAAATGAGGGAGGCACAAGAATCTGCCAGCTGAATTGCCTATTTACCCTCCCTCACAATCATGGAAGCGACAGGGGTTGAACTACTACTGTCCTTTTCAGGAAGCCCCAAAACGTCCACCCATGTCCACCCGGTTTTTCGGTTTCGGATGAGCATGCTCATTTTGAGCAAAGCTGCAGCTCTAAAAACCCTTTGAGAACAGAAAAGGAGGAGGCCCAGCGGAAAAAAGGGCAACAGGTGTGAAGGTGTTTGGTCGAAATGGCGATTTGTGTACTTGCCATGGCCTAGTTGCCTGGACCCTCAAACTACCCACAAACATGAATCATTGCTGAACCTCATAGGTTGATTTCCCTTTCTTCATGGGTACTTTGAGGGTCCAGGTAGTTTGTCCCTGCATCAATGTTGCTTTACGTCGCAAATCGTTGGTGAGATTTCGGTCAACTCTCGCACGGAGCGAGTGGTGCTCGTCAGTTGTGTCCCTTGATGTTGCGCCAGTTGTTTGGCACTTTTTCTCTCCATCGGAGCGGTTGCACGAGTTGAGGCATGGTGAGAGCAGCGGTCTGGTTTTGGCTCTTTATGATCGTCATGGTGCTGTTCTTGCTGAACATGCTGCTGGCAATCATCATGGATGCCTATCAGATGGAGAGACCCCGGTTTACGTTGGTTGTTTGGCTGCTTTGAGCCGTGTCAACTTGCCCATTCCTTTCGTGTTTTGGGTGGTCGAGTTCCTGAAATTTTCCCGCCGGTTTCTATAGCGAAGCCAGGGGCAGATAGGCCGTCAGCTGTGGTTCGCCCTCCCGAAGGCCCCTTCGTCTTGCCATATGGAGCTTGGGCGGTTTGGTTTCAGTTGCTCACAGAAAATGTGTGCGACCCTTTGGAGGAGCTTCGGGGTATGATAATTTTGCTTGGAACTGTTCTCCCTGGTCAAGGACCTCAGTACCACCACCACCGCCACCACCACCAGCAGCGCCACCAGCAACAGCTGCGAGAGGCTGTATGTGCAGATCCCACCTGCATCACAGCAGCCCTCTTGGCAAATGCAGCCATTGTGTCAGAAGCCGCTTCCTCGTGCCACGCCCTTTCGTTGTTTAACGTCAGGTGGTCAAATAGCCCAGTCAACCTAGCCAGCCAGCAGAAATGCTTCAGTGTCAGGCAAAATCGAGGCTTCGGTCAGCACAAATGGTATGCGCGTTTGCTTTTGTTTGAGGGTATCCTGTGGCTGGATGAAAGGCAAGCCGAAACTAAAAAGTTGTTCATTCTTGGGATGCCCCTGTTTTTACACATGCGCATGGTGGGGTTCTCCAAATAGTTGGTCCAACCTAAAACGGTTGGTGTCCTGTTGGCTTTTGAATCCGAACCTCGTTCGCCCATTTCCCCTGAGGTATCTAGCTGAAAATTCGGTGCCCTCAGGCTCAAGAACTCGCTCGATCGAGCGGTTTGTGAGTTTGATTTCTTGCTCGCGGGCCGAAAAACGGCCGCAGGCCTTGCTCTATCTGATGTTGAAGCCTGGCATGGCCATGGTGTATCCTTTCTTCATACATGGCAGTTTGGCTGCAGCCGCAGTTTCTTCTGAGCGCAGACTTGATGGACCATTGTCTGGGCCAGCTGCCTGTCAAGAAAACGTTTCAACATGCAAGTGCGGCGGCAGCGTTCCATGGACTGCAGAGTCGGCACTTCCAGCGCGTGCCACAGGAGCGGGAAACACCGGGCAAGGCCAACCGAGTGGCCTGTTCGGCAGATCTTGCACTACACACGGCTCGCCAACTGGCAAAGCATGGTGCTTCGTGGGCACTGATGCGAATCTTTGCTCCGATGAGGTGCGAGACAACGGCGACACTGCACTCGACCTTTGGATGACGTCGAATTGGTATTATTCGTATAATGTCTGTGATTGTGAGGCATTCGATGCCACTACCAGCAGTGCTGCAACTACCACGGCTGGTGTCGTGGGTGATCCCACGGATGCAGGCAACTCACCAAGCAGCCCCACGACAGTTGCGCTTGCAGTGATTGTTGCGAATGTGTATTTGCGCACTGGGTGAAGGTTTCTCCGGGTTTCACCAGGAGCAGGCCTCAAAATGAGGCTGATGTCCGAGGGTGAATCACCCCAGACAAAAATCCATTACCCTGGCAACTAGGGTGATGCTGTTTGATAAATCCACAGGGCTGACAAAAGGCCTTTCACTGAGCAGGCAAACGAAGCCAGAAACATGGCCAGTGGAAATCAGTTGGGTGATGCCACCACGTTTGAACAGGACCCAGAACAAAGGGTCACCAACGGTGGGAGCGGGGGGTTCATTTGACACATTGCATGGCCCCCTCGTCAAACACCTGCCGCCTCCTGCCGCCTTTCAAAGTGGATTGCCAACAAGGGACCCTACGTAACTTTGACCAGTCTCACCATTCCAACCCAACCCAAGCCAAACAACCAGCCAGCCAAACCAACAAGCCAAAACGCTGGGCAGAATCATCGCGCTGTCGCAGGAGAAGTACAAGGCCTCTGACGCCACCACTCTTTGGCAGCAGATCCGGGACTTGATCCAGCGGCGACGGCAGTATCCCGACATGGCGAAAGCTGTCTGCCTATAGCGAGCTCACCGCTTGAGGGATATAAGTATAAGGAGCTCAGCATGAATACTTGCAGCTCCTTTACTTAGCGATCCCTTACTTCAGTTTTTGGAATTTGCAGATCTGCGAGTAAGACTTGCAGATCTGCGATCCCTTACTTCAGTTTTTGGTTCTGTAAAATTTGCAGATCTGCGAGTGGTTTAGCCAAGCGGTTTCGCTTTGATCTTGGAACTGTTTCTGCGGGTTTGTCAAAGTCAGGCAAAATGGGGTTTGCGGTGATTTATATCTACCACTTAGGGGCTGACGTTGATCACGGGAAAACCAGGGGGCCAGTTTTGCGATGAGGCTACCCTTTTTGCGGTTGAGACAAACCTTCAGGAACCAGCCTTTTTTGGGTGGCCGCATTTTTATTTTGTGTGTGTGTTTTGTGCGCCCACTGGCAGTTCCATGTGTTTAGTCGCATAAGCGTTCTTCCATGTTCCACTTTGCTCGCAACCTTCACACTGTTGTGTTTTTCAAAGTGATTGCCTGCTAAACGCGAGCATGCCAACTAAAAAGGGGGGTCCGGCTTTTCCTGTGCCAGCGGTTGCCCTCCCCTTTTGTAAAAAGCCGAGTCCCAACCATTTGTTCATGTTCGCCTTCACCTTTTGCGCCTGTTGGGTTTCATGTTTACCCTTCAGTCTCAACCTTTTTTGCTTTTCCTCACCCTTGACCCATTTTCTGCCTAGCTTGCTCCGTGTTTCGCACCCCAAGTCGGGATATCTTAGGTGTGTGACTCACTCGCCGAGGTACACCCGCGGGGAGCGGGTGCGGCTCAGCGACGTGTGGAACACCTTCCGGAAGCAGTTCGCGGGGAAGGAGAAGGCCATGCACCTCGACCAGTTGGGCTTCAAAAGGGTGGTGTCCAAAAACGTTGACCCAAACCACACCAGTATTGGACAGACCACACCTTGGACTAGGTTTGACAGACCAGTTGGGACCCCATATTCGTGAACCAATCCATTTTTTTCCTTTAAAAAGGGGGCACCTCGACCCAATTGGGACCGTTTGGAGCCATTTGGGACCATTTTGCAGGGGTCGATTCCAATTTCAAAGCACAATGGTACCATTTTGGGATAGGTGCACCACCCATTTTAGTCTGTTTTAGTCGGGATTGGGATGTTCACTGGAGGTACGGGGTTTTGACCCATGGCCATATTTCCGTTTCTGGTGGTTTTAGTGCATCGCCCTTTTTGCCACATTAAAGCTGAGTGTCCCTTGGTGGGGTTGATGGTGCAAGGGGAACTGTAGGATCCCTGTTTGGGTGCTCCATACTAATCAACCAACCAGTTTATGAATAGGGGGTGCTTTTGCCGGGGTGAAATGGCGGAAATCAGACCACTTTTGGAGGGGAACACCCCCCCCTGTCAATAAACTGGGATTGATGGTTTTGTTTAGATCAAAATTCATTTTAGATCGGTTTGCACCAGGCTCTGGTTTCCCTGGCGGTAAAAGATTCTACCAGGACCATCTATTGCCCAAAAAGGACGGAGCTTCGGGTTGTTTCCATTTGGGCGCCATGGTGTCCTATTTTGCTAGTGGGTTTGGTTGGTTTCGGGTGGGTTCAGATGGAGTTTGGGTTGGTCCTCCCTGTAGGTGGTTGTTCGGAGCGATTCGAATCGGTTAGGTGGTGAAACAGGGGTTGCAAAGTACCAACTAATTGAGGGTTTTTTGAGATGATGAGATGCCTCGTCTTTTCAGGAATTGGACTCCCAAATTTCCCAAACTGGCGCAAGTTTGATTCATGATTGCATTCAACACCTTCCAAGAAGTGGCTTAAAACATCGTCAGCCCGTTTGTTCTCCCCTGGGGTAGGGAATAGATTTCACTACACATTCTCATTGTTTCCAGACGAAAACACAAATGAACAAAAGTGCTGCCTTGGGATAGGGCCCCGGTTTCTTTTGTGACAACCCCGGATTCCTTCACAGTTCTTGCTTGGACCCGAAAGAGCTATCCATAGAAATCCTGAAATGTGGGCGATGTCTGACGTTGAAGGGTGCTTTGAGGGCACAGAGATTGGTTTTTAGCCATCGACTTGGATGGCCGTGTTCCTGCCTGGGGTTCTTTAGTTGAGCTGGTACCTAGGCCTGTGTTGACCATTTCTTTGTGGCAAGTGAGAAGGGATTTCCATTCAGCCCATCAGCCATTCCGCCCAGCCAGTCCTGCCTGAAGGAATAGACAGAAGCTTCTGCAAGTTGATACTGTTTGGGTTTGGACCACCCCCGCCCTTGCGTTTTCTCATGTCCAAAAGCAAAGGATGGGGAGTGCTGGGAACACTTCAGTGGCTACACAAAGTTTGTTGTTACCTTGTTTTGGCCAATCTCGATCGGAAGTGAGGGATCCATTCAGACCGGTTAATCTTCTCAATCCAAGTCCTTTCTCTCGAAAAGCAGCGGAAGTGCTTCCAATGCGCTGTGTCCTGCTCAGGATTTGGACCCCCCCCGCAAAATGGCACAGCGGTGTTCCTCTTGGTTTCCCTTGAAAGCCACCAAAAAGGGTACCCTCAAAAAGAAGTCCCGTATTTGATCTACTCAAGGAATCATTTGCACTGAAGTGTCCAAGCGGCATGTTGAACCAAGTGATAAATTCAACAGCATATTTTGACTGCCATTGGGTTGGATCTTTAGACTTCAACTTGTTGGTTGAAAAATAAAGGTGTTTTCCACTACACCCCAAAACAGTGAAAAACTTTTTGCAGGGGGGTCAACAGCAGCAACCAAGAAATACACGATGGCTTTTGCCCGCGGAAGCGCCCAGCGGCACTTTCAGGCGTTCAGGATCCACAGAATGCATAGACTCAAGGATACCCCATGCCATCTGCACTCCCATTTGTCAAGGAACAGTTGGAATTGGCACGTGACATGTTTTTTGTTTTTGTTTTCGTTTTTCCCCGGCCAGGCATTGACTGCTTGTGTTTGTCTCAAAATAGGGAATGGGGCTGGGAGGGGAGGAATACAGCTTGATAAGCCCGGAATAGGGCCTTATTTGGGCTGCCTCTCCCCCCCCATCAAACAAAAAGACATCCATATTGAGGAGGTTCTGGGGATCGTGCCAGGCAGGGTAATAGCTGCTAGTTCTCGTTTTGCTTGGTGTTGGCGTGGGTTCCCCCCACATGTCCCTTTTGGATGCTCTTAAACAGCGCCTTTCGGTTGCCAATTTAAGGTGAGTTTCCTGCCGTGTGATGTTTCAAGAAGCCCTGTTGCTCCTGCGATCCAAATGATAATCAGTGCCTCAAGGTTGTTGTGACTGGCATGGGTCGCGGTTGGCTTTGTTTAGATGGACAGGGAACAACCCATTGAAAGCTGCTTCAGAAACCCATCCCATGCCTAGAACAAGAAACAGGCTTCTACCAGGTTGCTCCCCCTTTCCCCCTCCTCCTCTGTGACTTTCCGAGGCTCTCTAGCGAGAACATGATCTCCGTGGAGTTTCTGGTCAAGAACGTCACCCGCAGATTGGACTGGATTTATGCTTGACTTGTTGCATTGAACAACATGGCTGTGTTGCGCCGTTTCGTTTGGGGACCGGGATTGACCTGCTCTCATTCGGCCTTGTGTGTGTGAAGCTTTGCCGTGTGGTTTCCATATTATACTGTAGAGCCTCCGGCTCAGTCCGCCGACATTGTCCTCTCCCTTTTCTCCTTCTTCCTCTCTTCCTTGTCTCCCTTGTGTGTTCTGTCGTCCTCTCTCCCTCCCTCTGCTCCCATCCTCCCCATCCCCCCAAGCCTCTCTCTCCCCACTCTCCCTCTCTCGTATGTATGCATGCATGTACATATGTATGTATGTATGCATGTATGTAATGCATGCATGCATGTATGTATGTATGTATGTATGTATGTATGTATGTATGTATATGTATGGATGTATGTATGTATGTATGTATGTATGTATGTATGTATGTAATGTATGCATGTATGTATGTATGTAATGTAATGTAATGTGTAATGTATGTATGTATGTATGTGCATGTATGTATGTATGTATGTAATGTAATGTAATGTAATGTAATGTAATGTAATGTAATGTATGTATGTATGTATGTATGTATGTATGTATGTATGTATGTATGTATGTATGTATGTATGTATGTATGTATGTATGTATGTATGTATGTATGTATGTATGTATGTATGTATGTATGTATGTATGTATGTATGTATGTATGTATGTATGTATGTATGTATGTATGTATGTATGTATGTATGTATGTATGTATGTATGTATGTATGTATGTATGTATGTATGTATGTATGTATGTATGTATGTATGTATGTATGTATGTATGTATGTATGTATGTATGTATGTATGTATGTATGTATGTATGTATGTATGTATGTATGTATGTAATGTATGTATGTATGTATGTATGTATGTATGTATGTATGTATGTATGTATGTATGTATGTATGTATGTATGTATGTATGTATGTGTATGTATGTATGTATGTATGTATGTATGTATGTATGTATGTATGTATGTATGTAATGTATGTATGTATGTATGTATGTATGTATGTATGTATGTATGTATGTATGTATGTATGTATGTATGTATGTATGTATGTATGTATGTATGTATGTATGTATGTAATGTATGTATGTATGTATGTATGTATGTATGTATGTATGTATGTATGTATGTATGTATGTATGTATGTATGTATGTATGTATGTATGTATGTATGTATGTATGTATGTATGTATGTATGTATGTATGTATGTAATGTATGTATGTATGTATGTATGTATGTATGTATGTATGTATGTATGTATGTATGTATGTATGTATGTATGTATGTATGTATGTATGTATGTATGTATGTATGTATGTATGTAATGTAATGTAATGTAATGTATGTATGTATGTATGTATGTATGTATGTATGTATGTAATGTATGTATGTATGTATGTATGTATGTATGTATGTATGTATGTATGTATGTATGTATGTATGTATGTATGTATGTATGTATGTATGTATGTATGTATGTATGTATGTATGTATGTATGTATGTATGTATGTATGTATGTATGTATGTATGTATGTATGTATGTATGTATGTAATGTATGTATGTATGTATGTATGTATGTATGTATGTATGTATGTATGTATGTATGTATGTATGTATGTATGTATGTATGTATGTATGTATGTATGTATGTATGTATGTATGTATGTATGTATGTATGTATGTATGTATGTATGTATGTATGTATGTATGTATGTATGTATGTATGTATGTATGTATGTATGTATGTATGTATGTATGTATGTATGTATGTATGTATGTATGTATGTATGTATGTATGTATGTATGTATGTATGTATGTATGTATGTATGTATGTATGTATGTATGTATGTATGTATGTATGTATGTATGTATGTATGTATGTATGTATGTATGTATGTATGTATGTATGTATGTATGTATGTATGTATGTATGTATGTATGTATGTATGTATGTATGTATGTATGTATGTATGTATGTATGTATGTATGTATGTATGTATGTATGTATGTATGTATGTATGTATGTATGTATGTATGTATGTATGTATGTATGTATGTATGTATGTATGTATGTATGTATGTATGTATGTATGTATGTATCTGTATGTATGTATGTATGTATGTATGTATGTATGTATGTATGTATGTATGTATGTATGTATGTATGTATGTATGTATGTATGTATGTATGTATGTATGTATGTATGTATGTATGTATGTATGTATGTATGTATGTATGTATGTATGTATGTATGTATGTATGTATGTATGTATGTATGTATGTATGTATGTATGTATGTATGTATGTATGTATGTATGTATGTATGTATGTATGTATGTATGTATGTATGTATGTGTATGTATGTATGTATGTATGTATGTATGTATGTATGTATGTATGTATGTATGTATGTATGTATGTATGTATGTATGTATGTATGTATGTATGTATGTATGTATGTATGTATGTATGTATGTATGTATGTATGTATGTATGTATGTATGTATGTATGTATGTATGTATGTATGTATGTATGTATGTATGTATGTATGTATGTATGTATGTATGTATGTATGTATGTGATGTATGTATGTATGTATGTATGTATGTAATGTATGTATGTATGTATGTATGTATGTATGTATGTATGTATGTATGTATGTATGTATGTATGTATGTATGTATGTATGTATGTATGTATGTATGTATGTATGTATGTATGTATGTATGTATGTATGTATGTATGTATGTATGTATGTATGTATGTATGTATGTATGTATGTATGTATGTATGTATGTATGTATGTTATGTATGTATGTATGTATGTATGTATGTATGTATGTATGTATGTATGTATGTATGTATGTATGTATGTATGTATGTATGTATGTATGTAAGCATGCATGTATGTATGCATGCATGTATGTATGTATGCATGTATGCAAGTAAGTAAGTAAGTAAGTAAGTAAGTAAGTAAGTAAGTAAGTAAGTAAGTAAGTAAGTAAGTAAGTAAGTAAGTAAGTAAGTGTAAGTAAGTAAGTAAGTAAGTAAGTAAGTAAGTAAGTAATGTAATGTAATGTAATGTAATGCATGTAATGTATGTACGTATGTATGTATGTGCATGCATGCATGCATGCATGCATGCATGCTTACATACATGTATGCATGTATGTATGTATGTAATGTATGTATGTATGTAATGTCATGTAATGTCATGTAATGTCATGTAATGTAATGTAATGTAATGTACTGTATGTATGTATGTATGTATGTATGTATGTATGTATCCTTGCACTTCCCCTTTGCTCCCCAGTATTTCCCGCAAAAAAAACACGGTTTTTCCAGCGTTTTCGCAAAGAGGACGTCCAAAAACATTGAGTTTTTCCAGATTTTCGGCAAAAGGATGCAGGAAGCCCAAGCCAGCAAAAAAGCCGGCAGGGGGAATCGAGCCTGGGACCCCTGTTTTGCGACACCGGCTCCCCGAAGACTACGTTTAGTGGAACGTCATCAAATTGCCGCGCGGTACGTGGGGGACCCCCCCCCCCCCCAAAAAACCTACGTAATAGACGTCGGGCGGGGGGGGGTTAGGGGGGGGGTTATCCTCTATCCTCTAGTAAGTATCCGACACGCCGAGCAATGTCGGCGGACATATATATATATATATATACATACCCGTATAGATATATACACGGATCACTGCGTGAATATGACATACCTCTTATATATAATATTCATATATATATATATATTAATATATACATATAGTTGCATACATGAATGTAAATCGATGCGAAGCTGGCTTTCCATCTCCCCGATGGACGTGTCGGGCAATGAGGCATGCCGTACAAGCAAGCCTACCGGACTCTGGTGAGCGCTCTGGAACGGGACGCCTTGTTGACGAAGGGCTTCCTCACCGAGGAACAGGCCAGCCAGTCGCTGTCTCCCTGGGGCCCCAAAACGGGTTGGTCCGCCTGTTTTTGGGGACCCGAAATGGTGTTCCCCTGCTTTTTCCCTAGTAACACCAACCAACAGCGCAATTTCTCCCAAAAGAAGGCACACCCAAAATGACCATGGGGAACTGGTCCCATGAGCAAGTCATCCTTTTGGGTGGACCCGTTAGGCCCTCAAGGCAGCTTTGGTGCTGTTTGTAGGGGAGATATAGGGAACCCTTTTCTTGCAAGGGACAATGTGGGGTGCATCGTCACTACACAAGGGGTATATGCGGCTCTTCTCGCACACTGTGTGGGCATTAAGATCATTCTTTGTGATTGGCCGCGCTTGTCAAACCGGGCCATTTGCTGAGGGAACTGCCGCGAGGTGCGTACACTCACCAATTTTCCATAAGTTGGAGTTGCTCGAAAATGGGGGACAGTCAAACCTGGACCCTCACACTACCCATACAAGTTGGTTATTGCTCCAAAGTGTTGGGGTGCCTTCCCTGTTTGACGGTAGTTTGAGGATCCAGGCTACACACACGATTCCGGCCGTCACATCACCTTGTCGATTGTCCCTTTTCGCGGACGCTGTTTGCCCCCTGGTTTCTGGGTGCTGGCATATTATAGCTTCAAAGGCTTGGGCGCGTCTTTTTCGCGGGTACCCCTTTTGGGCTGGGTTTAAAAGAGAAAAACAAAACACCCACCAACATTTCTCACTCCCTGAGTTCTTTGACTTTAAATTTTTTGGGAAGACCATTTCTGGGGCAAACAAACAGGGTTGGACTTGTTCTGGCCAATCCACTCAGGAAGGGAGATTTTAAAGCACCATTTGCTCCAAGGGATTGGCGGGTTGCTCAGTCCAGACCTACACGTCACAAGTCACAAGTTGAAACGCACAATTCAGGGGCTCGTCAGGTAAATAAGCACGTGGAGATGACGCTGGAGCAGATGGACAAGAAAATCCAGGCACAGTCTTTGCTCTCCTTCTCACACGAGTGGTTGCAAATTAGAGCAACCTTACAGGTTCCTTTAGGTCTTACTCTGGAAGGTGTCCTTCCTGGTGGGGTAAATCTAATTAATGTGGATCAGTTTGGCTTAGGGGTTACTTGTTTTACTTATTTATATTCTTACGTTCACTTGCCTGACGTTGTTGAGCCCAGTGGTGTGCTTGGTCGATCTTCGAAAGCTCCAAGCCCCGTACGAGAAACCAATGGTTTCGAGCCTCAAGAACACACCCAGATGCACATTGGACCGCAAAAAGCGTTGCATCCAATGTTTTTGCTTTTTGTTTGCAAGGTCTCATGACAGCAGTTCTGACAGAAGTTCTTTTTCGCGCGCTTTGTTTTTTTCTCGCACATCCAGAGTCACCCCGCCCAAAGCAGCTTACAGCACCCGCCATGGAGAATGGGCTCAAAGCTCCTGCGGCGCATCACCACAGCCAGCTCGGCTGCGGAGGTGCTGGCGCTGGTTTCTCCGGTTTCGGAGATGCGCATGGCGTGCATCTCTGCCAGCTGGGCGAGGATGGCGAAAGTGAGGCACAGCGTGCCGGAGGTGCTCTCGGATCCCTTCCTCCCAGAGTTGGTGAGGCGAACACAAACGGAACTCAGCAGGGCGGGTGGAAGAAGTCATCGCCAGGTCGCCAGCACCATCTGGGCATTTGCCAAGCTTCGCCGTGAGTTCCCTGCACCAAAAAGCCTGCAGGAGAGCCTTGGGCAGGCGGCCAGGCAGACGGCAAAGCAGATGAGTACCCAGGGAACTTCCAACTGCATCTGGGCCATTGCGACGCTGTCAGAGGGCGCTTTGCGATCCGTTCTGCCAATCTTGGCCAATAGGGCAAAGGAGCTGAGGTCAGAGATGACCGCACGGGATGTGGCAAACATCGTGTGGGCTGCAGCAAAGCTGTCAGAGTCTGGGGATGGATCCTTGCTTGCAGTGCTGCCTATTTTGGCCGAAAGAGCGAAAGAAGTCATGCCAAAGATGAACACTCAAGATGTCGCCAACATCATTTGGGCCGCCGCAAGACTGTCAGAATCAGGCGATACTACGTTGCTTGGTGCGCTGGCCACCCTCGGCGAGAGGGTGATAGAAGTGAGGTCGGAGATGCGTGCTCAAGAGGTGGCAAACATCTTGTGGGCTGCGGCAAAGCTGTCGGAGTCAGGAGAAGTCTCCTTGTTTGCTGCGCTTCCAGCTTTGGCGGAGAGGGCTATGGAAGCCAGGGAGATGAATGCCCAAGATGTAGCCAACACGATTTGGGCCACAGCAAAGCTTCTGGAAGCAGGAGAAATATCTTTGCTTCATGTGTTGCCCACTTTGTCCGAAAGGGTGAAGCAAGTCAGGTCACAGATGAAAGCACAAGACGTTGCCAACATCATTTGGGCCGCAGGGAGGCTTGCAGAATGAAGAGACGGTGGTTTACGTTGCGTGGATGCAATTGGTGAGGGCCTGATTCCCGATGCCTGCTGACGTGACGTCGCACTTATTGATTGAGTCTTTGCTATGCCGACAAGCCACATGATTGGCATGCAAGAGAAGCAAGCCACGCAAAAGTGATGGCGGCTGGTTTCTTCAATGAGCAGATGTCTCTCCTTGAACTGTCCAGTCCAACGCAGAAACCAACCAAGCCATCCTCCTCTCAGGTTATAACATCAATCCTTCCCACAACCCGTTCCGGCCCCCATCAGACCTTCACTGCATCAACCCTTATCAACCCACTACCAAAACCAAACACGGCGCGCCCCTTAGAATGTTTCATGTTCATCACGGATCAACCCACATCCCCAATCTCCCTTCGTCAACCCTTAGCCCAAAGCTAGAAAACATCAGCGTCATCCCACACCTTCCTGTGAGCTTCCATGATTGGCGAGTTTCTTTTTGTTCATCACCCGGAAAGAAAGACCCACAAACACGGCAAGCAGAATTCACCCTTTATCCCAAATCCAACTGGCGGTTCAGGAAGAAAAAACATGCGACAGAGTGGGGCCAAATCCGGTCTTTGCCACCCTTTCCCGTTTTTTTGTTGGTGTGTTCGGCGAGTTTTCACAGGTCTGATTTCCGGGACTGGTTCTGCACATGTCCAAATCTACTCCGAATGGGATTTCAGAATGGAGTTCCCCAGGATTGTTCCTGCCTTTCCTTGTTCGGCAGGTCAGGACCCCAAATGTCCGTTTTCTTTTTCACACATAGGTTCTGGCCCTTGTTTGTTTTTGTTGTTCAGCCTGTGTGTTGTTGTTGTGGTTCGCTGGGTTTTTCCATCACTGAAGACAGCAGGTGTTGTTCGCTGGGTTTTTCATCGCTCAAGATGTTTCAGGGATTTGAACCTCTCGTTCTTGTCGGGAGCCCTAAGCACCAAACCAATCCAAGCCACTTTAAGGGGAAGCTGACTGTCTCATCATTTCGGCTGCAGGACGTTCTAGACAAGAACTGGGGTTTCCCAGCCCGAACCACTCCAAGCCACCTTAACACGGAAGCGGAGGGTCTCCTTCCCTCATTTTTTCGGCAGGACATCAAGGCGGACCTGGACTTCGTAGCGGACAAGTTGGACTTCTTCGATCGGCTGCAGGCCGCGGGGGACGCGGAGTACGACTTCTACTTTGGCGCCGAGGGCCACACCCCGGACGAGGCCTCCAGGCGCGGCGAGTTTTCGGGGGGCGGTTGGTGTCTCGTGCTTTGTTTTCCCCCTTTTTGTTTGCGGGGGCCCGGGAGAAGAGGCCGAGAATCATCCCGGGCGATGTATATTTCCCCTGATGTGTGTGTTTTAAGGCATTTGTTCGGAGCTCTTGCAGTGAGCTTCCTTTGGTGATGTTGGTGGCGGAAATGTCGGGAACCCTCAACTGGTCCAAGGGAGAATGTGGGGCGTATTGGCCACTGCATAATGATGTGGGTTTTACTTGGATCCTTGATTTCAGTTTGGAATCATGATTGTGGAAACTGCAGATTGTACGGTCTAAATATGGAACTGAGTCCGACATTAAAAAATATGGCGGACAAAGGCTGTAGGAGAGGTTCATGTTGACCCCGGAATTCAGCCGGATTGAAGGCGGTGACCCGACCAGGGAGCCACTAAAAAAAATGAGCTTGCGTCAGGCTGGGAGGTTCATGACACACTTGTTCTGTCTCCGTTTTTGTGTTTTAAAGAAGCGCAATGGGCAACCGTTGGCCTCATTCTATTGCAACTCACCAAAAAAAGCTCCCCTCGATATGGATTGAACCTGATCATGTACTTTGGGTAGATCCCGTGGTGCCATGTCAAGGATTGTTCGAACCAATATGAAACATCATCTGAAAATCTGATGTTCAGTGCCGCCAATCTGCGAATTTAGACCCTTGAAGAAAAGCCCTCCATACCTGTTACCTCCACCCATCCCTTTGGCCAATGTGACACGCGTCAGGTTGTGGATCCACAACTCCATCAGCAAGATCTCCTTGGAGCTGCAGGCCAACTTCGCCAAAGGTCTCCAAAGGATCGGGACCTGGCAGGACGAGTTCGAGTGCGAGCGCCTTGGAGCGGCCAAGTTTCGTGCTGCGCTGGGAGATTATCTTTAAGGCCCCTTTGGCTTTAGGTCGGACTCAGTGGGTCTCCAAAACTGTTTGATGATAGTTTGGGGCAGACTAAATATGAACCTGAATCTGAACAGATGAATCGCTTTGTTCCCCAGATGCGTCAAGTTTAGTCAAAGTCAGGTTTGCTCACGTGAGGATCGGCTACTTTTGGGTCATTCGCCGGAAAGTAGCTAAGTTGAGAGATCGCCCACCTCGCGGGCTGGTTTGAAGCTTTCAGACCCCGATCGTGTGACCCTGCAGCTCGTTGAGAAGAACAAAATGCGCCGAGGCAGACCGAGCTGAACGACAGCCTGATCGAGTTCCGACTGCTGCTCCATCAGCTATTCGAAGCTGTGCAGGAGCTGTGCCTTGGCTTCGGTCACTTTACACCGGAAACCGGGGACATGGTTTTAATTGGGAACCACAGAAGAACACCCAGACTTGGGGCTCCTATGTAAATTTTGAGACAAACCCACCTTGAGTTGGTGCGTGAGTTGGCTTCGGCGTGCTGGGCCAACCGCCCAGTGCGCCAGCATGGCCAGAATCTCTGCTTGAAAGGGCCGCTTCAAGCGCCAGGCCCGACTCAGCCAGCGCTTGCTCCTGTCCAACCCAGGCCTGCTTCGACTTGTCGCTGCGCCTCGCAAAGTCCACACACACACACACACACACGCATGGCACCTGCCAACACCCCGCATTCAAATTTATTTTGGCCGCAACCTACAGGTCGCAAACAGACGTCGCGCGTTTCGTTCGTTAAAACAGCTTCCCGGATATAGCCAAAGGGAAAAGGAAGCGACGCGTTACGGAAAGCGTCGCGCCTTCCAGCGCTATCACATGCGTCAAGGATGCGAAGAAATTGTGAACCACGCCTTGCAGGCACCAGCCACAGCCAGCCAAGCAACTCACCGCTGACGCAATGCTTCCAGGACCATCAAATAATGTACAAGTGCCCAACATTCAACGGCACCCAGGTAGGGTAGGTCAAAGGTGTTTCTATTATATCGCCTGAAACACTTCCTTCAACTTGTCTGCGCACCCAGCCCCGGGGCGCTTCACCGGCTGCTGCATGCGGTTGGCAGCACGCTTTGCAGCCCCGCCCTCCATGGCGGATGGAAAAGCTGGCGAAACAAATCAAACGGAAGTCTGGAACCTCAAGCTGGAGCCAAACAGCAAAACGACATAAGAGGCACAAGCGCGAAACTCCTGTGAGAAAGGAGCACGTGAAGCATTTTGCACTTGTCGAATAATCACTTCGCAGGAAACCAGTCGCGGAAGGCAAATTCAATAAAAATACAGCCAAACTCCTCGGCTCCAAAGTCCCAAGCTCAGCGCATGGGAGAGCTTCCCTGCCAGTTTATCCCACGTGGACCTCTGTTTGGTTGTTTGCCTTCGGAGGGCCTTGTTGGGATCTGTGGCGCTGGAGCGACTTTTTTGAAAAGGATCAGCCGTCCATGGAGTTCTACCACGAGGGATCATCAGATCCTTCCAAGCCTCGAAACCTACACCTCCTGTCTGCCAGCCGTAAACCTGCCCGTGTCTGCTCATATTCTGTGTTTTGTTGAATAATTCTTGCATCCTCGGCTCACTTTTCGTGGCACTGAGACACCACCGCTGGGCATGGAAGTGCTTTCAGCAACATTCCTTCTGCACGCCCATCTCACAATCGTGATCCTTCAGGTGGATAGTGGTTGAAGGGCCGCAAAGGGCCTGGAATCCGTGGCGGTTGAGGTGGTTTTGTGCACTCGAGGTCTTCCCTTGTCGAGAGTATGGACAGCAACAACGAGGAGCCCCAATGAGCTGGCGCTGGGGCTGGGCTGAGGGTTGTCGAAAGAAGTCACGTCATGGTTTACCGTAACACTCCTCAACCTTTATGTCGCACAATGGAACGCTTTTCACTTTGAGAAAAGAACCTCTGAGTCTGAGTGCCCGAGTTCAGGTGCGCGGAACGCAGCAGCCGGGTCGTTTCACTGCCGGCGAACCTTGAAACTGAGGAGTGCCGGAGCTCCATGAAAAAAACATGTTTTTCCTTCTAAGCCTGGGAGATTTTGAGATTGGCCGTTGTCGGTTTAGCTTTATATTCTAATATAATTATTTTAGTATGGTATTTCCATAATATGGAAGGTTATATATGTTGATTTCACAATTCGATTATATTTAGATCGAACTAATTGTTAATTAATAATATATGTATTGAATTAATTGATTTATTTGGAAGATTTTATTAATTGTATATATGTAATTTTATTTTGAGATTATTTTGTTATTTATAATATTAGGTAAATCAATTTATAATGTTAAGATTGATAATGTCAATTTATAATGTTAAGATTGATAATGGTAATTAAGAATTGATGAAAATTGGAAATTTTGGATTGTATTTTTATTTTTTGTTTTTGATTTGTTTTTTTATTTTTTTATTTGGGATGATTTGTTTAATTCTAATTATGAAATGGATATTTGTATTTTTATTTGTTAAATATTGGGATTGATATGAATTTTATATTTGAAATTGTTTTAATTTTGTGATTATTATATATATTTAATTTGGTTATATGAAGGATATTCTATTTGTGATTATATATAATAGATTAGTTGGTATTTGTATAATTTATAATGTAATAACTAATATAACATATATTTAATATTGAATTTGGTATATATAGATATTTAATTAAAAAAATATAAAATTGATTTATTGAATTAATATATTTATTATATATTGAAATTGAATTATATTTGTAATAAATAAGAATTAAAAAGAATATAAATAATATTGATGATTTTTGACAATTATATTTTTTAGTATTTAAATAGTAATTCTAAAATTATAATTTAAATATGTAAATATATATAATAGATTTAATTTATAATATAAATTAATAATATTTGTATATATTTGTATATATTGAATATAATTTAAATTATATTTTTAGAATTATATTATTATTTTGAAATGATTTTGTTACCTTGTTTGTTTTTTGGTATTGATTAATAATCTGATATTTGATGGATTATTATATTTAAATTGTCTAAAATATATTTTGTTTTAAATATAATAATCTTGGTGGGAATATTTCGGTTTGTGATATATACAACAAATAATATGAAATCCTCGTGAACTATATAATTAAATTGGTATGAAAATTTGTTTTTCATATGAATCTATATTTTTGATTGTGTATTTTGACGTCGGAGAATTTATCTTTTGATTGTCTCTATTTTTATTTTGTGGGCCGCCTAAAAGATCGAAATCCTTTAAAAATGATGATTGGAGGGATATTCCTTATAGACACTATATTCCCAGACTTGGATAATGTATAAGGTATAAACTAATCAAGAAATCTAAGCAAAGAATAGGTTGGGCACTATAGGCCTTACCTGTCTGAGTGTTTATGTATAATGGATTGATTAACGATACGATCTGCGCAATCATCTGCGTATCATTAGTGAAAGCCCCCCCAAAAAATCATTTATGATGGTATTCGTGTAATGGGCCAGCATTAAAGTCACCGAATCTTCAGCGGCTCATCTTCATGTATGCAACAAATTAAGGTCTTGGTGCATAGCCTCCGAAACTGGTGGGAGTGATTGTTGCTCATCAGCCCTGAGCGGGCGACGACACTCAATTCCTGGAGGAGCTGCGAAATCATCGCTCCCGATTCTTCCCCCGTACGGGCAACAACAACGTACGCCACGCACTTGAGGATATATTAATTATTAAATATAATTTAGAAAGATTTTTATATATACATTGTTTAATATTATATTTAAAATTAGATTAATATTTATATATTTTTTTCACTATAATTAGATTTATAATTTATTGATATATATTAAAACTAATTTCTTTATAATTAAGAATAGATATTAGTTTTCGAAAATTATTAAAAACATATATTATAAATTTAGAATACATATTTTAAATATAATATTAATCGATTTATAATATGATTTGATATATTAAATCATAATAGGTTAATAAATTTATATTTCAATTGTTAAATATATATATAATTATAAATATAAAATAAAACATATACATAAATAATTCATATTATTATTTATTAAAAGAATTTAATATAATTATATCTCCAAATAATAATTATTATATAAATAAATTTAATATATCAAAATTTAATATAAATTAATTTTGAATTTCAATATAAATCAATTTTAATATTCAATATAATATTAAAATTCAATATAAATCAAAATTAATATTTATATAATAATATATAATATATTATGTGTTATATTAATTTTCCAATACATCTAAAAGAATTATAACATATAATTATCAAGTATCGAATTTTCATAATATTTATAATCAAATTATATAACTATATTATTCTTTTTTAAAATATAATAAAATATCTAATAACCTATAAAAATACAAAAAATATATATGTATTCTATTATTCAAAAATCCCGAGATTTAAAGAAAAAATAATAATAATCCTTTATATCTTCATAAACAAATAATTCCTATAATATAATTCAAAAATTAAACTTACCAAAATCAACATAAAATTAAAATATAAATATAAGAAAATAAAAATTAATACCATATCAAAATCAATATTTCACAATTAAAATAATCATACTATATTATTAATAAAACATAATAATTAATATAATTATATTAAAAAAATATTATCTATAACAATATATATATATATATTGAAATATTAATATATATATATATTTATTATTATTATATATTATATTATGTTTTCTATATATTTATTCATATTTATTCATATTTATTGCTATTTATTTCCATCATGTTATATATATATTTTAATAATAACCTATAATAATCAAAATAGTATATTCAATATGTTTCAGAAATTTATGTAGCATTTTGTCTTCAGTGATGTTATTCGGATCAAGCGTGGTTCAGGCGGGCAAATAGATAGGGCCGATCAATTTTTTAAACAAAGTTCCTCTTCCCCAAACGCACGCTTGTTTCTCCTGCAGCCTTCGGCAAGCAGGAAAAGTCCTACCATTCATTGACACCGTCCTGAAGACATGACGAGATCCCTGCAGCTGCTTCTAAACTTGGATGCAGGGACTCGATGAGAAGGCTCCACCTGAATCTTCCAACAATCTGGTTGCAAGTTGGAGCTTGACCATTTCGCGATATGGCGCTTGCACTCCAAAACGAAGGGTGCTCGAAAAGGCAAAACAATTCAGGAAGCAGCCCTCTTGCTCTTGCATCTTGGGCAAGATACCAAACGAATTGCATAGGCACCCAAACGAATTGCCAGACGAATTCTCAGCCGCGAGCCGTCAATCCTGGCACGCGTCAATGCTGCGGCAAATGTTATCTTTGCTGCATGCGGGAAAGCTGCAACCCCGGTTGAGTGGGATTCGGAGCATGGGGTTGTGACAACGAGTGAACATGGATTTCTGCTCTCCTTCTAAAAGTTTAAGTTTTAGTGGTTTCATGGAAAACCCACTAGTTGGCAAAAAGTTAAAGTCCTAACATCCCTTGGCAAAATGCAGCAAAGCTGCAGCTGAGAGCGTCAAAACCAACCCCGAAGTCATCCGGAACACATTTCAGTGGGCTATCTGCTGCCTCTGCGGGCTAAAGCTCAAACACGTCCAGCGCAAATGCCAGAGCGGCACTCCAAAACAACTCCGGGGGCAAGAAGCATCTGCATCCTCGGGTCGAGCCTCAAAATTGAGAATGGTCATGTTTGTTCATGAGGACAAAAGGTTAGCCCAAGTTGTGCTGGAAGTTATAATGCTACCTGCGTTTACATTGCTTGTGGACAAGGACAACAGTCGTGCATATGGCTTCTGTCAGCAGTCACTACTCGCTCACTACTCACCTGCCCAAGAGATCCAGAGATATTCACCCAATATTCACTACTCACTCGCTACCCACTCACCCAAAGATTCAAACCTTTCGACTCCGAAAGGCTCCTTTCACCTGAGAACGCTCGCTGGCTCTCTCTCTCTCGTGGCAGAGGCCCAAAGCGCCAGACTCTCACTTTCGGGGCTTCGGCCAAGTTCCCTGGCCTCTTGAGGGCTGTGGTTGAAATGGAATCCACGAATCTGTGATACAACAAACTAACCCCAAAGACTACCCCCATTTAAACAGGGGATTCCCTTGTATCACAGAAGTGGGGATAAACCCCTGGATCCCACAACCCTGCTCTTGACCCAAGGGAAAATCCGGCTCAACTCAAAAAAAAACGTTCATGGCTGTTGGACATCATCCCTTCATTTGACAGACAGTGGGTTCACACCATGATTTCCATCGGCTCCAGCACCCCCCTCACCCCAACTTTTTGCGTTTTCCCATGTCCAAGATAGTCTTCTTGGCGAGGCACAAAAATCAGATTGTTGGGACCTGGGTACTTGTGGCGGTTTCTTCCGTGTTTTTTTTCCTTGTATTTCGTTGACCAACCTGCATAGGGACCCCCGCCAACCCACACAACTCCCCACCCAAAACAAAATATGTAAAACATTAATTTAATGAAGTAAAAAAGAAAACAAGCAAAACATAACACACAACAAACAAAATATGACATATGTATATATATATATATCATAAATATCACAAATCAAAATAATCAACAAACACCAACAAGACAAAACAGCAACACCATTCATGATATTTCATTCATAAACTATGATTCAACACAGACAACAACCATCAACAACACAAAGCAGCCCCTAAACTTCCTTGAAATCAAAATCCCTGAACATAGGTTCAACACATAAATCTTACAATGTTCTTTTATTGTAAGGTTTATGGGAACCCTTTTATGGGAACCGTTGGCAGGCGAGGATAAGAGCGGGGCGTGGGCTGTTTGGCAGAGACTCGTGCCCTGCGGAGGTTTCCTCCTGCTCGCTACATAGCCCCACCAGTGCCTGAACACGTGTCAGGTTGGCACTTGCACCTATCAGTTGGCAGAGACTCGAAATCAAGCTTGAAGCAAGTGAGTTGCCAAGAACTTTCATTCTGCATTGGGGCCTTTTGGCTCTCTTCAAGACTGAGCTTCACCCCTCAATTTCCAGCAATGGCTTTGAGACTGTTTGTGGATGTCTTCACCTTCAAATTGCGAATGGATCCCAAGGATACAATCCTTGATGTCAAGCAGTTGGTGGAGCAGGCGATAGGGATTTTACACACTAGCTTCAAGCTTCAGCACGGTCCGGGGAACTTTGACACGCCTGATGTTGGCAAAACGGTTGGTGATTTCACCTACGACTGTCAGGTGTGTGGCACAGGTAATCCCCATTTCTTCGCTGGCTCTCCATCGGTTGAAGCCTTGAAAGTTGCCAGACAGATGAAAGAAGAGCAAGCAAAAGCCAAGACCTGTGGAGATATAGACATTGACGGGCTCACCATGATTTATGGACATGTTTTCTTCGACTTGCCAGAAAGAAGGTGGAGAAAGGCGCTTTGCTTGGTGCCCCTGCTTCATCATCTGATAAGCCTCGCTTTCAGTCCAGGACTGAGGCCGAGCTCCCGAGGATGAAGAACAAGCCCGTTTGAACGTATTGGTAGATGAAAGCCGCTCCATTGAGGTGGTGCTTCAGGTCAGGTTTTTGTCTGGCAGGGAGATTGAGGTTGCAACAGAAGTTCAAAGATGAAGACCTGTCCCAACACATCACCGAGGAGGTGTTGTTGATGTTTGGGACGGAAAGGCTCCAGAACCATCGTCACCTCTTTGCCTACGGCATGATGTGGCAGTCCTTCGTCCAACTGTGGAGCACAACCTTCACTTGAAGGTGGAGTTTGCAGAGTTCATTAGCAACGAAGATGGGTGAGGGTGCCAACACATACAGTCCCTTCTGCGTGAATGTGTCGCCTACCACAACAGTCATCCAGATGATTGGCAGTGTGTCATCCGCTAGCCAGTTTCACCTTTACCAAGAAGACGACCGGCGCTTCCTTCGTGAATGGGCGCCACCTCTCGCGCTTCGCTGAGGAGCAACGCACCCTCATCACAGACCTCAATGCCAAGCACAACGACATCATCACGGTGAATGTCTGACAAGAACGACCGCATCTACCGCCTTGCTATGGGTGAGCCGGTTACAGTTGTGATGAGGCAGAGTATGACGAGGAGGAGGTTGAGGAGGTGTGGGGCGGGCGAAGGTGATGACTTCACCTACCCTGACGACTTCAACTTTGATGTTGGAGATGGTGCCGGCAATGTTGAGCCCATTAACCCTGATGAGACGGTGAAGGTGACAATTTACCCAAACGCCAAGGAAAAGAACATGAGCATCACACTCTTTGTCTTGCCCACGTCCACTATGAAGCAGGTGATGGGCGAGATTAACGACATCACGAACATTGAGGGTGGCACCTTTGGCCTGTTCAACCTCATCAACGGCGAGAAGCTGTCTGAAGCCTCATTGGTTTCAGAGTGCCCTTCCGAAATGCACTCAAGCTCAAGATGATAGGTGGCGGTGGCGCAGTTATATAGAAGGTGCATTGAAGACAAAGACCTTAAAAAAGAAGATTGCTACAACCAGCGCTTCATCAATGCCCGCTTCTTGTGCTTTGCCAAAGGTGCTGGAGATGGAGGAGCAATACAAGTTCTACACGATGGCAGACAGCAATGCCACATCTGCTTTGGAGACATTTGGAAAGCGCTTGAATGAGTTGAGCGAGATTGTGGCAATTCTTGGTGGCACTTCAGCTGATATCAAGATGAAGGAGTGGCCAGAGGTTTGGTGAGAAGTTGCAGGAGTTGAAGGTCATCAACGGCTTGACATCCACTATTGAGAATTCCTCGGTAGTCTTGCAGGCGTGCAACCGTGCCATTGAGCAACACAACGGTTCTGACCTTGGCAAGGTGAAACAACTGTTCACTAACCTTCTTGCCTTAAAGGCTGCAGTCCGTGAAGCCACTTCAAGTGGCAATGGATTGGATGAAACGTCTCCCAAATGCGGTGCTGAACCCACATCCACTCATCGCTTCCAGAAAGCCAGCTCGATGCTCCCATAAAGCCAGCTCGATGCTCCCATAAAGCCAGCTCAATGCTCCAATTTCAGGGATCTTAGTTTCAATCAAGTTTAGGGGCTGTTTTGTTTCGTTGATGTTTGTTGTCTCTTTTGAATGACAACTTCATGAATGACATATTATGATTGTTGCTTCTGTTTTGCTTTGTTGGCGTTTGCTGGTTGCTTTGTTTTGTGATATTGTATATGTATTTATTTGTTTTGTTGTTTGTTATGAATTTTAGTTTACTTCATGACATGGCTGTGGCTCCAAAAACCGGTACTCCAAAATGGCTTGCCCTGGTAAGTGGAAACACATGGACCAACACAGGCGGTTTGCGTAACCCCTCCGGTTGAATTTTGAGCCATACCCATGAACTACCTTTCCTTCTTTCTTCATAACATGACCGCAACATATATACATATACATACATATATATATATATATATATATGTTATGTTGTTGTTTGTTATGAATTTTACGTTGCTTCATCAAATGAACGTCTTCCTCTTCTTTCCCCCCCACCTCTTCGTCCTCGGCCTTGGCGAAGCGGACCCGGTCCTTGGCAGCTCCTTCCGGCCTGCGACGCGCGACGCGACGTGGTGGGTCCCACGGCCCATGGAAACGGATGTCCAACGGAGCCACCCATCTCTTGGTTGATGTTGGAAGGGGAGTAAAAATTAAAATTTTAGCAGTTAAGTGGTGCGAATTCAACCACCAAACCACAATAAGCAAAAATGTGTTCAATGTTTCCCAACAACAACCCAAAACAATTTGACACACACGCACATTCAACAAGCTGACACATATCCAAAACATATGGCCCAATCATATGCCCATTGGGTTAGGTTTGTTTGATACTTCTTTTCTTACCCCAGCTCACCGGGGTAAAAGGAAGAGGATCCTGACTCTGGGCGGGCGAACTTGCCGTGCTAAAACCAGTTGAACTGTTTTTGGCTGTTCATCCAACTCAAGCACCCACAGGCCCAAATACAGATGACTGGCCAACACGGAAGACTTGGCGTTCCTTCCTGCAAACCATTCTGCTTCTTGCACAGTACGACGGGATTTTGGACATGGGAAATTGCCGAACTTGGGGGTGCTAGTGTACAGAACCATGCCTGCGCTTGAATTCTTCAAGGCGAGGAGTGGGACCCTATGCACATGCCTCCAGAACCGAAAAACACAAGAAACAAATGGAGCAATTTCGGGCCAGGTATTCTTTGTTGCGGGACTCGCAGCGCTACTTGACGTGGATCCCCACGTTGAGCTTGTTTCTCAATGGATCGACAGCCAAGCTGCCACGGTCCATCGATGCAACCAGGTCTTTCATAGGGCGCGGGGAAGCGCCTGCAGTCTACTAGCCTTGAACCCGAAGACCCATTGCCCAATCAAGCGGGCATCTATCAACATGAATGGCACCTGGGCATCCAAATTTGACCCCCCAAAAGAGGTGGTTTTCCTTTTCACTGCCCTTTAAACCAAGCACAAATCAGGGTACCTAACCAAAACAAAACCAACAACAACTATCAAAGGGTTGAAGGTGTATGAAGCAGCTCTGGTATGACCCCCTAGTTTATGGGTTAAATTAGTTTTGGCTTTGTGGGAAATCCGCCCCCTGATATCTAACAAATTTCTTTGGTTCGCAGCTTTCGGGTCGCTGCCTGGCTTCCTTTGGGTCCTGCCAGGACGAAGACGAAGGCCTCAGTCCAACGCACGACACGCTGCGACACGTTTCGACCAGCTTCGGCTCTTCAGCTGGTCACAGAAACGGAAGTTATCCAAAAAATGCCGGCTTTTTTTTCTTTTACACACTTGCGGTCTGGAGTCTCCAAAAATGAGCATTTCCTCCATGAACCTCTTTGTTTCAAGCGTGGACCGTTGATTTCCACCCGACCCCGGGGTCCCGTGTCCACAGGGTCACTCTCGTGTCCCGAGGCTTGAGCCCAGCTTCCACGGGATACATCCAGTTCGTGGTCTGCGGCGCCTGCCGTCCATCAACGAAGTGAGTTGGCCACATCTGTGGATGGACGAAATCCAATTCGCACCACTTCGAAACCATGGGGGAAACCCATGGTTTGTGGGTATTTACGTTGGGGAATTTCAAACATTCCAGGCCCTGGGGTTCCAAAGGCGGTTTATTTTGCATGTTTTCTGTGAAAGGCGGTTTTTTGCCAGGAGTAGTTTTGTCCAAGCTCAGCTGATATCATTGAACAATTCGGGCGCCACACGTGCTCAGGACCAAAGTGTCAAAGACTTGACCTCCGTTCCCACAAAACAAGCGGAGGGATTATCAAAGGACAGGCTGAAACACATAGATTGACCGGTGTCAAATTCACGGCAGAAAACGTGCTTTCACGCTGGAAAACTGGCTTTCACACCAATTTCACGATATGTTCACTGTGATTTCACGCTACTTTTGCGTACATCACGGACCGCTATGTTCACACCAAAATTGTTGTGTCAAGACATGTTGGGGTGGAACTGGCTTTGTACAATCTAAACGTGGCAACAGCATGAATAATCCATGAAATACCACGCCATGGCTTGCCACAGGCGCAAAAAACCGGCTTTAGCTGCAAAAAACAGGCGAGGTGCAAAGGACGTTTAAAAAACAGTCGTGGATTTCCAGGGCAGGGTTTCCTGGGCGGTGCGAAATGGATTTCGTCCAGCCACGGGTATGAGATCCATCCAAGCTGAGAGTTTCACCAAGTCTTGGCCTCGGAGATCGAGGAAAAGGTGGAGGGCCCAGTTAGCTGAAGTCCTATATGGCCATGGGTCAGAAGCCAAAGCCAAATCGTACCCCCCGTGAACATCAACCAATCCAACCAAAATAGGTTCGAAAAAATGGGTGGTGAATTCACCTACCAACCAAAATGGGACCCCATTGGTTTTGAACCGCAGCCAGTTGCTTTCAACACGCAAAATAGACAGCAACCTGGGTGGATTGGCAAAATCAAAAAGCGAGCTGCGAAGTCCAGCATCCAAGTGAGCAAAAAAACATCCATCCAGGAAGCTCCACTGATGCCAGGGTCTGGGACAATTTGCTTCACTCCGGGGAGATCCCTCCTCCGGCCTGGCTGGACACCTTTTCGAGAGTCGGGACATGTCAACAGATCCATCCCATGGGTTGCCTTTCAGACCAAGAAAAAGAAACAAGAGGCTACTTTGCAGTCCCTTTTTTCCTCACTGGAGGTCTGGGCTTCAAGCTCCGCCTAAGTCAGGACCACCTCCCAGAATACCACCCCCCAGACTACCTGCAATAGTTCTTGAGCCGCCACGGCCGGTGGCGAGGCATTGGGATTGATACACTATTTCACACACACATTCCTTACACCTAACCCGCCATCCAAAAAAACCTCCCTTCCCCTCCCGTGTCCGGCCCTCTCTCTTTTTTCTTATTTTTCTGGGTCCCTCCTCTCCTCCCCTCTCCTCCTCCCCTCTCCACCCCTCCTCTCCTCCCCTCCCTGGGTTCCTCCGCCCCTCCTCTCAGACTCCGAGCCACTCGTCTCTCCCCGCGCCTGGAGGCTGTCGCGGGCCTTGTGCAGCCAACTCCGCATGATGGAGGCCTCCGACCAGCTCAGCGACTTGGGGACCTGGCGGTCTCGAGGCTCGATCGAGCTGCGAGGCTCGAGGCTCGGGTGGGTGGCTTCGCAGCCCGCCATTTGTTTCGGGTAAAACTGTTTCGCCCTTTTGGGGAAGTCCCTGGACGGAGGTCACCCCCTTTTCCGGAATTATTTTTTGAAAGCGGATTTTTCGTGGCACAAAGGGGACCTTTTCGCCATTTTGGGGAAGTCCCTGGAAGGAGGTCACGGCGATTTTCGGAAGTCTTTTGTGGAAGGGAACCAAAGGAGAAACTGAAGCCATTTTGGTGGGTCCTCTCAAGAAGAAAAAGACACAACCATTTCTCTGTATGGGAAAGGGAACTACAAAAGCAGCATGAAAATGACTGGTTAGCCCCGAATTCGCGGTATAAGGCGCAACATGGCGCAACGGGGGATCGAGGCAGGACTGAGCCGGAGTTCTGTGTTTGACTCGCCTTTCCCCTTCGGGAAATTGACCATGCATGAGTCTCTGCGAGCATGTTCGGTGGCAACCTTGAAGTTCAGAAGGAAACGGTAGCCCACTCCGAGCCTCTGCACCAACACATGGGTGATTACTAGCATTGAGCTTATATAAATTCCCGCGACAGCTGAAAGAGGGCTGAGCCCAAGAGTTCAACCAGGAGGTGGCCTTAGTTGTCGATCATAGGACCCGCCCTCAACGACCGCAGCACCTTCCCACACCCTTCGCGCCAGCTGTTGAGGATCTGGGACAACCCCAGGCAGGGGCCACTGGGTTCCCCCAGTTGATCAAATTACTGGCGGTTTCCACGAAAACCATCCCAACTGGAGCTTCCTTTTTGGAGTGCGGAAAACGGGTCCATCATATACTACTACTACTACTACTACTACTACTACTACTACTACTACTACTACTACTACTACTACTACTACTACGACTACCATTACTACTATTGCTACTATTGCTACTATTGCTTGGGACGTGAGACAAAACCCGCCCCTTCGGCCTTGAGTGGCAGCTTTGGCTCAATGTCATCGGCCTCCAAGTCGATCAGCAGCGGGTCCTGCGGAAAACTCGGCGCAGCTCCCGCCGGGTCCCGGGTCGCGGAGCCGTACCGTTGGGTGGTACCACTTTTGGGGTTGGTGTAAAGGGAAACCAAAAGAAACCAACCATTTTTTGGGGGCCCCCTATGTTGAGGCAAACCCAGGTCAATCTTTGAAATCCTTTGGCCATCCTTTGGCCAAACTCACCGACAAAGGACACCTACTTGTTCTTTTATACCAGCACCCAAGAGTGGTCCATTTGTATCTGTTTCGGGTGCCAATTCAGGTCTTGGAAGGTCATAGTAAGGTCGGGCCAAGTTAGGACAGGAAAACCAGCGGTCACTGGGTCCTTCCGCTTGCTGAAGAGAAGTGAAAGCAAGCTGGCGGTTTGTTTTACGTTCACCAACTTTGAGAACCCCCCACACCATTGCTTGCAATAAGTGGGGTCACTGAGACTGTGCACTCAAGTATTCAATAATGCAACTGGCATGTTCATGCACATTCTTCCTGCACCGCGCAGTGAGCCTTTCCGCAGTATATCGAAACACATGTGTCGACACGCCCTGGAAAAGGCCTCAACCAACCCCCGCAGCAGGCATATGGATGCCAGAATCAACCAGACCATTCCGGGGTTCCCCCTGGTTCAGTGCTAAACCGAGAAAACACAACAAACAAACCCTACGTACGGGGAGGGCTGGGGGTTGCCGCAACCCGCCAGACCGACTTTCCAGCTTCGGTCCTTGACGCCATCGTCGTCCACTGCGGCCTCGAAGCAGTGGACGGCTTTTCTATGGAAGGGAAGAAATTGCTGTGGCTCAAAAAACCGGTACCAAAATGGAACCCTGGTAAATGGAACCAAAGAAAATCGCGTAAGCCCCCCTGCTTAATTTTGAGCCACACCCAAATGGAGGGGATCCACCCACACTCCGGGGCCTGAAAAACGCGTGTTCTCAGGCCCCAAACCCTCCTGGGCCTCAGGGGCTTATCTCAGCCAGGGTGCCCTGAGTCGCGAGTTCTCAGGGGAACTTGGGCATGGCCTCTGCTTTTTTTGGGGACCTCAAAGTAGGTGGCGGTCCTTTTTGGCTTCCCTTTACAAGCATGGCAGGTACACAGAACAAAAAAAAGACACACCCGCGTGACCGCGCTTAGACACATGCACATCTTCCAGCACTTGCAAATGCCCTCGCATTTCATCGGTGACTTCCCCGCCTCTTCATCCTTGTCGGACACGGAGGGCAGTGACCTCATTCGACATGTCCCATGGCACGCCCAAACCGTCACTCAACTCGGACGCCTGCCTAAACATGCTGTTGGGGCGAATCGAGAAAATATCCTTGGCCTGAACTGCGACATCAAAACCCTGGGGCACCCCAATAACTATGCTTGCAGGCCCTTTGAACACCAAAGCATTCCACATCGTGTCGACGCATGGCTGGATTCAATTTGCCTTGATTTCTGGAAAAAGGCTCCAAAGTCTTCAGTGGCAGTGAAATTCAGCAAAACTGCCTCAAGCCCCGCGCAACCCGTGCACCCCGTGCAATCTCATAGAACGAGGTCGCTCTTATCTCAGAAGCTCGGAGGCCATGGGAAAACCATGAAAAAACCTTCATCCGGTTCAGTTCATTTCCAACGGGCAGGCCCTCATGTGAGGGATGGCTACCTGCCACAAGAAAGGATTTCGGTGCCTCCCCATTGGCCCTTCTCTCACCAAAAACGCACGAAAAAAGGCCTCCAAAACCTTCAACAAAAAGAAACACCTCAAAACTTCCCTCAAATACTGAGAGGCTGAATGCGGCTTGCACCGAACCGGCCACCGAGTCACTGGAAGAGTCTCAGATTGATTGGTCGCCCTCTCGCTCACCATCCACAATTTGGAAACACATGGCCTGGCAGTGCTCCCTTCTCTTCTTGGCATCGCTTGGCTTCTCTTCTCCCTGCTCTCTTAGCTTCAATGCGTCTCTCCGGGCTCCCAGCCAAAAGGGAGTTCTAGAGTCCGGGAAAAACACCAATCCCCTTTTGGCTTCCCCTTGGGTAAATCAAATATTCAGGAATCCTTTAAGTGGTTTGGATTGGTGGTTTGGTGGTTTAGGGGTGGTATCCCATTTACCATCTACAAACCAATCCAAACCGCCCGTCGGCACCCACTGGGCACGCTGGCACGTCGTCGCCGCCGCCCTGACAGCTGTGAAACTCCACGCCGAAACGAGTTGTGACGCTGTTGGCTGTTGGTGACAATAAGCATGGTTGAGCGACCTTGGGAAAAAAAGGAACTCGGAGTTGATCGTAGGAAACAAATCACGCTGTTGGTATTTGTGTTAAATAAAAACCCAACCCAATGCATGTCTTTCATAAGCAACCCAGTGCAGGTCACAAAAAGAAGTGACTGAAGGTTGAGCAAATGGTGCTCTCAAAGGATGGAAACACGGAGCCCTCACAAGGGCTCCGTTGATATTCATACTGTCTTTGACTCTAAGATGTCTCATCTGCTATCCAGAAAACCAATTTCTATGTCCAGTCTATCTCTTGGGAGTCATATGGATCGCAGCTCTGTGCGAATAGATCCACCTTCTTCACTGGCAGACGATGGAATTCTTAATGCATGTAGGTCTTGGGAAGCCTCGCGGCGAGCGCCGCACACCTGAAGAGCCCACTCCGAGATTTTCGGGGCTCAAAAAACGCCGCGGCAAGATCTAATCGATGCATAAGATGTTGACAGAAACTACATCCTATCAGTTTGCATTCAGGAAAGTCCCAGGCATCCGGATTGATGCAAGTAGAGGTTCATGCCACCCTTGTTGCCCTGGTGCGACTTTGCGCCGTCTCTCTTGACTCTTGAGAGACTCCCCAACAACAGTCACCACTTTGAGACGGGTTTCATTTAAGTACCAACGTAGACTCAAGCCCAAGTAGACTTGAACCAAGGTGTTGCCCCCTGTGAAACAAAATCGACCGCGTCAAAACCTGTCAAATGGACTCCTGAAAGGCCTCTCACTCCGTGCGGCCGGTGCCTTGTCCAAGAGCTCCTTCCTGACCTCCTGCATGGTTCGGCCTGGCAATTGCCCCGGGGGGAAATGACCACTTTCGGCGAGTTTGGGGGTCCCTGCGAGCTCTGGAGTGGTCTGGAGCGAGCTCGGAGCGAGCTCGGTTTTCAGAGCAAGGTGAAGCAGGTGGGACCAGCAAGATCACCAGGCTTGCGCCCTCAGGATCGTATGGAGGCTGCCGTTGGGAATGCCGGGTCACTTTTCATAGTGTCGCCAAGTTAAGCCACGCAAAATGTTCATTGCGTTCCCCTTTATGGGAATTTGGTGAGAAGCTCCATTTCCTAGTGCTAATGTAGTGAGTCTGCCCAATATACTCTACTTTACCATATATGATAGTTATTGGCCGTTGCCCAGCCACCGATTCCCACGGATCGCGCCTTCGATGCCGAAGCGGGGCAAGAATTCTTGCGGCCGCTCGTCCCGGACGATGCACCGGGTCCACTCCAACCAAAGGTTCAAGACCTCGAGTCGCAAAGCGGTAGACGGAATTTTCGGCAAACCTTAGCGCACAAAACGCGGGGTACACAGAATACTCTGTACCAAATTTTGGCTGGGGTTGATTGTATCCCATTTTTTACACCATGAGAACCCTCCATATTAGTCTGCAAAAAGGACATCCCCCCGTATTTTTGGGCGAGAACCCACGTTTAAGGGCAGTTTGAGGGTCCAGGTACACAGACACATCTATGTCACTCATTCTGGGGTTTCGCATGGATCCCCATTGATGCGCAAGAGATTTGGCGGCCCGAGGCAATGAATGTTCGCGTCTTAGCACGCCCGGCGTAAACAAATATATGGTACAATTATTAATTGGAGACGCTCTTCTGGACATCATATACATCAAGAGTTATGTCTACCAACCATTTTGAGAAGGATTCCTCACTAACATGTAATTATTGCCATATACTAGGAATATGGGCCCGCCACAGGTCAAACACATCAACAAAACATGGTTTGATTGTTCCCAAGTTGCCCCATCCTGAAACCAAGTGTCTGCGACTTGTACAGTCCTCATTGCCATGCTCCGAACAAGCAAACTATTGTAATGGACGTTGGCAAGCACCAATGGGATTCGGAGCATGGTCCAACTGGCGCGGGTCCCCCACAATCAGCCTCCTTTGAACAAATTTGCTCGGTTGCACAGCAGCCATGATCTGATTGGGTTGTCCGAAGTGGTTATGCGTCAAAATCGGGGGGTCCTCAAACTGGTCTTCCTGTTGTTATACCTTTGGCCAACCCAAAAAAATAGTACCAACTCAAAACAACACAATGGCGTTCCTGTTGTCTTTGCCTGGGCAAACCCTTTTTAAGGTTACCAAGTTACCAACGCAAAACAACATTGAGGCTTTACGTATACCCATTGGGTTTTTACACAAACCCGCTTTTTTCTTTTTCCGGGTACTAGCTCACAACGCCACGCACCGTGAAGGAAACTGTGAAGGCTGCCTGCTTCATCTCGGGGTCCAGAGTGATCACAGGATAATCGCTGCGCCTGGCACGCAGACTGGCAACTTGGGGCCGGAGATGTTTCCAACAGCCACCTCAAAACCTATCCGGTATACCTGGAACCTACCCCCAACCCCCCCCTCCTCCCACCCCAAAAAAAATAGAGACGGGCATCACCAACCATCGTTGTGGGGCAAACACTTAGGGCACAGGTACTTTTACCCCAAGTGAGTCATAATCAAAACCTGGTACAAGAATGGAAAGCCCAAAGCCATTATTGTTGGGACTGTCGGTCCCTATTGGGCCCTGTATTGAAGAGTCACACAAGGAACTCAGGATTGCCCAAAGCGGAGTCTCCCTAAAGGGAGGGCCCCCCTTTTAATCAACATGCACGGGCCCTTCGCACCGTTGGCGTTTGCGTCGCACATTTAACGAAGATTCCCAACGCGAGGCTTGCGTTCCATGTTAATCCGAAGGGAAGCAAAAGCCAATCTCTATCCCCAACTTTCAACTGGCGCTTCTCTAGTTCCAAAGGCCTGTGACACAATCTGGAAAAGCCCATCTGAGCTCTCCCCTATATTTTTTCCCATGGCTTGCCCAAAGGTGTCCATTGTCCAAAAGGAGATTCCTCCAAGCAGCTGACTCATTCACGAACCCAAAAAGGGTTACAAACCATCCCATCGGCACCGATTGGGTCCGGTTGGAATCGTGGTTTCCAACTTGATGTAAGGGTGGGCCCCAGAGCTCCATAAAACGCGCCATGTACCTGGACCGAAGGGCCATGTACCTGGACCGATCCTCAAACCCGACGAAACATGGGCGATTGCAACCCAAGATTCTGGTCGGTGATTTTCTTAAGGGAGGGTTCAAAGGAAGCAAGCCTTGGAGTTTGGGGAAAGGCAAGCCCCTGTTCGAGGGGAAACATACCAACATACCATCAAGGCGGATTTTCCCGAGCTGCAAGAACCGGCAGTCCCTGGCAAACAAATTATATAATCCGTCACTTTGTGGAAACCATACTTGGGTGCTAATGTTTAGGGAGCAATCAATCCGAATTTGGCTTCTCGGGTAGATGAACCATAGGCTATTGGTCGCACCCAGATCACATAATAGCTCCTTCGGCACCTGAGTATATCTCATTCGGCCTTCTTTTGGATGCCTGGGCCCTCAAACTACCCTTTAAGAAAGCTTGGTTGACGTTGGAAGAGGAGCAACAACTTAAATTTTAGCAGTTAGGCGGGGATTTCTCACTAATTAAACCACAACGAGCAACAATGATTCAAACGTTTCCCAACAACAACCATGATCTTGGGACATCAACCACCAATCCGAAATTTGCAGTTTCACCCATGTTTAGTCGGACCGCTCGACGGTCCAGGTAGCAAATTCGATCCGCACGCTTTCGCTTCGCTTTGAATCCGCAGCCCTGGCCTCACCATCTCGTAGGCGCTCTTCTTCTTGGCCTAGGCACCAAGTGAGCCGCGCAGGTCCTTTCGACCCTGGGCGAAAGTTATCACTTTTCTTGGCCCACATGGCTGTGGTCAAAACCGTTATGGGATCCTATTTTGGTTGGTAGGTGAATTCGCCACCCATTTTAGAACCTATTTATTTTAGTGGGGATTGGGATGTTCACTGGGGGTACGGGATTTTGACCCATGGCCACATCTGGCTACTGAAAAAAACCAGTGTTCAGATTCAGTTTCACGTCCAGCCTACTCGAAAGCAACCGTCTTGGAGACCCCAGCATTCCATCTGAAAGGCCGAATCAAACAAACGGATCCCGAAGGAAAGGACCGAAGGTGAGCTCGCTTTTCCCGGCCGGCCATAGGCAGATTCCATCTAAATTAGTGCATTCTGGTACTAGGTCCTCCAGTAGAGAGGTTAGAATAAGGGTGGCAACTTTTTTCTGTCGTCTATTTTAGGGGAAACCTCCCCCCAAAAAGAAACGGTGAGAACTGGCACCAATTGCTGGGGGACCTTAATCTCAAATCCCCCAAACCGCAAGCCAACAATCTTACCTGCCAAGCTCATCTTGGAACGTGCGGCATGTGAAGCAATCACGAGGAACCGGGGGCTGTGCTGAAAAAAGGATGTCAATATTTGCCCCTTTGGTCGGATAGGACACAGGTATGACCATGACTCAAGGAATTGTAACAATCAATCGGAAAATAACATCTCATCCATGTCTACTCCCAGGAGTCTCACTGGCGACCAGTGTTTCTGATGTGAAATGCCAGTGGGAGTGCGGATCCGCAATGAATCGTGAGTCCCCTTGCGGCACTGAGCGACCGGCCCGGGACAAGCAAACTGCAAACCCCTTTCCGTCTCGTGCGATTTCTACCCGCTGGGCAAGGCCAGGGAAGTCTTCTTGGATGAATCAGGCATCGTCTATGGTTTCTTTCACAGGCTTTTCCGTCTGCAAAACGAGCGTCTCACTCTCCCTTTGAGATTAACGTGGTACTCCAAAAAGGAGGTTGCAAGAGGGGGATTCCTTCAATCACTTGGCTTTTCATGGGTTCCTTGTTCATCTGCAGGGGCGTATAAGCAAGCAACCTGGCTCATGTCATCTTGCTGATCGTGAAGCCCACCAAAACAAAGCCCATGTGCCATGACTTGATCGCAATAATCAGCTCCCGCCTCTTTGGTGCTTTGGATTGGTGGTTCGGAACTTTGGGGATGGTCTCCACCCTCTACAAGAGCCAAGTTTCAACCCAAGGGGTGGGGTCTTTCAGGTTTCATGTTTGTATGATGGCAACCCTGGATGAATCAACCTAGTTAATTATAGGGTGCCCCAGAACTGCAAAGAATTCCCTGCAAGATGGGGACGCCTCCACTTTCATCAAAGCAAGGCTTTATGAATCCTGGCTTGCCATTCCCCCGAGATGGACTTCCTTGCGATCGACCGACCAAAAAAAACACAAACTCGCCAAAGCGCCTGCAGGCGCTGGTACCTCTTTTCGTTCACCGGAATGTTGGTGTTGCGCTTGTGGTAGTACCGTGCGCATTCCTGGAACATAGCATCCTTTGGTGCTCACCATTCGGGATTTTTGTCCACGTGGAGATGTAGGCCCATCAACCACACTATTCGAGTCCATCAGCATCCATCCACCACATGGAGATGTCATGTTCATCATCCACCTGGGAATTCAGGTCCAAACATTTTGGGAAGCGAGGGAGCGAGGAAGCCACGCGAGGGTTCGGCCATCCTCTTGATAAGTTAGCTCTGTCATCCGCTGACTTCTCTTGAGTCGCTACCCGTTTTGGGTGTGGATTCAAAAAGGGGGCCAAAGGAAAACAAGCATTTTGTGGGGTACCCCTATGCTAAGCCAAACCCGAATGGGTAGATTCTCGAAAGCCTCAGGACTCCTACTTTGAACTTTAAGGATCCGAGAGAACTAAGAGGGCCACCAAGAACTGTTCCAGAGTGGTGGGGTACCCTTAGTTCACATCCTGAAGGAAACCGAGTGGAAGCTGTATAAAACTTGGCATGACCAGTTGATGGACTATCGAACAGAACAACTCTGCAACAAGTTGCTTGCGCGCGGAAGGTGGGGAAATCATTTGTGAACTCGTCAAAGCTGGGCATCCCGATATCAGGCTGGCTGTAAGGAGGGAATCGAGGGAATGGGTAATCAAAAGGAAGACAAACTTCAAACAGACCGGAACAGGCAATAAAACTACTTCAGCTTTGGCCCCCGAACATGTGTTATTTCGCTTCCGGTCCATACTTCATACACTCAACCTGAAAGCAAATCAATCGAGGATGTTGCTGGTTTTCGAGCTTCCTTTGCATACTTCATATACACAAACCTACACAAGCCTTAGCATGTTGTCCAACGCGAGGTCCTAGAAACCACCACACCCAAGCCTCGCAGAGCGTGCAGGTGGGAGTGAAGGTCTGGTAGAAGTGCTTCCATAGCGGGGTGTTCCAGAGCGGCGACCTCGAATTCGTTTAGCTTCCCGCTTCGTGGTGGCGTGGAGGTGAAACGGGGGGTCCCCATTTTAATTCTACCCTTCACAAGAACCAAACAACCAATCCAAGCCACCACTTCAGGGCTGCCTGAGCTGCATATGTGAAAGAAACATCAACCCCTGGTCCACTTCACCTGGACCCTCATAACATCAAGTGTGGAAATCAATCCACTAATTCGGGGCACTATCCTATTCTTGTGGGTAGTTTGAGCGTGCAGGAAAAAACACCCTGAACAAACAGGTCACACAATTCTCCGTTAAATGTCCCCTTTCAACATCACCCAAGTGAAACTGAAACGCCCGGGGAGGACCAAAGAAACAACCATCCCGTGTGTGCAGAACAAGTTTGTTTCGGCCAAAGAAAGATGATTGGTTCAGTCCAGCTTCTGTCTGAAATCTGCTGGGTCGGCAACCCAAAAACAGTGCTTGGGTGCTGCTGGGCTTGATGTATCGCTGGACCCTCAGATCACCCCAGATGGGGAAACTACCCATAAAAAGGGTACATGGACCAATACACCTAAAAAAAGGAAATCACCCACCATAATTCTGGGTTGCCCTAAGGCCAGGTAGGTGTTTTGGGTCCAGGCACTTCCATGTTGCAAATTCTGGTCCAAGCCCCCTTCCTCGTCGCAAGAACGACGAGCTTTTGGGTCTGTCTTTGGAGTTGGTACTCCGTTCTTGGTCGTTTTGAGGGGAAACCAAAAGCCAGACTGCGCGGCGAATTGTGTCTGGGGGTCTTTTAAGAAGAAGAGAACAGACCGATATGCACCCCCAAGCTGTTGGTCAGTGAGCTGCCTGAAGCCAAGCTCAGGGTCCAAATTGGCCATGGGCTGCTAACACAGGGCCACGTTTCGCAGTATGGAAGCTGACAGAAGTTCAAGGATGCATTCAACCAGATTTGCTGCTTGCTTGCTTGCTTGCTTGCTAGCTGGCTGGCTGGCTGGCTAGCTGGCTGGCTGGCTTGCTGGCTGGCTGGCTGGCTTGCTTGCTTGTTTTATTTTTTGCCTGGACGCGAATACAATGTAACAAGTACTCATGCAGCAACATCATGGGGACCACGTGCTTGAACCTTTGGCGTCCTTTTCGCCCGCCCACGAGAGCCCGGATTCTCACATCTCAGCCAGGCCGATCTCGTCAGCCGCATCTCACATGTATCCTGTCAGCTCAAAAGGGCTTCATCCACGGGATTTAATCTGATCCAATCCGATCCATTCGATCAGTCGAGTCAGGGCTTCGCTGACCGGAGGTGAACTCCCAATGCCGGGAAACAGGATCCAAGTGAGGAGGCCATGGGTCCAAATCCCCACACCCCCAGTGAACATCCCAATGCATCCGCTAAAATAGGTTCTAACATGAGTGGCGAATTCACCAATCCCCCAAAATGGGATCCCATTGGTTTTGACCCACAGCCAGGTGAGGTCGCAATGGGTGAGTTAAGCCGCCGGCATGTCCCGCTGCTCCCGGTACAGCGAAGCCAAGTGCCTCGCGACTGGAAAGCTGTACTGGAAAGCTGTCGTCCATGGCGGTGTTCCTGCCCTTTCCAACATGGGTCTTCCGTTTTTCGAGGGTACCTTTGTTGGTGGTGAAGGGACACCACCAAGAAAACCACTTTTTGGTGGGTCCCCCAACAAAAGCTACACCCACATGGGAATTCTTAAAGCAAGCAAGACAGCTTGAGTTTTGCTTGGAAGGCTTCATTCCTTGCCCTCGGTAAGGCCGTTGATTTCCCCAAGCACAAACATTCAACCACCACGACCTGACTAAAAATGGTTGATTGCAATCCAAAGTTATGGTTGGTGAGTTCCCTTCTTCTTGTTCTTGGGGTCCAGGTACCCTTTTTTATGGGTAAGCTCCCCAAAGAAAAGCAGCAGCAGCTACCAGGCACTGAATTCTCTTCACATGCTCAGCTGTCGGAAAGGGTCGGAGGCATCAAGCTTCCCAACGCCGGCAATGCGAGACGTGCTTATGTATTTATGTACATGTGCGGCAGGGAACTATGGCTACATTGTGCGAGAAGATGCAACTGGTGTCACATTGCGTGGACAAAAACGTAGCCGCTGCGACCGCTTTTTGCAGCTAACCCTTGGTGGTTTGGATTGGCAGTTGCTGCTCCGAAAAATAAACTACATACCCGGGACTTGGGAGAGTGCCAACTACGTCGACACAATGTCCAAGGAAGAAACCACCCAAATGGGTCTATCTACCCTCAAAAGCAGTCAAAATTAGACCCCGGAATCGACAAATAATAATGCCCAAGATCAACTTCTCCAAGCACTTGGAAGTCTCACTCAGCTTCGACTTGTAGGCCCTGCACAGCAAAGTGTAGATGGGCAACACGACCAGCGGCGACATCTCCTGAACGCGATCGAGCATGGACCATGCAGGGACTAAACGTGGGCTATTGCCGCATAAATACGGAGCACACACTCATTCTTATGGGGTTTGAGGGTTCAGGTGTGTCGTTTTTGAGGGTTCCCAGTTTTGGGGTGGCTTTGAAGGGATACCAGAAGGAAAGCCGCCGTTTTCTTGGGCTCCAAGGAAAGACGCGCCACCCAAATGTCGTGCCTTTACGCCACCAAATCGCAGTGGACATGCCATGCAAAAACCACAAATGTCAGCTTCGCAACTGGTCCCCCATTCTGTTCACCCATCCTTCTGTTCGGAAAACTCATGTTTCCGTTGGGCTTCTGACATTTTTTTGGAAAAGCTGGATCCCTGAACGGAACGGGGAAGGTGCAGATAGAATATGACAATCTCATGTTTCTGATGGCAACCTGAGATCTATGCTGGTGTACTGTCAGCTGTCACAGTTCACCTGCGTCCCAAAGACTATTTCTTCGAGCTATTTGCGAACAAAGCAGAGATATGGCTGTGGCTCAAACACATGTACCAACATGGCAGCTTGGTAAATGGAGCCATGACTATCACCCGAGTAGCCATGGCTCTTTAATTTTGAGCCACACCCATATATCAACTCCTTTGCTGGTTGTTCACTTAGAGATTCCTTATGTGAAAAGCGGCAAACCTTGTTTTGTCAGAGGTGCCTTTGAGCGCAGACACTCAAAGCAGCCAATCCGCAACTACACGGACCCTCGAGGTACCCTTAACAAGGGGAATTACCAACAATATTCTTGGGGCACTAACCCTTTTTTACTGGTAGTTTGAGGGGTCAGGAAGCTGATCCATTGTCAGTTGAGAAAACTGTTATTATCCTAACCACCTGGGTCCGAGCCAACTGCTTGTTGGATACCGGAAGGGGATTTGGGACATGGTTGAAAAAGCTGTTGGGGGGTGCTAAACAGCCGGGCAAGCTACAGCCGCCTGCCTGATGTGTTGGCGGGAATCAAGTTTTTTCTGTCCCCTAGAAGGGCCGGGGGCGTGCTCCAAAAGGGTTGGACACGAAAAGCTGATGACGTTTTTCGGAACCTTGACTCAAATCGACCAAGGGGGAGCCAAAAAGTCAGATCCGGTCGAGTCGCTTTGATGTAGGGGGGGCAATCACCAAACTGGCCTCGGCCGCCATTTTCCTCAGGTACGAGCCAGAGGGTATATCTGTAAGCCATGGACCCAAGGAACCGCGATCCCGAACGAGGAACGAGGATCCGGGGCGGATGCGGGCACGCCTTGGTCTTGCCGCAAATCTCGCAGGCGTCCCTGCGCTGGTAGTTGTCCAGCTTTACCTGAATGGACTCCTTGACTGGGGAATACGGGAAACCACAAGGAACACATGTCCAGGGAATCCATTTTGTGTAAGACACGCTTCACATGTTGAATGCATCAGTGCCGTACTAAATTGGACAGCGAACTGATCCAGGAACTTGTCAGTTTGTGGGAGACTGCAACCTGAGAGCCCTTCTAAAGTGCTGAGTCTTGGCCGGCCGCTCACCTTTTTGGATCGTGGATGGGTCCTCGCGCTTTTGAGATCCGAAGAGGTGAGCTATGGGGAACTGTGGGTGAAGCCCCGGTTGAACCCGCGCAAGCGGGTCAGATTGAGTGTTGGAGCTTCCACGACCCTCTTTAATGATTCAAAAGGGGTCATGACCTTATGTTGACCCCGGTCTTTAATGGTCAGGCAGACTCCAGTTTAGGCCTTGGCCCATTGCCAAGATGCCATCGCCGAAACCTGCTGCAAGAAGAGCATGAACTGTGCGCGCTCGCGCCACATCCTGAGTGAATCCGTCACTCCATTCGATCGGAACGGCTTTTGACACTGTGCAGAGACACAAGAAAACAATCTTCACAGCACCTGTTGGGATGGGTGATGAACAATGGGGCACACCACCTATGAACCCTCGAACTGCCCGACAAAAGATAAATAGGTTATTGCCCCGAATTCATGGTTGGTGACTTCCCCCTTTTTATGGGTAACATGGAGGGTCCAGGCACCTATGAACTTGTCAACTGGTGTGACGATAGGATTTCTCCCTGCGGTGTGATGGCCAGGTGCACAGAAACCAGGCTGTGGCCTTCCATCCAGGAACCTGGACCCTGAAACTACCCAACAAGGGAAGTCACCAACCATACTGTGGATGGACGAAATCCTGCATCACTTTGAAACCATGGGAAACCCTTGGTTGTTGGCTTTTACAAAGGAATCATCATTCCAGGGATTCTTAGGTGGTGCAGAATTTCGGCCATCCACAGTAGTTTTGGGTTGCAAGAACCTTGTTTGCTTTGCTTTTTCGAGCAGTTACGAGGGTCCAAGTATCCTCAAAACAAAGACACCCCCACGTCTAGTGTCGTTGATAGTGCCCTATATATTTTTGAGGTAATAGCCAATTCTTAGTCGGGTAGTTGGAGGGTTCAGGTACCTAAATTGCATGCGAAATCCGGCATGGACATGTGGGGACATTTGGGTGAGGGCGCGGCATGATAGATGCCTAGATCCAGCGTGGCTGAAGAATCAACTGATGAGACGTGCAGCATTATGCAAATTAGGACACACGCACACACCAAACAAAAACACCCTGCATTACATTCAGCGTATATTTATGAGTCGAGGAAACAATTGGCGAGATCTTCACATCAAATCTTGAGTGGACTGGCCAAAAAAAGTCCAAGCATTCCAAGCTTTTCTTTGCCATGGTCTTCCCATGGCCCCTATCCCAAGCGCTTTTATCTCTGACCTGCCCCGATGACATCTTGACTCAAGTCCATGAGCTCAGGGAGTGAGCCAATGATCCCGAGCACATCGAAGCATGGGAACTTCTAGATTCTGAATTCAGCTTAGAATCAGAAACTTGCAATAGGCACATGGTGAAAAATAAGAGCCACTTTGTCCTAAGCTATTCGCATCCTAAAAATCAACTAGAGGCTTCTTGCGGACGCCCCCTTTTCCCTTTCCCGTGCCTATTAGGAAACAGAAGGGAATTCTCTCGTTTCGCTTGTTGGAGGCCACGAAGAAAGGTCGTTGAAGTGGTCTACCTGGATGTTCGATTCGCCAAGTTAGTGTCTGTGGGGATCGCCAATTGGGGTACTTCACCCCCTCGTAACAAGTTGTTAACCCCACTGAGCGGGGCACATAAAAGTGGGTTATGACCAAGGCTGCCGTTGCAACTTTCGAACTTGGCGAATCATCGGACAGTTCAGAAGCTTAGATTGAATCTAAGGGTTTTTGTATTACACCCTGGGAATACACCCACTGGGTATTGACCCCATTTAGGCACATTTCCGGATAAAACCGTGTAGTTTTGCACCATGCTGGGTCATTTCCCAAGGGTGTAATCCCAGGGTGTAATACAAAAACCCTCAGATTGAATCTTTTGTCTCGCCGTCACCAATAAGTCGGAGAGCTGCTTGGTTTCCGCCACCCCCGTGCCTCATCAGCTGCCGCAGCGCACTGTTCTCGTAGGTTTCCCGCTGGACCTGAGAAACCAACAGTTGCCTCGCCTGAGTCGCTTGCTCAAAACCCGGTACCAAAATGGTCGTACTCCCAGAACCATGCTTCAAGAACTAAGAAGGCGGCCATCCGCTATTTATGGCTGGGATCGTCCCTACCCTTCACTTACCCGGGTTTTGATTGTGGCTCACCTGCTGACCTGCGAGAGTCCCACCTCTGGGGGATTGGGAGAGGGATTCAAGTCAAGTCCCCAACTAGACAAACTCCTATGGCTCAAATAATTTTCAGGGAACCCCCAGGTTGGTGGACATGCTTCCACACCTCAATTTGATGTCAGGTACTTAGACCTGGGCAAAGCTTCCGTCCGTAAAGGACATGCGGCCCACAAGTTGGACAAAGAAATCTCAGCTACCGCCGAAAGGGGCATTGGTTTGTCTGGGAATCAGACCCTCTGGGGTTCTTCCGGTTTTCACTTTGCAACAACCTAGAAAGGCCAAGGGTTCGACGAAAGATGAGGTGTCTGTTTTAAGGGACCAACCAAAACGGCGTGGCCGTTTTCCTTTTGGCCGGTCTGCAACCAAAAGGGGGACGCTCCAAACACCGAGTGATGCCCTGTGCCCCCGTCGCTTGGAGGTGGTGGGCGTGGTGCTTGATCAACCTTCCCCCAAAAAACGAGTGCTATGCTTGACAAAATGGACTGCACCCCATAATTTTGGGTTGTAAACACGTTTTGTGTCGGGTAGTTGAAGGGTCCAGGTATCCTCAAAAACAACACACCCCCGACATCTACTGTCATATTGATGTTGTCACGCGGTGAAAGAGCTGTTTCAAGCTGCGAGCTGGCTCCTGGGTGTAAACAGAGTAAACTGCGTTCCCAGCCACCATGTGAATACTGAATGCAGTTCAACAATGCGCAGCATGGAAGGATGCGCGTTGATTTGATGATCGTCGATCAAGCTTCGCTGGCTCGAGATTTTCGCACGTGTGACACGCCGGGCAGCTGCGAGTTGATCCGTGAGCTTTTTGTTGGCGGTCACGGAAGCATCTTCAAAAGCTCGTCAGCGCCACATGCGGCATATGCCCAAAGGATGCCAGCCGTGTCCTTCAGCTCCTCTTTGACTTCAGCGCGACTCTCTTGTCACGGCGACAATCGCCCGGTTGTCCAACCAGCCACCTCACCCACCCCGAGACAAACACATGACCAACATAACCAACCACGCCCCCGCCCCAAATGAAAGAAACACAAACAACCAACAACAAACAAACAAAGACAAACAAACAACATCAAAACGTCCAACGGCAAGCCAAACGTGTGTCTTCCCCCAGAACGGCATCGCTTTCCCGGAACGAAGGCCCCTGTTTGGTTTTTAGATATGGTTGAAAGAAAGACAAGTTGCGACGCGGGTGCGGCATTTGATTTTGCTTTCCCTTTGCATTGTGCTATTCAGCATCCCCTTCTACAAATCTGGGGTGTGGCTTTAAGTTGTCGACCCCAAAAGTTCATTTGGACAAAACACATCAAACCAACCATCAAACCATTTGGGCCCTTCTTGCGCCCTACCAAGTTGATTTGGACACAACGCATCAACCCAAACCTCCCAAAAAAAGCCAAGCCAAACCACAAAAACTACCTTTGGCCCAAACCAAACATCTGCCAAACCCCTCCCCACCCCCTCCGCCGCGCACCTTTCGCCAGCCCCAGCCCCGCCGGCCGATGCCCCGCCTCTGAGGCAGCCCGCGCCAGGTCCATGGCCGGCGCCGCGCCGAACTGGAACATCTCCTCAACTTCCATTTGGGTTAAGACCTCTGGAAACAACAAAAAACAGTAGTGAAATCGATTCCCTGCAAAACCATCAGGGGGGAAAATAATCATACTAATAATAACCATGATAATAAACATTCTTAAGCAAATGGAAGTGATCCATCTCTCCGGGGTCCCAACCCAAAAAGGAAGGCGTGGGGGGTGTGAAGCGTCCTCGGGTCCTAATGGGGGGGGGGTCTAGAGTTCTCGGGTGCGAACTTGGGGGTCTAAAACAAAAACGCACATCTCCTTTTGGTGTTCCCCTTGAGGAAAACTAAACGCTATTCACAGCTAGTTGGTGGTTTGGAACTCGGTTTGATGACAACTTTTGGTTGAAAATGCCTTTCTTGGATTGGGCTCATGGGAAACTAGACAGAAATCACAAGTTTTCACCTCCCTTTCAGTGGTTTGGGTGGCTCGTCTTTTTCTGGGGGAACCCCTTCAAACCCAAAAGAGGCACCCCTGGCCTGGAAGGAAACCACCAAAGGTCCAAAAACGGGCCTTTCCTGCGGAAACCAACCACTAAACGGCCAGGCTGATCCTAGTAGTTCCACCACTCCACCTCATGATTTGTAAACCCCATTCCCCCTCTACAAAAGACAGGGGTTCAAATCCCAAGCTCCCACCAATCCAAACCACCAAGTAAGGATTACCTGATGCATCGGTTCGGATCGCCCCGAGTTCCATCTGCCGCATTGGGTCAGAAGGCGGCGGCCGTTTTGTTCGAGGCTGACGGCCTCGCGGTTTGTCTGTGCCGCTTTGGACGTCGCGGCTGATCTTCGTCACCTTCTGCTGGAGATATTCCGCTGCTGTTCCTAGGTCCTCCAGTAGAGAGGTTAGAATAAGGGTACCAACTTTTCTCCAGCCTATTTTGTAGGGGAACCCTCCCAACCAAAAAAGGGGTGAGAAAGGGCACTACTGAAGGACCTAGGTTCGATTTCGTCCCAGGCCGGATGCGCAGTTGATGGCCGCCACCAGCGCTGTCAACAAGGCTTTGGCGGCAGCCGCCGTGGCGTCATGTGCATCTGGGGAGCACAAATCAGAGTACCAGACAATATTGTTCCTTAGCGCATCCTCAAGCAAAATAATGCCATTTCGAATATCCGAAGCCACCACAACAAAACGAGAAAACCAAAGTTTCCTTGGGCCTGGCTTTTCTCCGGTACGGTGGATGATTGCAAGTAATCCAACCATACTCGACCGCAACCAAAATTCGAATTGTGGGAAATTCATGAAAGTTCCACGGTTAACTTGTTTCCTTCCTCGCACTCGGGCACAGGTCATAGGAATCGGACCCCCCCCCCAACCCAACTTGGCTTCAGTTTTTCCGGCCATCCGCCTGGCCCGATTTAGCAGGTGTATTGTCATCGTTTTTGTTCAGCTACCGAGTCCAAGAGAAACACCACCAATCTGGGGTTCGCCCTATTGTGTCACACGCACACATACAGCCATATATACACATATATGTATAGACACATCCCATCGCAATGTGAGTGCCTGAACCCTCAAGACAAACTACCCTTAATCCTTAAAAAACGAAATCACCAACCATAATCTTCGGGTTGCATAAGCTTATTTTACCCCTAAAAAGGGAAATCACCCACCATCATCTTGGGTTGCACAAACAGTTTGTTTTCTTTCCCAACTTTTGTTCCCCTTTTTGTCCGGGCTTTCTTTCGGGTCCAGGTGGACGTTCATGCTTTCCCGCCCCCGTTGGCCACACCTTCTCCACCGCATCGGTTCCCTCCGGCGCGTAGTCTTTCGGCGCCACCTGCGCTCGACAGCTCGAGCCGTCTGGTGCTCAAAACGGCTTGCCCTGGGAAACGGATGGCATAAAACCCCAGCTGAACCAGCGGAACCCATTTATTTGCTTCTCCAAACTGTGGCTGTTTGTGTCAAGAATTGCGGACGAATTCAGAATTCCCAGAGTTAGTTTGGACATAGTTTGGACAAGGAGATGATTGAGGATGCCACTGGTTTAGATTGGGTGTTATTTGATTTTCCAGCACCTCATTCGGTCCATAGCAACCACTACCTTCTTGGTTGCCCTGCCACGGGCATTTTGGTTGCATGGCTGAAAAAGCGCTAGGTTTGAGACCCACCTGTTTTCAACGCAACTCATGTGACTTGGTAAAATTGCTACAAGGTTATCCCTGTGCGCTTGAGATGCACAGTCGTTTCTCAGGCTCCATGTTGATTTGCAGGAGACTGACAGCACGTGTCGCAACTCACCCCATCCCGTGCAATGGTCTCACAAAAAGAGTGACGGACATCCATTTCATTTGCGCGCACTGAAGGACCCTGCCAACCTGAGACGGAATATCCCCTGATGAGTGTCCCATGTTCACTAAACATGATGTGTTCCTCTCATTTACATGCTGTATTGCTAAGTTGTTGCTTGCTCACGTTGCTTCTTCAACCGGCAAAGGTACTCCTGCATCATCGGAGTTCTGCTGCATAAGTTGCATTGTGCACCCGCTCTGCTGTAGCATATCTTGTCACTGAGCAATGCCGCTGGTCCACCCTAAAGCCACTCATCTCGTGGACGAAGACACATTAATATCAAACACCTCCATTTGCTTAAGTCCCCTGGGGAAAAAAACAACTGCAATCCAGTCCATCCTGCTGCGCGTCTAAAGTGTGAGCGCAACAGGCCTGCCGGGTTTGTGAATTTGAAAATTCCCGAACCCTCAAGCTATCCCTGGAAACCCGTGCCTGTATGGGCAGTTTGAGGGTGGTGGTTGATCAACGTGTGGGGGTCTCAACACGCCTGTTCTGGGTGGTTAGAAGAAAATCGAGGACACCACTTGCCTAAGAAACCCTCTCCAGGAAGCTCTCCAAGAAGCTAGAACCCCTGGTTTTTATGGGTATTTGGCCAATGTCCTGGAGATGATTTCCTGGAACCTACCTGGGGGTAGTTGAGTTCAGGTTTTCTGCTTCCAATTCCGACCCCCCACGCAGGCGAGATCGCTCCCGCCTCGCTGACGATGCCAGCGAGCCCGTCCAGCAGGTCTTGCCGGTGCCTGTGACCAACCAAACACCCGGGGGATGTTTTCCGAATAAGCTCAAGTGATATCCCCAACAGCATGCGGTGCTCGTTTTAGTGCTCGCACGACCCTGCAGCCCTCGCAGAACCTCGTGGAACCCTTGTGGAACCCTGGTGGAATCGTGGAACCTTACCTCAGGGCCGCCCCCCCCGACCCCGGAGCCTATCTGGGCTAAGACCCCAAAGCTTTCAGCTGTTGGGGAAAAATGCACGGAACCCGCGAAACAAACTCCTAGCGTGGTGGGCACAGAAAAAAAGAAGAAAGAACAAAACATTATCTGGTTCTGCTGCATGTCTGATACAACACTTTTGTTGTGGAGACCCCAGCTGAGACGAAACTCACTAAAAGAGAGAGAGAGAGAGAGAGAGAGAGAGAGAAAAAACCCTTTGTGGGAGGCACAACCAAATGCGCGAGGGGGAACTTGGGCTCATCGAACTCACCAAGAGATTAGGTGCTTGGTCAATTTAGCAGGTGCTTAGCTACCTGGGACATCTGCAACTGGCTTCACCGCACCTACAGGGCAAAATCATGGGTCGTGTCCTATGTCACTACCCCCTTTCCCTCCATTTGCTTACGTCCCCTGGACAAAACCAGCAACAGCAACACATTCCCAACACCTTCCCAGCGCATTCCCAGATGCCATCTTAACAGCAGCCAGGTTTGGACACAAGTCTTCGAAAGCAAATGATCTTCTCTTTCGGCCGAACACGCGTCGTTGTTCTTCCCCAGCGCCGGGACATGAACTCAGCGCCCCCGCTTCTCCAAAGTCTTCTTGTCCATCATCTCGGACACTGCCACCTTGCGGAAGGCTTCTCCCAGCATTTTTTGGCAGAAACGGAGGAGCAACAGGGTACCTTTGAGGATTCAAGGGACCACCAGGAGCTTGAGGGAATATGGTCCAAGGCAAAGGTTTGGGGGGAAGACTGCCCAACCAACTTCCGAAATCAAGCAGTCTGGCAGGCAAGCACCATCCGCCAAGGTCTCGCCAACAAAACAAAAGCCACATTGAACGTCCCCAGGTTCATATTACGACGGCTGTCGAAACAGCCGGTGGCTTTTGCTTGGGTGCTGGACACCCGGAAGGTCCGCATCAGGCGTCAGGCCTGCAGCCAGAGCTGGTTCTCCGCCAGGAAGGCCACCCGATACCTGGCGAGAGCTCCAGGTCAGACGTTCGGACGTGACGTCAACCAGGGGGAGGTCTTTCTTTGAGGCTATGACCCTCTTTAGTTTGAGGTGTAGCTACCCTGGTTTGGGTTTGGTTTTAAAGGGAAACTAAGAAGAGAATTCATGGTTCGCCATTTCGGGGGCTCCAAATCACCAAAAAAAAACATACGCCCACCTTGGTTTTGCAGTTGAAGCAGGGATGACACTTGGGACCGCATAAAACCCAACTGCTTGTTCAACCAGCTGCCGGCGCGGGTATTGTCCACAGTAGCCTAAGCCTACTGGCGCCATAAGAAAGCGAGTTTGTAGGGCAACCCGTGGAGAGAACGTAGACGACTCGGCAAGTTTGGCAACTCATGGTAGAAGCTGGCAAAATGCCAAGGTTCAGTCTTAGCCTTCATCACCCCCAATTCGTTGACCTAGCAAGGAAAAGCAGAACACTATACCGACCGGAATTAGTGCTTGGTCTTGCGCGCACTGCGTAAACGACCAGAAATCAGAAGCGCCAATGACAAGCTGCTGAAGTGCCACTGGATTGCCACAGTCAGTCGAGGCATGGCTCTTGTCAATAAGATCAACCTGGGCTGTCCTCAGATTCCTGCGACAGGTTTAACGTTTTGTGGGTTTAGCGGAAACTATTACCAAACCCTAAGAAGCAAACAATCTAAAGAACTGGAGTTCCCACTACGAAGCAAAGACACATCTTGAAAGCATTCTGCTCCCGGCCGAGGCTGGAAGAATCTGTGTCACACGTCAACTGGAATCCCGGCCTGTTGATTCAATCATTTATCTGGTGCTTTCGTCTTACAGCTGCCAACTGGACCACAGGGTGATAATGGGGGCTGGAGCAGGTCAAGTCCTGCTTCTTCAAAATCAATCAGGAGGACCAGCAGATTTAGTCCAAACGACTCAATCAACAGAAGGACCTGGTTTCCTATCCCAGCTTGCACCTACAAGATCTTGAGCTTCTTCGACTTAGGACCATGGCAAACTGCCTAGCTCTACTGAATCCAAACACGGAGGGAAACCCAGGCAACGAGCTCCACTTGTGGCCCTTCCCCGGTTTCAAGGCGCCTTGGAGGCTTGAAGCCGCCGAAGGAGCAGCAATTGCGGAGCAACGCACACTTCCAGGGGGGAAGATCAGAGTCCCGCTTTCCAGTTGAGAAAAGTCTATAGAGGTCTAAGGAGTTAAAGTGTGCAGTTGAGATAATATATATGTATCATCAAACATTGTATACTCTGAACTCTGGTTATGCTGTTGACCTGCGTAGATTGAAATTATTCCAGTCACCAGACCTGGGTGTCCCACATATCTTCTCGCTAAGTTTCCCATGGAGCCAATTGACCACGACATATTTTCGAACGGTTCCCATCGCCTCTCCATTCCGTTCTTGTCGTAGTGGGCAGGCCTCACGTCGTGACTGACATGCCTCGACCTTCCATTGGGGTAAAGGTCATTTAATCCACCAAACGCGGTTTTAGGATACTCGTTACCAGGAGGCTGTGGGTCAAACATAGGTACCCCAAAATGGAACCCTGGTAAATGGAAAGAAGGACTAAAACCTGCGGTCCCCTGGCCTGGCCCCTGGGTTGTATTTTGACCCATACCCAGGTGATAACACGGGATGCTACAAAGCCAGTGACGTCCTTCGGTGCCTGCCTCTAATAGGATCCCATACGGTTGCCGTGCACAGGTCACCCCACTTAATGGAAGCTTTCCTGGGAGCAGTCCCCAGCCAAACAAAACGAACTAGGGACAGCGTTTTCGCATGCGACTCATTCACTTGCCGCGTGACTTTTCTTAAACACCCCGCGGGAAGCAGGGAACTACATAGGGACAGCTGAAGCATGCATCCATTGCAATTGCTTTGTGGGACTTGCCGCCTGACTTTTATTAAACATCTCACTCAACCTAAACTAGCCAATCACAGGTGAAAAAAACAATATAGGGCAGACGTGCACAATGCTAGATGACAAACAACCCCATAGATCAATCATGAGAACAGGTTCGTGAAACAAACATCTGTGGCTAGATGTCAGAGTCGTGATTAACCTTGTTTGGCTGTGGGTCAAAACCCCGTACCCCCAGTGAACATCCCAATCCCAACTACAATAGACTAAAATGGGTGGTGCACCTACCACAAAATGAGATCCCGTTGGTTTTGACCCACAGCCATATGGGTGGAATGCCCAAGACACGTCTGAATAGTTGTTCCAACCAATTGATCATCCGGCCCAAGTCCGCTTTACAGTACAACACTTCCCAAAGGGTTTGAGGCTGCAACACACCGGAAATCCGGCTATACGTCCCATTGGTTTCCCTTGAAGCCAACCTCAACCCTCAAGCTACCCATAAAAAATTGCTTATCCCAACATTTATGGGACGATTTCCCCTTTGAAAGGGTAGCTTGAGAATTCCGGAATCTACAAACGGCACCCTCGAAACAAAACAACCCCATAGCTGAGCATCCTAAGGGTGCACCAAAGGAGATTCTCCTGGGGTTGCAGACCCATTTCGCGTAAAATGCCCAAGGGAACAAACAACTCGTGGTTTAAACATGTTTAAACACGGGGTCTGTTGGTTTGTTGCTTTTTGCTGTTGTTTGGCGGTTGGCCTGCTATCCTGTTTAAGAGAGAGCATGGGCTCTGGGTGGCTTGGCACAAAAGCCCTGCCCACACTTGGTCTCCCCAAAGTGGCTGGTGGGCGGATTGTATGTCCTGCGAACCCTACGAAAAAACACCTTCAACATGAGAGGCGTATCACCAATCGCCTTTTGGATTCCTTGTGACTGAAACACAGGCCCGATGAAACACAGCATCCCTGTGTGAGGCTGCGCTCAGAGAGTACGAACAAAAATGCGATCGGTGATCTTACGCCCACGCCAGCTTGCATTTCCAGAAAGGTGGTCCGGATCCATGCGATTTCTGCACGCCGGGTGCTGACCTGCGGTCTGAAGGCGGCAACCTGGATCGCTGCAGCTGGTCCATTGACCGGTCGAGGTGGAGTGTTGCGGCCCCCCCACCGGCCGAGGTACCCGAATCCAAAAATTGATTTGACCGTACCCCAGGAACAGTCAATATCTTGGCTGCTCACCCCTCTGCAAAAAGTCTAACTTGTTCGGGGTGCAATCGAAAATCCGACCTGTTTCAACCCAAAAACTTGAATCAAGTCCAAAGATCCGTTACCAATAAGCCATCAGGTCAGAGGCTCTTATGGGACATCAACCCATGTTTCTGACTTTACCCCCCGGAACCAGCTCCCAAATCTTGGTTGCTGCTGACGCCTCTGCAAATCCCACCATTTACCTGAATGGTATTTAATGATGGGTGAAACATGGTATTCAAATAGCTTTACTTTCACTCAAATATTCGATGAAATCCCACCTTTCACCTCAATCCTTGGTGAAAGTCCAAAGATCAGCTGACCAAAACAGCTCCGATCGGCTTTCGGATCCGTGGCCCCGAGCTCCGGCCAGCCGTCGTGCACGGACCCCGCCGGCGGCCGGGGCGGCTTCTCGTCCACCTGACGGGCCCGGACCCTGCAGTGTTCCCTCTCAAAAGAAGAGGGGGAAGGCGCCGACCGTGATTTTGGGGCGCAAGAACCAATCTTGCTATGGAGTAGTGTGAGGGTTCAGGTGGTGGAAAAATAGCAGAACAAGTTGGGGTGCTGGGAGAAACCGAATGCTTATGAGCAGGGGCGCATCTTGCTTTTGCATCGATTCCCGAAACTGAAGGCCAGTTTGCTTCCCGCAGCTGGGTCCAAGCATGTGTTTTCCTTTGAGCTATGGCCTAAAACTCGGGCTAGTTGACCGGCCCGAAAAGAGCTTGCTGTATCTTGCTGTTTCTCTTTTCCTGGACCCTCAAGCTGCCCTTAAAAAGGGGAACTCACCCCACAGTTTCGGGGCCATGACGCATTTCCATGGGTAGTTCGAGCCTCTAGGGTTCGGGAGCTTCCAATATCAAACAAGGTTCTTTGCAGACAGGGGGGTATGGACAATGGGCCAATATGTACCGTCGGCCCCAATATTGGCTTCCACAAAGGTAAATGAGAGGAATGATGTGGTTTGCCTCCTTAAACAAAGAAGCCAACCAACCCACGAACCAACCAACCAAACAAAAAAGCGCAAATCAACCAATAAACAAACCCAATAGAACACACACAAACAAGCAAGCAAGCAAGCAAGCAAGCAAGCAAGCAAGCAAGCAAGCAAGCAAGCAAGCAAGCAAGCAAGCAAGCAAGCAAGCAAGCAAGCAAGCAAGCAAGCAAGCAAGCAAGCAAGCAAGCAAGCAAGCAAGCAAGCACGCAAACAAACCAAACCAAACGGCCAAGGAAGCATGCAAGCAAGCACGCAAGCAAGCAAACAAGCAACAGGCAAGCAAGCACCAGAACGTTGTGCAAGTGCCTGCCTGATTCGCCTGCAGTGCACATCAGACCAATATATGTCTTGCTGAATGTGGTTCATAATATAATAGTTATAAGCCAATAATCCCGGCATTCTCGCTCGCCGAATGTTGCAGCAAGTTGCCTTCCATGTTGGAAGAACTGCGCGATTCCCAAGCAGTCGGCTGGCGCCAACCACCGACCGGTACCCATGACTCGGAAGATCTACCAAGCATGCCTAAGCCCTCATTGTCAAAGGAATCTCCTGGAGACTTCCAAGAACTGGTCAAAAAGTGGTTTCCCTTCCTTCAAACTCTCACTTCCCGAGTGAATGGCCCAAGAAAAGTAACCAAATGTTTTGTATGCCACTCAGAGGGTTCAAACCCAAGAAGTGACTAAGTTCCCACAAACTCCGGAAGTAAGAACTGCTTTCTAAGGGACTCCCACCTAACCATCGCGACCCACGAGGTGACGTTCGGCCGCCAAATTCTGGGCCGCGGGCAGTGGCACCGGACATGGCCTGCATCTTCTTCGCCAGCATCTGAGCGCCAAGTCGCCAAGTCTCAGGGTCTTTGGGCCCGTGTGCGTGTGCGTGCGTGTGCGTGTGCCTGTGTGTGCGTGTGTGTATATACTTTTGTAGGGAATCCTATGGTTGGTGGATTTCCTTTTGGAGTCTTAGGATCTGTGTGTGTGTGTGTGTGTTCCAAGATGGGCTCACCAAACTGAAGCTAGTTCCAGGGGGTTTGAATAATGAAATATACAGCCGCCTTTTCAATTGTTGGGGGTACCGGAAACCATCTTAGATGTGCCTGCTTTCTGCTTTGGTTTGTAGGGGACCCCTTTGTTGGTGGCCTTCCTTTTGGGCTTCGAGGGAAAAAGGGTACCCTCAAAAAAGGGGCACACCCTGGGTTTCAAACATCACCTTTCTGGCAGATAGGTGAGGGGCCCTTTGCAGGGCTGATGATATTTCACGGGAACTATGTAGGGAACCCTGATTGTGCAAAGACAACTGGAATACGTTGAACAGCTACAACAGAAACCAACAGTTGCGTCAAGCTGGAAAACAAAATTAGCAGACGTACATCGAGACAACTAGCACAGAGACAACAAAGGAAAAGTGGATGTTGTGTCCAATGGGCGAATGGAACATATCGAACAGCTAACACAGCCAACTTCACTACCATAAATAAAATATAGCATCATGGCTTCAGCCGCCCCCCGCCCCCGCCCGCCCTTGACGAAAACTTAAACTTGAAGCTGGAAGAACAACCACAGCAAATGGGTGTCTTTTTGGAGGGTTCAGGGTTCTTACGAGAAACCAAAGGGAAACCTACCATTTTCGGGGGGTCTATATGACCTTAAACCTTAAACAAAACCACACCATCTTTAGCGTTGTTGTACCCATAGAGGTGCCAAGGGCGCAACCAAGGCTGGGGAAATACCACAAGCGTATGCATCATTTCGCCAAACACTTTTGGGTATGTGCACTGTACAAGTAATTAACTGGACCTCCAAAATGCTGGGTTGTTCTTTTCAGTTTTCCTTTCCAACCTCAACAGGGTGCCGTCACAGAGATTGGTCTATGGGAAGTTGGGTTTTTGCTACACAAATCCTTGAGGAACGCGAAGATGATCACATCTGTAACGTGCAAACTGGTGACTTGATTCGGCTCAAATCCCCGAACGCCAATATGAACAAAGGCTCTTTGATTCCTATGGGGTTACAAACAGAACTATGCAACGGCTAGGATGCGGCACATGGGTTCCGGTCGGTTCCAACCCGCTTGCCGGACTTTCTGCAAAGGATCCCGCTACAGGTTGCAATCCAAATACCCTGGTCACCAACATGGAACCCACCGGAGGGTCCCTGTTAAAGGAAATCCCTCAGTCAGGTTGCATGTTAGCGGACGGGATGGCAAATCTGAACACAAGGACAAAGGGTTGACACAAAGCAATCATATTTCACCGTGAATGTGAATTGCGGGCGCAAAAACAGTCAGGCTAGGGCGGTTGTGCGAGATTCAATGGGAGAACGCCCTCAACAATAGTGTGAAATGGGGCACGGGGGGCGTCAAAAAACGGGGATACCATCAAAACTGGCCAGGCATTTGCTGTAAGTCCTTGCTGAACGCTCCCTCGCCTGCTGGTAGCCGCCCTCGGCCCAAGTCTTGTACCGCACCACCTGCAATGTTCTCCACGAAAAGTGGAAATCAAACCAACAACATCTAGCACCCCTCAGCTTCCTGGCGGTTTCTACCAAACGATCGCCACTTATTCCAGGGCGGGAAATGGCTCGGAAACCCTGTTGGTATCCAGCCCTGAGATTTGAAGCTTGCCTCACGCATGGCGCTCGTTTGTCTCTGTGGCCCAAGCCTTCCTCCTTTAGCCCATGCCGTTCCAAACTCCCATCGCGTGGTTCAAGCGAAAAGGCCAACTTGCGGATTGGACGTATTCTGGTTGCAAACTACTACAAACTTGATTTCCACATAGTAAGGAGTCCCAAAGAGCCACGGTTGCTGTAATATGCAACCATATTGTTGCATGGGACAGGGCAAAGGACTGCATAACCACAGGATTTCGATGCTGCTAATCCTTGTGGACTTTGACACACTTGTTGGGAAAATAACCTCTTCCAAGGTCCCCCGTGCTTGGGTGTGTCCGTCAGAGAGGGGACACACACACACAGTTGTTAACTCGCTAACATATTAAACTCCTCACAGTTGGGCCCTCACAGCACCAGGAGAAAGGTTTGCCCTCTTGAGTCGCTGCAACTAATGTCCCTTAGTAGTCCTTGTGAAGCATTGTGAGCAATTCGAAAATCATGCATACGCACCCTTTAAGAAACGGGTAAACATGAGTGGTGCACCGAACAACAATTGCAGGTTTGTGTGGTTTGTGCTGGTCACCAAGTAAAGGCCTGTCAATTTGATTGAACGCATTTAGCGAGTCGGCAGAGGGAAGCTGATGCAACACGGCAGGCGAATCAATCAGCTTCACTGAATCACGACAGAAGGCAGCTCTTCCTTGGGACTGTGTCGCCATTGTCCTTTAATTTCAGTTGAAACTACTTTGCCCGCCGTTCAACTGGTTGATCGGCGCTCGTTCCCTGCATTCCAAAAGAACATCAGAAGCCAGAAACAAAGAAACAACTATAAATGAGCTGTTTTCGTCTCAATGCTACATCACAGTACGAATTCAGTCGGGCGGCCCTGTGCACGGGTCAAAACTGGAATCCTTATTATGGTTGCCTATTTTTTTCAGTCGGATGACCAGAATAAAGAGGCCTTTTGACCCTGGCATCTATGTTACTGCGCCATATGGTACCTCATAAAGCAGAAACTCATCGTCCAGGTGCCCTCCCGCCGGTGCTATGAGAGGGCGCTCCAAAAGTGGATTACCCCTAGGCCCAAGCAATCATATGTTGGATCCATATGCAATTGCACCACTTTAGGGTGCGAGGGGTGTGTGTGTGTGTTTATGAGGAAGCGCAGCCCGAATCTTGTGTTTGGAGGATAACCCAACCGACCAACCAATACACAAGCCATCCGAAAAACAAAAAGGCAACCAACCAATCAGTCACCAACCAACCAATCAGTCACCAACCAACCAATCAGTCACCAACCAACCAGCCAGCCAACCAGCCAACCAACCAGCCAGCCAGCCAACCAACCAACCAACCAACCAACACCATGCCCTTGAGATGTCTCCTTTCCTGAGGAGAGCACCCAGATCTTTAGGTAGCCCGCCGAGACCCCAGTCATTGCGCTGGTGCCTGGCAACATGCCACATGGAATCCAGCAGGATCGCTTGGTTGCTGGACTTGGCTGGGTTGGGTTCAGTTTGAGTTGGGGGCAGTTGGGTTGGGGTTGGCCTGGGTTGGGATGGGTGTTGAGTTGAGTTTCACGATAGCAAACATAAGTTGCCTGGCAATGAAGACCGAAGCCGCTACCTGAACCCTCAAAGCACTCTGAAAGGGAAATCACACCCATAATTTTGTAGCCATGACTCACTTTGATCGGTAGTTTGAGGGTTCCAGGTAGCTGAAACCACCACTCAAGCCTAAGGAGCTAAACACTTGCTAGATGTTTCAACCGCTCTGAACCAACCACCTTGAGACTCCCGAAACTGTTAGGAAAGCCGTCTGATTCCGATAGCATGTCCTAGCTATGCTGCATCGACATCCATTCTGAGACATCTAAGGGAGCACCTCTACCCTGGAAAACTTCAAAGACGTCCGGACGCATGCACTAGCCCTCTCACAAGCTGGCTGCAATTTGCAACACATAAAAATGAGTAACACAGAACAAGTAAGTAAGACATACTACCATTAGTACTACTACTACTACTACTACTACTACTACTACTGCTACTACTACTACTACTACTACTACTACTCCTGCTGCTGCTGGTGCTGCTGCTGCTGCTGCTGCTGCTGCTATTGCTACTGCTATTGCTGCTGCTACAGCTACTGCTACACTGCTAATGCTATTAGTACTACTACTAAAACAGATAATGCTATAAAACAATAATAAAGCTAAACATATCAAATATGAAAACAACAAACACAACTTCACATAATGAACATGATCACAACAATAATAATAAACACATAATGATCGTGATAATTCTGAACCAATATGACCAACAGACAGCTAAACCAATAGACGGATAGATATATAGATAGATAGATCGATAGATAGACAAATAGATAGATATATAGATAGATGCATAGATAGATGCATGGATAGATAGATTAGATTACGTTAGATTAGATAAGACTAGATTAGACTAGATAGATAGATGGAGAGATTAGATAGATAGCAAGATAGATAGGTGGATCGATAGTTTAATGGATGGATAGCTAGAGAGGTAGAGAGATAGAGAGATAGGCAGATAGATAGATAGATAGATCGATCGATAGATAGCTAGATAGCTAGATAGCTAGATAGCTAGATAGCTAGATAGCTAGATAGCTAGATAGCTAGATAGATAGATAGATAGATAGATAGATAGATAGATTAAATAGATAGATTTAGAGATAGAGATATAGAGAGATAGATAGACTGATAGACAGATTAGAGTAGATTAGATTAGGTAATATAGTGTAAGATAAGATAAGATCATATATCTGGAGAGATATATTGACATGTTGATAAGTAAATACACACATAAGTAAATGGAATAGTGGAATTAAATAAGTAAAGAACAAGCACACTAATGATCATGGTTAATAACTGAGAATGCATATTGTGGTTAAAAAAGATCCGTACTACCTCGCGGGGCCAAACACATTCATACTGACAAGTTGTACATGTCACACATATGCATTGCTTAGGTTCTTGTTCTTTTGACACTGCGGTTGAACGGCTCCAATGTGGCACAACAATGCTGCATTTGACCGTGAAGAGCAACGGATCGCTACAAGAGGGATGCCCCCATACATCCACCCTTGACCGCGACTCATCAAGGTGGAAGCCTAGAGGGCACAAACCCAACTTGTTGGAATGATAATGCCTAAGCACTTTTTTCTTTGCGCCACTCTCAAAAAGAAGCCGTGCTTACCGCTCGCTTACTCCAGGGTGGGACCAAGCCGTTTGTTACAACCTTTTGACCACGATCGTATAAACACTCTCCTTTGTGCTGGAAGTCTTGCAACAACTTAAGGAGACATGAACCCAAGAGTTTGGACATATGGAAAGTGGCTTCCCTCCAAGAGGAACCAGGATATGGTCGCTTTTTTTCCGTTTTTTTTTTTTGTTCTGGGACCCCTCCAAAATGGTGGTTTTTCTTGTGGCTTTCCAATAAGATCCCCCAAGGGTGCCCTCAAAAAAGACAGCCCCATGTTGGCGTTATCATTTTATTTTTGCCCCCGCAGCCCCCGCACCTTTGCAAAGGCAAATGGCGTAGAACAGCACCGCAGGTGTCGCAGGATCCTCAAAGATGTTCCACCTCCGCAAATGGCGCGACGATGCAAGACACCGTCCGCAGGAATACCTAGCCATGTGGGAACAAATTAGTTCTCGAAGTGGGATATGGGTGGCTTGGCTTTTGTTGGGGGAATGCCCAACTGCCAAAACCTAAAAATCAATTGGAGCACCTAGCCAGGTGAGAGCAGATGAATTCTCAAATGGGATATGGGCGGCTCGGCTTTTTTGGAGGCGAAAGGTAGCCCTTGATTTTCTGGTTTGCAAGAAAGGGGAACATTTTTTCTTGAGTGGGGGGGGGCAAACAAGACACACTCATATGGAGCTTCGGGTGGTTTTCCTTTGGTTCCCCCTCAAAAGCACCCCAAAATGGATACCTTCAACATGAACCATGGTGATCCTTGTTATGAACAGCCCGGCAGCAAAGAATAACACTGATGAGAAAAGGGACCCGCTGGAGGTCAGGGTTTCGCGCATCTTGTGACCTTTTGGCAGCTGCACCTCGAATCACTTTACAGATGACATCCATTGCTTCCCAGCCACCTTAACGCGGTGGAGCATCCCTTGCAACTGGACAAACCAAATGCGATGAAGCCCGCTCTCAGCCGGACAGCTTCTTTCAGTGGCTCACACTTGTCGTGAGCAGCAAACAAGCCAGACAAATGAGTAGAGTCAGCCTATTCACTTGGCGGGCTGTTTCAAGTACCGCTGCAAATTGGCCACAACAGCAGAACAGTCATCAGAAGAAGACAGTCGCTGCAACGCCCTTGTAATGGTGCCGACCTCCTGCGCAGTCATGTCAGAGCTCACTTCCTTGGTGCGAACTGCCAAGGTGGGGAGAACAGCCAGCAGGGACTCATCTCCAGACTCTGAAAGCTTGGCAGTGGCCCAAATCACGTTGGCAATTGCTTGCGCAGTCATGTCAGAGCTCACTTCCGGGATGCGAACTGCCAAGGTGGGGAGAACAGCCAGCAGGGACTCATCTACAGACTCTGAAAGCTTGGCAGTGGCCCAAATCACGTTGGCAACGTGCTGCGATGTCATGTCAGAGCTCACTTCCTTGGTGCGAACTGCCAAGGTGGGGAGAACAGCCAGCAGGGACTCATCTCCAGACTCTGAAAGCTTGGCAGTGGCCCAAATCACGTTGGCAACGTGCTGCGCAGTCATGTCAGAGCTCACTTCCGGAATGCGAACTGCCAAGGTGGGGAGAACAGCCAGCAGGGACTCATCTCCAGACTCTGAAAGTTTGGCAGTGGCCCAAATCACGTTGGCAACGTGCTGCGCAGTCATGTCAGAGCTCACTTCCTTGGTGCGAACTGCCAAGGTGGGAAGAACAGCCAGCAGGGACTTATCTCCAGACAATGAAAGCTTGGCAGTGGCCCAAATCACATTGGCGACCTCCTGCTCTTTCATGTCAAAGCTCACTTCCTTGGTGCGAACTGCCAAGGTGGCGAGAACAGTTAGCAGGGACTCATCTCCAGACTCTGAAAGCTTGGCAGTGGCCCAAATCACGTTGGCAATTGCTTGCGCAGTCATGTCAGAGCTCACTTCCGGGATGTGAACTGCCAAGGTGGGGAGAACAGCCAGCAGGGACTCATCTCCAGACTCTGAAAGCTTGGCAGTGGCCCAAATCACGTTGGCAACGTGCTGCGCATTCATGTCAGAGCTCACTTCCTTGGTGCGAACTGCCAAGGTGGGGAGAACAGCCAGCAGGGACTCATCTCCAGACAATGAAAGCTTGGCAGTGGCCCAAATCACATTGGCGACCTCCTGCTCTTTCATGTCAAAGCTCACTTCCTTGGTGCGAACTGCCAAGGTGGCCAGAACAGCCAGCAGGGACTCATCTTCAGACTCTGAAAGCTTGGCAGTGGCCCAAATCACGTTGGCAATTGCTTGCGCAGTCATGTCAGAGCTCACTTCCGGGATGCGAACTGCCAAGGTGGGGAGAACAGCCAGCAGGGACTCATCTCCAGACTCTGAAAGCTTGGCAGTGGCCCAAATCACGTTTGCAATTGCTTGCTCGTTCATGTCAAAGCTCACTTCCTTGGTGCGAACTGCCAAGGTGGGGAGAACAGCCAGCAGGGACTCATCTCCAGACTCTGAAAGCTTGGCAGCGGCCCAAATCACGTTGCTTGTGCCTTGTTCATCCATGTGTGTGGCTGCTTGCTTGGCTGCCTGCGCCAGGCTGTTCTTCAGACTTTCCAAGCCTGAATGCATGCTCGTATCAAGTTTCGCCACATCCCTGATAATGCTGGATGTAGCTCGAGCATTTCTTCTAGCCTCCGCTCCTGCCCTTTTCGCACTATCTCCAGTCAGCCGGATAAACTCGTCAAGAAACGGGTCCTTCAACGTGTCGGCGAAACTTCTACTGAACTGCATCTTCGCCAGCTGGAACCAGGCAGCCGACAAGGCGATGAAGTCCAACTTGGGGTTGTTCCGCTCTTGCTTCACCACTCCCAGGACCTCGGAGGCCGAGGGCGCCTGCATGATCTTCTTGGTGATCACCTGGCAGGAGGAAACCCTTCTTCTCGCGGATCAGAGTGACATTTGTCCAACTTGCGGTGGAAGGAAATGCTGAGAATGGGAGAATCATGCGCCTTGGGGGGGGCACCAAACATGGTTTTGCAACTTGCGCTACATAGACTTGTGTAAACAAAATGCACCTTGCCTTGGGATGCGTGTGCCCATCAAAGCTCCCCTGCCCTTGTCGCGGTCGCCCAGTTGGGCGGCGCCGCTCCCGCACGCGCCGCACGACGCACTCGCGCCGTGGATTTCGCGCCGCACCGTGCCCGACAAAGGCGGGGCGCCAGCACAGGACCCACAGTAGCACAACGATGAGGCGCGGCAGCCAGGCCATGGCAAACGAACAAGCGCCGGCCGGATGAAGAATCTCTATGTAAATATAATCACTTGGCCTGATTTTCGACCAACAGAAAGAACACAACAAAAGGGCAAGAGTAAACATGTGAGTTCAGTCCTGATGGTAAGTAGGACATCCACCAGCAAACAAATATCAAAATGGTGTGATGTTGAGGTCCTTGCTGCTATGACACTCTGGCCTGGAGGCGTCAAATCAACTCTGCACTTAGCACATCCCAAACTTGGCCCGGAAATAGGCAGCAACCTCATATTCTCAGATTCTGCTTCGCTTGTCTAGCCACGCCCCAACAAAACCACCAGATATCCCCGTAGAGTAACCAAAGGGAAAACCGGAACCCCCTCTTTACCGCATCGGCGGTCACTGGATTTCCCCAAATCAAAAGTTGATCAATGTACTGGTGGTTTCCGCTAAAACGATCGCCACTTGAGGTTCCCTTCAAAGGGAAATGGCTGGGAAACCCTGATGGAAACCGGGCTCAGTGGATTTATGGGAGCCTGAGGTAGAAACCCATGTCGATGCCTACCAAACAAAAAACCCTCAGCAAGGCAAATGGCAGGGATGTCCCCAAATCAAAAGTCGATGAATTTACTGGTGGTTTACTTTAAAAGGCAATGGGCTCCGGACCTGTTACAGTGCTGAAAAACAAGCAAATCTTCGACGTACCGGTCAGGCTTCGACTTGACAAATCATGCGTACAGGAAATACAGTCGGCCCACACGATCTTTTATCGATGTCGCAGCACAGCAGCAATCTGCTTGCCTCATCCAGGTGGTAAAAAGTCTGCAAGAAACAACAACATCCATCCCTTTGTCATTTCTTGGGGTAATAAACCAATTGGGCAGTTTGAGGATCCAGGCAGATAGAATTTACAGAAAGAGCACACACAACTAGGTGCTCCAGATGTGAGAGGTTCGAATAAGGGTACCAACTTTTTTCGGTGTTGTCTATTTTACTAGGGGAGCCCTCCCTGCCAAACAAGGGGCAAGAGGGTAAAAGGGGCAAAACACGGTGCAGCTTCGGTTTGGGACTTCTCGGGCTCCAGGCCCGGCTTCGAAGGTGATCTGCATGCCGAAGATCAAGGACATGACCCCCACGGTCTGCAGCAAGTTCACAAAGTAGAACCTGCAGGTGAACTGGTTTGGTGAGATGGAAGGCTTTGGGTTTCGTTTTGTTGGCTCCAAGTGGATTGGGCTGATGGAAGGCTTTGGGGGTTTGGGCTTGGAGGGTTGTGGTTGGGGGGGCGGCGGGGCGAGCTTTTGGTTTGTTTCAGCGACCCTGGAGTTCAGGCGGGTTGTCACGCGGGCTAGGGTGGGACAAGGGTCAGGATGCTCCAAGGCAATCTGCTTTTGCTACTTGCTTGGCTTTTCTCCCTGGATGGAGCTATACGCATCGGTTTCGTTCAAAAGGGGATTCTCCTTTTCTGATGGTGTGTTTAGCATTCATAAGTGTCTGACTAGCAAGGGAACAGTCATACTGTCCAGCCTCAGTGCGAAGCAATCCAGCAAGCAAGCAAACAAGCAAACAAACAAACAAACATGCAAGCAAGCAAGCAAGCAAGCAAGCAAGCAAGCAAGCAAGCAAGCAAGCAAGCAAGCAAGCAAGCAAGCAAGCAAGCAAGCAAGCAAGCAAGCAAGCAAGCAAGCAAGCAAGCAAGCAAGCAAGCAAGCAAGCAAGCAACAAGGACAACAAGGACAACAAGGACAACAAGGGCAACAATATATCCAAAAACACAGCTCCCTCCGATTGTGAGTTGTGATCGCCAGCCCTGGTCACTTTGAGTGACCCTAGGTCATCCCGAGGTCCTGACTGATCAGAGAAGCACAGCTGGTCAATGGAACGCCTCAGCTTTCGCTTGGTGCGAGCAGAAACCCCAAGCGACTGCCAACAAATGTGTGTCCAAATAGGGGACTCACACATTGCTTTCCCCTTAAACTCACCCCAACAAGGGTGCCCTCAAAAAAAAAACACAACAAATGGGTGTGTCCGTTTTGAGTGCACGTCATGTTTGGTGGTTTTACAGCGAAGGCAAAAGGGGAACCAACGCCATTTCTTGTGGGGCGGGGGTGGGCCAAATCCTAAACAAAACACCCCCAAAATGCCTTTGACAAAACCACAGTCGACCCTGGAAACCAAAGCGCCGCCCATAATACCACCAAACGCATTTTTGGCTTGGTCCATTTGTGAGTGACATCCTCAAACTTTCCTGGCAAGTCTGTGGCCATGACAAGGCCCCTGGATTGAGGCCTGGCCTTTTTCTGGCTGAGTGTCTGCCACTGAGGCCCTAGGTATGGCCAATAAGGCTATTGTTGGCACCAGCAACCTCCCAATTTTAGTCGCCAAATGTGCCCACTTCCAACCCTGAGAAATACAACAATCACCAAGAAATCGCTCAACTCTCGACAGAGTCCTGCAAACCATCAAGTGGCCATCATGACACGTCCATCACGAATGTTCATGACTAACTCCTCTTGGCTTCCGTTCGGACGGACAACGATTCCTGGGTTATGTTGCACTCGAGTCCGACGACACAAAAGCCTCCCCGGCCCGCACGCTCGGTGCTGTTCATCCCGCTCAGCCGCTGGCACGTGCGGCGAAAGTGTCTGGTCCAAGATGTTGTCCTTGCCCTGAGGTTTTCTTGCCGTGATCATAGGTGACCTTTTGGACCCATCGATGGCGCTGGTACATGGAATGAAACCTGTCTAAACCAGTGCCATCTATGTATACCAGAATGCTTAGCCAACCTATCCGATCAAAAGCACGTGGACAAAATTATTCACCGTTGGTAGGTGGTTTATCACAGTATTCATAAGTTGTCATTCAGCCCAAGTGGTGCAGGATTTTGACCAGCCACAGTATGGGTACGTCTTGCCTGGGGGGAACCCCCGTTTTGGTTGGGTTGTACTAAATGCGTATTTGTAATCTCCTTCTAACGCTTTAAACATGGGGTGACCCCTTTCTTTTGAACGACACCAACTTGAAGCGGCATGGAGACTCCAGGTATGTCTTGTTTGGGGGAACCCTGATTTGATTGGTTTTGTTTTTGGAAAACAAGAGGAAATCAAGTATTGCTCAACATTACTTGCTTGTTCTCAGGGTGAGAAGAAATGCCCCCAGAGGATGAACAAAATCCATGCCGGTCGCCGTAAGTTGGTGGCTTATCCCAGTATTCATGGGGCTTCATTGCAGGTGCAGGATTCCTGAGGCATCCAACTGGTGGCTTCCCTTAATTCCCACCCCAACATTGATTCGCTACTGGTCAACGAGTTGCTCTCTGAGCGCGGCACTCAAGAATCTACACATTGACACAAGTCAGTTGAGTTCGTTCACTTGGGCAGTTCCCAATCCAACTGGTCAATTGAATGTCATATCATAAGTTGAGGACATGAAGGCAATCTCAGCTGTCTAGCTTTGTATGTCTAAAGACGTCCTCATTCACAAGTCACTTTACCTAGTGTTCAGAATCAACTGACTCCCGAACAGCTGAACAGTACACTATGAACTATGTACTCACCTGACTTGCCATGGTCGGCTAGATAGCCGCAAGGGAATACACCTGTAGCAATTTCGCATCTTGCCTCACTTCCCAAACGAACCTGGTTCATTCCACAGACTCTTTGGAGCAGTGAGGTACATACTGGCTGGCAAATGGCTTCCAACTCAAGTCTCTCGTGCAAGCCTTACTAATCACTCTTTCCACTATCGCGTTCCAGGCCCAGGCAGGCTCTATGTCACATGAAGGGCATTTGGCGATGGGTCAAAATCCCGTACCCCCAGTGAACATCCCAATCCCCACTAAAATAGACTAACATGGTTGGTGCACCTACCAACCAAAATCGGATCCCATTGGTTTCGACCCACAGCCATTTCAACACCAATGCGCTTACCATATTCTATCGCCAACGCTCAATCAACATCGACTCCTGAAGCTCGAGGATCCCCATCATTTCGACTGCAAACTGGGTTTTAGGTTTCGACAGGCACCACGTATTTCGGTTCAACCAGAGAACCAACAGGAAAACATCCATTTAGGTGTGTCCTTTGTTGGGGAACTCCCTTTTTGTTGGTTTTAAAGGAAAGCCAACAGGGACGCCGAAGGCATGTTTGGGGTCCCCTACAAAGAGACACCCATTCTCTGTTCCAGTCAAGTGAATCCCGCGGCGAGATGCCTTCCAATCAGTGGTGCGGATGACGAAGCGGTAAGCGCCTCAGCATGCCGCAAAAGCTGACCCCCTGCAAACAGTCGTCACAGTAGGCTCTTTGAAGAGAACAACATTGAAAACCAAAAGGTAAAAACAAAGACACGTTGGGTCTAGTGCTCTGAGAATGAAACTTCAGCCATGCACAGGTCTGTGTTCCGCTGTTCGAGTGCTTTTAAACCGCCACTCTTTCTCTTGACAAGGAAGCCTGGTTACAGTGCCGAAAAACAAGCAAATCTTCGACGTACCGGTCAGGCTTCGACTTGACAAATCATGCGTACAGGAAATACAGCCGGCCCACACGATCTTTTATCGATGTCGCAGCACAGCAGCAATCTGCTTGCCTCATCCAGGTGGTAAAAAGTCTGCAAGAAACAACAACATCCATCCCTTTGTCATTTCTGGATTTCGGGGACAGCACCAGGAGCTATCCGGCCTCGCAAGTAGACTTTGAGCAACCACACCTATCCCAGATCTCACATTGCAGAAAACAGGCAACCCTCCGCCATCGATTTTTTTTTATGCTTTGCTACCTATTTTGGTAGATCGAATCACAGGGTATGCCGTGTCCTGGAAAACAACAAACTGGTCGTGACCGATATTGTGTCCTGGTTGGCCAGGGCCCCAGCAGTACTCCAGGTAATCCGTCACCTTCCAGCCTCATCCACGTTTGCGCGCGGCGTGTCTGGAACACAATCCAGTGAGCCATCTGGTTGAACCCCCTTAGCATAACTTCACGTGGCCAGGAATCTACTTCTTGGCCCTGTGTCTTGATACACA